TAACGATGGTGTTTGTGTATTTAGCTAGCATATGTGTTTGGGAAGGGTTTGACCGTGTAAATGTGGGTTCAATCAGATTAAACAATGAAAATTTCGATTAAACAATGACATATCAGATTAGAAATAAGAAAACAAAATACCAAATAAAAAGACATACCCCCCACCCGTTGTACTCACAATGTTGTGGTCCTTGATGTAAACAATGACAACCGTTTCGTTACACAGGCCAACAAAGCGCCAGTTCTGTGACAGCATGTAGGTAAACAGTCGCACCTCCCTCAGCATGGCAAGGCTGGAGCTGTTGCTGTTCCTGTAACAAAAGCACAGCTCGACGATATACCACAGCTCGACGATATACCACAGGTCGACGATATACCACAATTACAGGTCGATGGTCTAACAAAATTACAGATCGACGATATAACATAATTACTGATCGATGATATAACACAATTATAGATCGATGATCTGACACAATTGCAAGTCGATGGTCTAACAGAATTATAGGTCAATGATCGACTGGAAGGTAACTAGTTAAAAATGTAAAGTAATGGGCGCCCTCTGATATATATATATATACTAGCCGTCCCGGCCAGGCCCCTGCTCTGGCTTCTGTGAAAAACCTTTCTGTTAAAGACCATTACCTGTGTGTTTAGTAATCATCATAAACCCGGCATTGCCCACCCAAACCACAACCAACCAAAACCAAAACAACAAAACGCAAACATAACGCTAACACAATTACAAATACAAACGAAAACAAAAACCTAACAACAAACCCAACCACAACCACAAACACCAATACAAACACAAAGAAAAAACAAACAAAAAAGCAAACGAAAACAAAAACCTAACAACAAACCCAACCACAAACACCAATACCAACAAAAAAAAAACAAAAACAACGAAAAAGCAAACGAAAACAAACCAAATTCAAACGCAAAACCAACCAAAAACACAAATACAAACCCAAAAAAAAAAAAAACACAAACAAAAACGAAAAAAGAAAGAACAAAAAACGAACCAAATCAAAACGCAACCACTAACGCAAACCCACCTAAACACAAAGAAAACACTAACGCGAACATAAACGCCCGGGGCGGAAATCACCTGTTTTAGCTTAATGAACGACTATAGTACCCCAACTTATTCATAGTCTTTTGCACTCACTTAAACGAACGCGCCTGTTTCAATTTGATGAACAATTTTAATACTCCAAGCTTATCCGTAAAATACCTACAACATTTGCACTTGATCAATCCCCGCTAATTATGTAATTATTTTTTTTTCCCAACACCAAAACAAAGTAATTAAAAAGTAAATTATTTTCACGGAATGCAATGGGTTTATAAAGGGAAGTAATTGTGTTTTTCCTAATTTATCAAAGGGAAGTAAGTGCTATAGGACTAAATAAAGACATAATTAGAATTTTTGTAAAAGATGATATTTTTTTTAAAACTTGTGTTTAATGAACATGCCGACAATTATTACTGTAATTTGAAAAATGAAAATTAATTTCCCAACACTTTCAATAGTAATTTTTTAGCTCATAAATTTAGACAAATGCGCACGATAATTTTCTAACTTTTAAATTCGTACAATTCCAACGATATACAAATGCATTACATACAGAACTGAGCTTTATATATTATATATATATATATATATATATATATATATATATATATATATATATATATATATATATATATTATATAAATGACATGTTTCCAAAAGAGGATAGAAATCCTTTGTTTAGATTTACCTATATATCCTCTTAAAGTTGGGCAAGAGGGCAACACGTATTTTGTAGCCCTGCTTGTAGGTGTCGCATTGGAAGCATCCACATCTGGTGTCGACCTCCATGCTGTTGATAAGGTTGTCTATGGCATCAGCTGGTGATTACATTAGGTTCATTTATGTCGTGGCCACTTGACACTAACGAGACAATTGTAACTATCTCGATGTAAATACCAATAGTTGTATTGCACAGAACCTTCGATCATGATAGTTTTACTGATTCCAGACCATTGGACCAATGCTCCCAGTATACTCCCACACAATGTACTCCCACACACCGTTCCAGACCAATGCTCCCAGTGTACTCCCCGTCTGTTTGTTTATGTGTATGTCTATGTCTGTGTGTTTATGTGTTTTTTTTATGTATATGTATGTATTGCTATATGATGTGTATACGTATATATATATATATATATATATATATATATATATATATATATATATATATATATATATATATATATATATATATATATATATATATATATATATATATACATATACACCAGTAGCGTACGCAGGGGGGGGGGGGAGCAGGGGGAGCGGCCGCTCCCCCTCTGGCCATTTTCAGCAAAGTAGCGCCTTTTTGGAAACTTTTTAAACTCAAAGTTTTTAAACAATGATATTTGTTAAAAAAATATTTTTGGTTGGCACATCTATGTAAATTACAAGATTTCTTTTCACGCAGCAATTAAGCATTATTGTACTAGTCTAGTAGTGTCTACGATTACAACAGGGTATTAACAGCTGCATCAGTTTGCCATTCTAAAAATAACCATTACGATGCATTGCAATGTTTAAAAAACCTCTACGGGGTAGTACAACTTGGCAAGAGGGGTGTTAAGTTTAAGGCAACTGTATAATGTATTTGTTTACGAATAATTGAATTAGAAAATGTTTATACATAAAACTTCACACATAATTACTTTATAAATATACAGTTTGAATCGTGTGATTAATTTAAAAAAAATTACAAATGCAACTGATGTGGCACCTCTATTTAAATTTACTTATGAGCAAACTACGTAGTGGTGGGGAAATTTTGACAAGGTCAACAACGTCATCACGATGAAGTAGTAGTATTTTTACAGTTTGGGCCATAGTGATTACGATTTCAAATTATATGAAACAGTTACAACCCCCCCTCCCCCATGGACCCCTCTGTAAAAAAAAAATATTGTCATAATACCACTGCGCTACTTATTTAAATCTATTTCTGTAATATATATTTGTGTAATATATATTTGTGTAATATATATGTATGTTTAGAACAGTCATCTAAAAAACTGACGCTATGTTCACTCTGAGTTGGTTATCCCCCCCCCCCCCCACACACACCTCACCACCACAATTGTTTAGAGCGACATTAATGTCACACCTAGGTATACACTGGGTTGGATAATTGACCTAAAGTGACCGTACAGTGGTGAATGAAGTTGACCCCCCCCAACCCACCCCGAACTGATCTTATAAGTACATGTAGAAAAACGCGTAATGATGTACCAAAGTACCAAGCCGCCAGAAAATTAGCTTTTTAAACGTAAAACTCTGTGAATATTGTTTTTACAATTACCAGTAAAAAGGTGTGTGATCAATACAGTGATCTAACCCTTAACTATCACTAAATGTTAAAAAATGATCTTTAGAGAACACAAATGAAGCAATAGTTAATTAACAATATATGATCTGAACTAAAAGACCAACATGTAGTCAAATGTAGACTGTTATTCCGAATGTGTTTTTAATTATAACGAAAACCGTGGTTTTCAACCAACTCTGATTTTAAAAACTTTAATTATGCTGTAATACTTTAGCATTTATGATGACGATATATTAAATTCTGATTATAGACAAAAACATTTTGTGAACACGAATAGTGTTAAATAATTTCATTATAATCTAAAGTAATTATTTATTTGTTTTGACATTTATTATTAAATGTGTAGATATATATATATATATATATATTTATATTAAGGAGAGTGATTATTTCCCCTATTTCACTTGTCTTAAATAATTTCCCAGGAATTATTATTATTATGTAAGAATTTTTTTAGCACAATTTCCATACGGACAATTGCGATTATTAACTCGTTATTTCTGGATGGATGGATGGATGGATGTGTGTCCGCAATGAATGGATGTGTGTCCGCAGCTTTAAGTCGTATCTCCTCCTCAACGAAGCAATATCGAGGACTAGTTCAAAGCAAATATGTTAAGCAAGTTCCGAGGATGATTGTGGGCCAAAAAATTCCCGAATTCCCTCCTGGATTTCCCGGAAAAAAAACCCTCGAAAAAATGCAGTTTTTGGCCCATATCTTGGCAACCAGACCACTTAGCGACTTGAAACATTTACCAATCGATTCCTGCCATAATTTAGAACAATATTGCCGAAGAAAGTTTTCAAAAATATCCTTTCGTTCGGTCACACATTTTTTTTAAAAAATTACATAAACACCTACAAACCGATAGTTCTCCTAGCTTGAACGCACCCCAGCATTATACGTTTTTGTGTTTTGTCCCCGTGTGTGCTTTACGCTACGACAGAGCTACGGGTTATGAACATAATACACTACAGTACTATATAGCAATATATAGATATAGATCTATGGCAGGGGCGTAGCGAGGGCGGGGGGGGGGGGGGGGCGGGGGTGCGGACCGCACCGGGTGACACCATTTAGGGGGGGGGTGACACCAAGGCAAAAAATAGCAAAATATAAATCGAAAACTTGAGAGGGGGGGGGGGTGCAAATCGAAATTTTGAGGGAGGGGGGTGCAAATCGAAGATTTGTCCCCGGGAAGGGTCGCTACGCCTCTGGGGGGTGACACCATTAAGTGCCGCACCGGGTGACACCCGACCTCGCTACGCCACTGATCTATGGGGAAAGGGATGTGTCAAAATAATCTATTTTTCGCTGTCTTTTAGATCTTGCTATCAGTTTATTTTTTACTTATTAATTCAACCGTTATTTTTGTACCCTATTAATTTATTTATAATTTATATGAGAGTGATAGGGAGTTACAATTACAAGGTTTTGTTTCGTTAGGCCTAATCATTTTTTTTTTACAAGAATTACAAAACAGACTGTGTTACGTTCATTGTTTTTGGGTAAAATGTTTGTATTTTGGTTTTTGTTTAGATTGATACAATTTTTGTTTTGTCGGCCTACATTGTGTGTTTTTTCTTATTTCTTCAGAGTGCTACTTTCAATTTATTTTACATCATAGCGAAGTAATGACATACATCTAGTAATTATATATATATATATATATATATATATATATATATATATATATATATATATATATATATATATATATATATATATATATATATATATATATATATATATATATATATATATATATATATATATATATATATAATTCTCTTCTGGGATCAGTTAGAAAACAAGCTGCAAGCGCGCCTTTGCAGTCCCATCTCTTCCTCTCTATCACTATCACTACCACCCCCACCCCACCCCCACATGATCTGGTGAGCGGTGTTCACTCTGTTTACATTTTACAACCATAGAGACGGGTTTGGTGACGGCTATTAGGGACAGATAATTTAGTTTGAAACGATTTTAAACTTAGAGGAGGTAACTAAGAGGAGGCTGCTTTCACGTGGGGGGGGGGGGGGGGGTTAGTGTTTTTAAGCAAATATTTTCAATGGCAGCATTGGTACTGTCGAATTCACAAATTATAAATTACTGAAAAGTAGAAAAAAAAAAAACAACTAAATAGCGGCGTATGATACGCAGCGGGTCGGCTCGTATATATATAATATACGTATATAGAACGTGTTAAGAATTCGGCGCCTTTTTTTTGCTCTTTTCGCTCCCCCTACAACGAAAACCTGGATACGCCTCTGATATACACATACCAATATTTATATATCCTACAAAAAGCTAATAATTATTGTGTCTTTGGATTGAGCATTTGTTCCTTTTATCAATTCAATATAAGGGATACATACACCCCTCTCCCCTCCCAGTCATACAAACTGTTCACAATAGCACATGAACCGGCTGAGTTACCTGCGGTCCTGGTGATGATGCCGTTAGGGTCGCAGATGTTGGATGTGTTGTACCTCCCACACTTCCTGTGTTGCTCCGTGTCACGTGAGTGGGGGTCGGGGTAGGACTGCACCGGCCATTCCCTGGGCAGGTTCTGGCCGTAGGGTGAGTACTGGGCTACCACGCAAGTAGCGGCGATAAGAGTGAACAAACACACAAACCGAACCGTCAACATTTCTGAAACGGAAATATTTTTTTCTTAATTGAAGATGAAAATAGAAATGCATCAGAATAATCGGACTATAAAAAATGTATTGTCTTATATTTATGCAATACACAGAAAAGAAATAGGTAAAAATAGAATCAGTTACGAAATTCAACGCGACAAAGCATCGCGAAGATGTGTCTCCAGCTATGGCGGGGTTGGGGTGGGAGAGTTACAGTATTATAAGTCCCAGCTGATGGGTTACAACAGTGAAGGGCGAGAAACTGGCTTAGTACAGGGAAGTCTAGGTCTAAAGTGTAACTTTGACTAGTACAGGGAAGTCTAGGTCTAAAGTGTAACTTTGACTAGTACAGGGAAGTCTAGGTCTAAAGTGTAACTTTGACTAGTACAGGGAAGTCTAGGTCTAAAGTGTAACTTTGACCATACTTTGACCCCCCCCCCGATTTATACGAAAATCCAAAAGCCCCCCCCCCCCCCGATTTATACGAAAATCCAGAAGTCCTCCCATCCCCAATTTAAACGAAAATCCAGAAGCCCCCCCCCCAGTTCTGGACTTCACCAAAATTCTAAAATGTTATTTAAATTTAAAGAAAACAAGAGAGGCCTATAGCCTAGACCTAAGCGGTGCCATATTTCACCCCTCGTCCACCCCACCCCCAGGAACAGTGCCTATAACTTAGGGGGGGGGGGGCTTCAAAAGGATTTTTGTTGCCACATTTATTTATTTTAACATTTGTTTATAACTTTTTTTTTCAAACCGTGGTACAGATCGAGCTCTTTTTACAATACAGTTATAAACATTTTTTGTCGGCAAACTTATTTTTTTGTACATTGACGCATTAAAAAAAAATCTAATATCTGGACTTTAAAAAGGGCCACATATAGCTTTGGCCTTATCAAGTCTAAATTCGGCCCTCCCTCAGAAAATGACATGTCCTTCAGGTGCTTGAGATCATTTAGATTAAAACGTCAATCTGTAAACCACGCATCTGGCTGATATACACCTAGATCGAATAATATTTACAGCCTTTCAATTATAGTCGCAAGCCCACCTAAAAAGATAAAATCGGTATTTCTCATAGCCGATTAAAAAAAATACTTTGGCCCCTTTAGCTATGAATCGGCTACGTTCACCCCGCGATGTATGAGCCCGGTTAGCTCAGTCGGTAGAGCATCAGACTTTTAATCTGAGGGTCAAGGGTTCAAGTCCCTTATCGGGCGTATATTTTTTTGTGTTTTTAATATTTACACGATTAATAACTTATTACTAATAACATTCTTTAAATTAAATTATGGTACAGCATTAATTTAATTTCCCGTGGGTTTAAAAGGACAGAAATCGACCGTCAAGTTGTAAAATTTTTACCCTCTTCCGTGTTTCCAGGAAAAAAAGTAGGACCCCCCGCCACGAAAATGACGTTACACTTTAAAATAAAATTGCCAACTTTCCAAAAGCGAGTAATTTATCTAAAACACAAAAAATCAAACTCGTATAGCATGCTAAAATGTAATTTTTTTTAAAAAAACGTGGGGAAATATAAATAAAAATCTAAATATATTGTTATCGCATTAACTAAATAAAAACAAAAACATTCGCATCACATGATCACATGTGTTTCTTTAAAATGCAAGTGACACCCCCCCCCCCCCCCAACTTCTTACTGTTACATTGTTGTCTGTTCTTTTACTCTTTCCCATAACGATGACACTGAAACGGGGAGGGGGGGGGGGTGAGGAGGGGGTGGTATCATAGTCATAGAAAGGGAGAAAACAGCTCAGCAGCAGTGGCAGGTATCGTAGCACTCATAAGCTTATCACCTACTCTAAAATGCTAAAATGTAATTTTTTTTTAAAAAACGTGGGGAAATATAAATAAAAATCTAAATATATTGTTATCGCATTAACTAAATAAAAACAAAAACATTCGCATCACATGATCACATGTGTTTCTTTAAAATGCAAGTGACACCCCCCCCCCCCCAAACTTTTTACTGTTACATTGTTGTCTGTCCTTTTACTCTTTCCCATAATGATGACACTGAAACGGGGAGGGGGGGGGGGGTGAGGAGGAGGTGGTATCATAATCATAGAAAGGGAGAAAACAGCTCAGCAGCAGTGGCAGGTATCGTAGCACTCAGAAGCTTATCACCTACTCTACTCGCGCTATACCTAAACTATTTAAACTAAAGAAACAAAATTAAGACATTATACAGTCGACTGAGCAAACACTGGGTTATCTGTTAATCACGAGTCAAGAATACGTCGCTAAAAGTGAAACACCAGCAACTTACTTTTTGTTTATCCAAGCACGAACACAGCAGTGAAAAGTTGCTGTGCCCCTACACATCAACTAGCGTCAGGTTTGGCTAGAACTTGGAGCAGGTTGGCTGAGATGTCGAGCCCACAACACCCACACGCGCACCCACAGACACAGCTCCGTCTATTTTTAGAACTGTAATGAGCCATTCCTTCACCTTCGCGAGAGCAAAATAAAAATTAAAAAAACTAGTGGGAAGGTTTAAGTTCTTAAAGCAAGTAAACACACGAAAAGCAGTGTTTACATTCGTTTCAACTGTTTAACATCATCAGTGAATAGAGCTTTGAAATTAGATGGGGAAAAGCTCGAGTAAAAGAAAGAAATGATTTTATAATGGTTTGCTCGGGTTACTGGCCTTTAGTGAGGAGAAGCATAGGAAGTGTTGTAATGGTACTTTAAACAAAAGGTGTTGTGAGAGCAGGTTTGTCAGGTGTTGTAACATTTAAGGTGTTATAATGGTGAGATTGACAGGTGTTATAATGGTGGGTGTGACAGGTATTATGATGGTGGGTGTGACAGGTGATATGATGGTGGATTTAACAGGTAATATGATGATGAGTTTAACAGGTATTATGATTGTGGGTTTGACAGGTATTATAATTGTGGGTTTGACAGGTATTATAATGGTGGGTGTGGCAGTTATTATAATGGTGGGTTTAACAGGTAATATAATGGTGGGTTTGAATAGTATTATAATGCTAGATTTGGCAGAACGTGTTGTAAGGTTAAGTTTGAATCTGCGGTACTAGATGCTTCCTGTATTTGTAACTTCGTGGTGATGTAGATAATGGGTGGACTAACAGCACCGGAAAGATCTTATACCTCTGGGGGGGGGGGGGGCGTGTTCGTTGAGTTTCATAGCATGCAACACACCAGAATAAAATAGATGTTAAACTTGGTCATATTAGACAATCCCACGGTTTTCTTTTAGATCACGCAGACCTTATGGACTTTAAAGAAAACAAAATGGCGAAGTTGAGGGATGTTCTTTAGGGACCAGAGTACGTCCAGCATGTGGCTTCAAGGACCCAGCCCATGACCCATGGTTCATGAGATTTAGAATGACATTTCGGAATGACGTTATAAAATTGATTCTTTGACGACATAGAGTGAGGTATCTAATATAACTTGGCCCATGACCCATGGTTCATGGGATTTAGAGTGACATTTCGGAAAACCGTTATAAAATTGATTCTTTGACGACCTATAGTGAGGTATCTGTTATAACTTAGTACAACAATACTTGAGTTAAGTAGGACAAGCATAAATGACGAGGGGTTGAGAGCAGGCATGTATAACTGTATAGGCTATGAAAGTGAGTGGTCAGGAACGTTCCATTTTTTGTGGCGAAATGTGTACTTCTGACATAATGAACGAGAAGCGAAGGCGATTTGGTGCCTTGTGGAGCGGCTGGCTCACATCCTGTCGAGCTAAGAACTGCTCTGTGTTTTCTGGGACTTAATTACGTACCTGGTTCTACCTTTGGCATTGAAGTCATACTTTATGTCTACACCGCTAAAACTTAAATGAGTCACACAAATTACAGCGGTAAGCTACGTAAAGTTGTATAACCGTATATTTTTAAAGAAAAACAAACAAACGAAACCTCCATTATATTTTTGTTAAAAACATGGTTGCTTTAGGGGTAGCGGGGAGGGGAGATGAATTTTTTGTGACGATAGGAGGTGAGCGGTTGAGGGATTTAAAAAATCCTCTAAACTGGTTTGACGTCACACTTGCACGAAAATTTGTTTGAACTTTAATCAGTCTTTAGTTAAACACATCAACCATAACAGAACCTCTGTATTGTTCAGATAACTGTATAATATTCAATAATACTGGGCGATAGGTTACATCGTCTACATATAGGCCGATCTGCCACTGTTCACATACAGACCGATCTACCACTTTGTGTACCTACAGGCCGATCTACCACATTGTCTACTCACGCACCGCCGATGAATATCAGAGGGCGCTTAAAAAGGGGTATGTCAACAAGTGTTATACTATACAAATGACATTAACCAACACGACTATCCCTGGACCAAATTAGCAAATAATGCTGAATTATTTACCAACGAAATACATAATATTTTATATTCAACAAAAAAAACAACATTTATACAGCGAAAAAGTGAAGAACACTCAACGAAAAAATTGTGGTTGCTTAGATACAGGAATGAATCAGGGGAAATGATAAAAAAATAAATTTTGAAGTTTGTAAAAAAATGTGTTATGTCCCTTTAAAAAAAAATCCGAAAAACTTTGCCATACAGTCCTATTATTAGGTTGCCTCCCATTAAACATGAGAAAACTCCACCCTTCCCAGTGGTTTTACAGCCATATTACCTGCGCCACCTCATTCTTCCATTAAGACTTGTCTGCTGTCTTCTTGATTCACGTCTGGACTCCATGCTGCCGTAGGTCTGTTCACATCAGACAGTCTAGGTTAGTTCACATCAGACAGCCTAGGTCAGTTCACATCAGATAGTCTCAGCCTAGGTCAGTTAACATCAGACGGTCTCAGCCTAGGTCAGTTCACATCAGACAGCCTCAGCCTAGGTCAGTTCACATCACTCAGTCTAGGTCAGTTCACATCAGATAGTCTCAGCCTAGGTCAGTTCACATCAGACGGTCTCAGCCTAGGTCAGTTCACATCAGACAGTCTAGGTCAGTTCACATCAGATAGTCTCAGCCTAGGTCAGTTCACATCAGACGGTCTCAGCCTAGGTCAGTTCACATCAGACAGCCTCAGCCTAGGTCAGTTCACATCAGACAGCCTCAGTCGAGGTCAGTTCACATCAGACAGCCTCAGTCGAGGTCAGTTCACATCAGACAGCCTAGGTCAGTTCACATCAGACAGTCTAGGTCAGTTCACATCAGATAGTCTCAGCCTAGGTCAGTTCACATCAGACGGTCTCAGCCTAGGTCAGTTCACATCAGACAGTCTAGGTCAGTTCACATCAGACAGTCTAGGTCAGTTCACATCAGATAGTCTCAGCCTAGGTCAGTTCACATCAGACAGCCTCAGCCTAGGTCAGTTCACATCAGACAGCCTAGATCAGTTCACATCAGACGGTCTCAGCCTAGGTCAGTTCACATCAGACAGCCTAGGTCAGTTCACATCAGACAGCCTCAGCCTAGGTCAGTTCACATCAGACAGCCTAGGTCAGTTCACATCAGACAGCCTCAGCCTAGGTCAGTTCACATCAGACAGCCTAGATCAGTTCACATCAGACGGTCTCAGCCTAGGTCAGTTCACATCAGACAGCCTAGGTCAGTTCACATCAGACAGCCTCAGCCTAGGTCAGTTCACATCAGACAGTCTAGGCCAGTTCACATCAGACGGTCTCAGCCTAGGTCAGTTCACATCAGACGGTCTCAGCCTAGGTCAGTTCACATCAGACAGCCTCAGCCTAGGTCAGTTCACATCAGACAGCCTAGGTCAGTTCACATCAGACGGTCTCAGCCTAGGTCAGTTCACATCAGACAGTCACAGTCTAGGTCAGTTCACATCAGACAGCCTCAGTCGAGGTCAGTTCACATCAGACAGCCTAGGTCAGTTCACATCAGACAGCCTCAGTCGAGGTCAGTTCACATCAGACAGCCTCAGCCTAGGTCAGTTCACATCAGACAGCCTAGGTCAGTTCACATCAGACAGCCTCAGTCGAGGTCAGTTCACATCAGACAGCCTCAGCCTAGGTCAGTTTACATCAGACGGTCTCAGCCTAGGTCAGTTCACATCAGACAGTCACAGTCTAGGTCAGTTCACATCAGACAGCCTCAGTCGAGGTCAGTTCACATCAGACAGCCTAGGTCAGTTCACATCAGACAGCCTCAGTCGAGGTCAGTTCACATCAGACAGCCTCAGCCTAGGTCAGTTCACATCAGACAGTCACAGTCTAGGTCAGTTCACATCAGACAGCCTAGGTCAGTTCACATCAGACGGTCTCAGCCTAGGTCAGTTCACATCAGACAGTCTCAGCCTAGGTCAGTTCACATCAGACAGTCACAGTCTAGGTCAGTTCACATCAGACAGCCTCAGCCTAGGTCAGTTCACATCAGACAGTCTCAGCCTAGGTCAGACACATCACAGCCTAGGTCTGCCAGTTGGTCTTTTCTTTTCGGGATTTGGCTACACACTTTTATCAACTCTCTGAAGTTTGACATTATTTTCATGAGAATTTTCCTCTCCATTAGAAATTCACTATCATTTTAAAAATTATGGTAGTTTTCTCATGGAGAGAAACATTCTCACGAAAATATGGATCCACTCATCATGACAATACAATGGATGAGGATTCTTTGCAATGTAGAGACTACACAAGTGGCCGAAAGTTCTTGTTTTTTTTTGTTTTTGTTAAATGAAGACCTATATAAAATAAAGAAGAATTAAATTAAAACGTTATTTTGAAATTAAAAAGATATTATTGAAGGAACACTAAATAATACCAACACCAATACCATGCCCTTCGGACCATTTTCTAAAGTAGAAATTACAAATTTATTTAGCCAATTTACTGATGAATGACATAACTATTGGCCTACTTAAAACAACGGAATTTTAGAAAATTCGAATGAGTATCCGGCTATTGTTGGTGATTTTTAAAGTGCTTAGTATTTGACTCACTGCAGGCTAGATCTAGAAGTCTCTCACTGACCTAATTTAGACTGCTTACTTAACGCATTTGAGAGCAAGGGAAATAAGCCACGTTTGTTTTGAAGTGAGCACTTGACTGGGTAGTCTGTGACACGAGATAAAGCTGCGGTGACGGTACGGCCATACAGTCTATCGTCTGCACACAATTCAACACAAAGGTACTTGAGAGCAGTGGCGTCGTGAGGGAAGGGGTGTGTGTGTGTGTAAGGGGGGGGGGGTGATGGTGCGTTGACCCACAGAATAAACACATTTTAAAAAACTTGGTAGCTGCTATGAGATGTATGTAGCAAGTAGCCTATAATAGACGAAAAGGCCTGAAAGATTAGGCTACAGTGGACGCTTGAACCCAAGGTTTTCGTCAGCACACAACAGTGTGGTTTAAGACTAAACCAAAACAACGACTGAGTTTTGCTGTTCTTCATTTGCTGACGAAGACCTTTGGCAGCAACATACCTTGTACCTGGTAATACAAAATGCCCCAAATAACACTTTAACACCATAAGTCTGTTGTTGTTGTTTCTGCTACAACGCCTGCTTAACCCCCCCCCCCCCCCCCCAAGCCTAAATACCTCAAAGTTTTTATACAGTTGGACGCTAACAGGTCGCCGTGTTCTGACAGGCTATATATATATATATATATATATATATATATATATATATATATATATATATATATATATATATATATATATATATATATATATATATATATATATATATATATATATATATATATATAAAATACTATAATATCTATGGTGATTTCTTGATTCAAAATTTCAAGTTTCAACAAATGTAAGTAGATCTAGGTCTAGTCTCAATAATTAACATAATTACAGTATTCAGAGACAGAACACTACAACAGAGGATATCACTGGGTGCAACTCGTAAAACCGGATGTTGTTATACAAACAGGAACAGGCGTCATCGATGTATGACTAAACACCCCCCCCCCCCGAACGAAAAGGAATTTATATTGAAAATATATACTTTTGAAAGTGTCCGCCCCCCCCCCCCCCTCCGGAAATTGTTGCCCGCCCCCCCCCGCCCCTTCTTCCCAAAAATTTCAAGTGCACCCCCGGAGAAAAAGTCTGGAAGAAACACTGTATACCATCGGGGTGGTGGTTGATATAACATTTTATGCAGTAGGGGTGGTAATAAATGTTGCATTTGTGTGTTTCATGACATACGCAACATCGCTAACATTGTAATGTGCTACCTTAAATTGGCATTATAAAAAATGAATCGAACTTAAAAAAATTATCTCCCAGGCGACCTATTATTTATATCGCTAACCGATTTAATTTATTTTCGTTTTAAAAAATTGGTAAAACAAGTTTTGTTTTTCAGTGGTGGTAAATGACGTCAGTCATACATATGCTTATTCAAAATATTACAAACCTAAAGTGTCATGTCTTCGTATACGAGCATAGTTTATAAAGTATGTTTTGGTGTTTTCAGAAGTCTGTCTGTTTTCCCAAGTAAAGTGCAATTTTCCGGCTAGCAAATAAAAAACATAAACATGCGCATTAACTGCGCAATTTCAATTTGTTTTGATTACCCGAAGTAAACAAAATATGGTCGTAACCTCATTACGTGATGGAGCGGCGTGGCCGGATGGTAGAGCACTACTGCTAACCTGCAGTTCCCATCCTGGGATCGAGTCCTTAGACGATCCTGAGTCCACCCAGATCTGATGGGTATACAACCAAGCTAAACTTTCTTGTATTTCTTAACTAACTGAAGTGGTGACGATTTCGGTGCAAACGAGATTAAAAGTCATTTATTAATTTTAAAAATATTTTTTAATATAAAAGAACCAAGTAGAAAAGATGAATGGAAACAATGTGAAATTAGTACTTTATGAAGAAAATTTATATTATTTTTAAAAATATAGTTAAACATCTAATTATTAAGTCACATTAATCAAGATCTGATATGTATGAGATTTCATCCACCCTACTGAAACCGTATTTATGTTACTGGTATTTTTGAAACGGAAATTGAGTATACCACTTTCATATATTGAAAGTCACTCAAAATTCTGGAGTAATTTTAGTATAAGATCTTATAGGGGTCATCCATAAATGACGTCACGCTTTTTTTGGGACAATTTTTACCTCCCCCACCCCTCCCCTCCGTCAAACATCGTCACAAAACGCCAGACCCCCTTCCTAAAATGACGTCACACCTCAGCCTGCTCAAAATTGAAGTTGAATTTTTCATAAAACATCGATATTTTTCCAAAATCTTGTCTTAAGTCTGTTAAAATAGAGTATTTTAATCAATTCCTATTGCAATTTATTAAAACAGTTCTAAAACGCTAAATAACGTCTAAAATTCGTTTTCTAACATTGCTTTTTTATAATGCAAAAGTGTGACTTCGCACCATCTGAACCCCCCCTCCCCCTCGTCACATACCGTCACAAAATTACAGACCCCTCTCCCCCCTGCGAGTGTGACGTCATTTATGGATGACCCCATACTTATAATTGAAATTTCGTATATCTAACTGAAACAGTACTCAAGTTATTGTGTTCCCACGGAATTAGAGTAAAGTGCCACTTCCAGTTACAAGAAATCCTTCAAAAGTTGATAGAAATCTTCGTACACAATCTAATACTTATATTTCAAACGTTGTCCATCTAACTTAACGCTACACAAGTTATTGGCTTCTGAGAAACCGGAAGTAGAATAAGTACCACTTTCGGTTACCGAAAATTGCTCAAAAGTTGATATAAAAATACAAATTTGATGTAATGCCTACAAATAAAATGTTGTCTATAAATTAACCACCCACCACACGTGTCTATAAATTAACGCACCCACCACACGTTTTTATAAATTAACGCACCCACCACACGTGTCTATAAATTAACGCTCCCACCACATCGGTCTATAAATTAACGCAAACACCACACGTGTCTATAAATTAACGCACCCACCACACGTGTCTATAAATTAACGCACCCACCACACGTGTCTATAAATTAACCAACCACCACACGTGTCTATAAACTAACGCACCCACCACACGTGTCTATAAATTAACGCACCCACCACATCTCTGTATAAATTAACGCACCCACCACACGTGTCTAGAAACTAACGCACCCACCACATCTCTGTATAAATTAACGCACCCACCACACGTGTCTAGAAACTAACGCACCCACCACATCTCTGTATAAATTAACGCACCCACCACACGTGTCTATAAATTAAACACCCACCACACGTGTCTATAAATTAACGCATCCACCACACGTGTCTATAAATTAACGCACCCACCACACGTGTCTATAAACTAACGCACCCACCACATCTGTCTATAAATTAAACACCCACCACACGTGTCTATAAATTAACGCACCCACCACACGTGTCTATAAATTAACGCACCCACCACACGTGTCTATAAACTAACGCACCCACCACACGTGTCTATAAATTAACGCACCCACCACACGTGTCTATAAATTAACGCACCCACCACACGTGTCTATAAACTAACGCACCCACCACATCTGTCTATAAATTAACGCACCCACCACACGTGTCTATAAATTAACGCACCCACCACACGTGTCTATAAATTAACGCACCCACCACACGTGTCTATAAATTAACGCACCCACCACACGTTTCTATAAACTAACGCACCCCCCACACGTGTAAATCAACGCTCACCGGGGTGCCATGTCAGCCGTTTCATCTCTGAATGCGACCAAAGTTCCGCAGCAAATTATCACACTTGTTCTAGACTTTCAGCATCATTTAGTTCCATGCCCGTCTCAACACTAGGCCAATTACCATGTTTACCTTCCTAGCCTCCCTATTTAGCCCATGACCCTCATCTCCCCCTCTCTTCTCTCTGTCCCTCCCCCCCCCCCCCTCGTATGTTGAGCTGTCTCAATAGCTCACATGTTTGGTATAAACGCGAACGAGTGGTCGCGAGGATATAAATAGGACGTAAGCCTCAAACCTCGATAGACTCTCTCTCTCTCTGCTTGTTGCCATGGTGAGTTAAAATTCATTGTTTCGTTTCTCCTTTGTTAAGTCCGCAACATACGGGTTACAGTGTAAGTTTTGTGGTAAAAGAATGCGAGCAAATATTTTGACATTTAAAAAACAATTAATTAAAATACTAGATGTTAAATACAAAAAAAAAAAAACGAAAAAAAAAAACCAACCCCTTTAGTATTTAGTTAATTTTACTGATTATTCTGTGCTATTTTATCGCACTGTTTATTCACCTGTGCGATATATATTTGACGTGTGTATACACCTGATCATTGATACATGATATATACACCTGTCTATTCTACAGGGGGGAGGATCTTGTACCTTTGTCTTGCTGCTGTTGGCGCTGGTACCAATCACAGGTAAGCCGGCATGCCGGTCTCAGAGTAACATTTCTCATACCTAGGTTTACGGCGACTTAATGGCACATAAGATGTTAAGATGATATATAAATAAGATGTTACAACGCAATACATAAGGTTGGATAATGTGCCGCATAAATAACAAATGGGTGTAAATATTGATGGTATGTTACGCCCTTGATTTGGTTTCTCCCTACGTCACATAAGGCCACATGTGGCCAGATTTTCAGAACGTCTCAGTGTCTTCCGTGAAATTCTCATATTTTTTTCGCCCCTCTGTATTTTTCTCCGGGGAGGGGGTTACTTGAAACTTCCGGGGGGGGGGGGGGTCACTTAAAAGTTTTATGACGTCACAGTTTACTTTGTTATTTTTACATATTACTCCCTCCCCCCGCAACCTCTCTCACCCCTTCACCCCCATATAAAACGTTAGACTCCTCAATAAAACGTGCATGAATGCCAATACTAGCTACCGTTTGCTTAAAGTACATTTTTAAACAGCAGTTGGTTTTGCCCCTATTTACTAGATTTTGTGACCCCCTTTGTTATAGAACTAGGCAGGTTGTTAAAATCGTTAATCGGGGGGGGGGGGGGGCCTTGAAATGTTCAGGGGGGGGGGGGGGGAGTGGACACTGGTAAAAGTATATATTTTCTATGTAACTTTCTATGTAACGTTGTCGGGGGGTGGGTGTGGAGGGGGGGGGGTAGACGAGATGCCTGGAGGAAACTATGCAAACAGTCATTGAGTCAATTTACCCGGAGCGTTTCATCCCCTAGCGCTCCTACAAGAATCAGGGGCATGAACTCTGATATTTTTCTAGTAATCATAGACACGTGTTTCACCCAGTAGCCAAGAATGATATTTATCTCTCATGTGCCATCGCAGTCACGTGCCATCACAAGTCACGTGCCAACCCAGCACGTGTGTTTATAATCCTGCCATTGAGATTTTAAACCAAAATACAACGAGTCAAAGAGCCATTCTTACAATAATAAATCTCTACTAAATTTTAAAACTAAACTTTAGGGTTTTCCGTAACCTCACCCCAGAGGCGTAGCGACCCTTCCCGGCGCCCGGGGACAAACTTTCAATTTGGCGCCCCCTCGCAAATTTTCAATTTGCACACCCCCCCCCCTCAACTTTTCGATTTGCACCGCCCCTCAACTTTTCGATTTGCATCCCCCCCCCTCAACTTTTCGATTTGCACCCCCCGCCCTCAAAGTTTCGATTTGCAACCCCCCCCCCCCCTCAAACTGCAAAAAATGCAGCTAAATTGACAATTTAATTTCTTTTTACAACCCATTTTGGCGCCCCCTAAGGTCGGCACCCGGGGACATATGTCCCCCCTCCCCCCCCCCCCATCGCTACGCCTCTGCCTCCCCCTCGTACTCAGCATAGCTTATTCTTGGAAGGACAAATGCTATAGAAGCAATGTCAAAAGGAAAAGAAGACTGAAGTTAGTCTTTTACCAGTGTTCGCCCCCCCCCCCCGAAAATGTTAGCCCCTCCCCCACCCCCACCGGAGAAAAAAAGTCTGGAAGAAACACTGGTGGTGGACTGATTGATGTGATTTGGTTTCTGGAGCTACTTCCCCTATCAATAGTCAATATGGTCATGTTTTGCAGGTTAAGTAAACATATAATCCTGCGTTGATATGTGCCGCACAGGGATTGGGGAGGGGAGGGGGGAAGAGAAGACATCATTTAGGGGGAGACAACAACTAGAAAATTGTTATGATTTACCGTTAAAACACTATTTTAAAATTAAAACATAGTAGGGGAGAAGGGTGACGCTAAACCAAAAAAATACAAAACTGTTGGACGGGGGGTGTTATCGACCGGGCGACACCCTTGTGACGCCACAATAAATCTTGCTGAATGCTTCAATGATTCAAGTGACATTATTGTTCAGCCTGGGGCCCCCATCAAAGCTTAGTCCGCCTGTGCCCCATGGCATAAAGACTTAAATGCCCAATTAACAAATATTTAACCTCCCCCTCCCCTACAATTACGTCAGTGAAGTAAACACATATTTTCATCAACAGATGCCTCAGCTGCAGATGATGAAAGGCGAAATTCGCGTGAGTAAACAATACCATTCATTATACGTAAATGCACATAAGCATAAAAGGCAGATATACGTGCAAAATGCACATACACATACAAATGCATTTGCACAAACCCATACATATGTGTTTATATTAGCATGCGTTTACAAATAGCCAACTTGTAATTTACATATTTATTTATTTACACACATATCATTGTCGGTATACACATATCCATATGTATATGTACATGAACGCTCGCTTGACTAGACTACCCTGTCACATATAACACCCTGATATATCTCCCCAGTTTGTACCAGATGTACAGTGAATGGTCAATCGTTTAGCGGTCACTCTAGGTTCACATACGTTGATGGCTGCTACAGGTAGGCCAGATTTTGGTTCATTTCTGATCAATGACATAGGGAATTACATTGTTGATGCACAGCTTTAAGGGTTAGGGCTAGGGTTAGGGCTTGGTTTAGGTCTAGGTTTAGGGTTAGGGCTAGGGCTAGGGCTAGGCTTAGGTCTAGGTTTAGAGTTAGGGTTAGGGCTAGGGTTAGGGCTAGGGTTAGGTCTAGGGCTAGGGCTAGGGTTAGGTCTAGGGTTAGGTCTAGGGTTAGGGTTAGGGCAATGGTTAGGGCTAGGTCTAGGCTTAGGGTTAGGACAATGGTTAGGGCTAGGGTTAGGTCTAGGGTTAGGGCAATGGTTAGGGCTAGGGTTACGTCTAGGGTTAGGGTTAGGGGTATGGTTAGGACTAGGGCTAGGGCTAGGGTTAGGGTTAGGCCTAGGGTTATAGTTAGTGTTAGGGCCAGGGTTAAGCTTAAATCAATGTTTAGTTAGGTTTGGATTTGAGTTAATTTTAGGGTGATGTGAATTCATAGGTTTATTGTTTTTGTCTTAAGGTTAGGATTATGGTAATATATAGGTATAGAGTTAAAATTAGGATTCTATCTTGGTGGAGGGGTGGGGGGTAATTCCCCATGGGGTGGGGGTTATTGACAGGTGGGTAATTGCTCCGGGGGTAAATACTGTGGGGGAAATGTCCGGAGGGGGGTGTAATGTCCTGTAGCCGACAGGGACCATGTTTGGCTAGATGACATGGGCCATGTTTGGCTAGATGACATAGATTCAGATTTGACATTCGAATTGACGTTTGAATTGACATTTGAATCGACACTTGAATTGACATTTGAAGTAATATTTGAACGGATCCATTCAATGCCATTTGAAATTAATACTGCACGTCAACATTTCCTAATCTAAAGCGAGTTCCTGTCTAACTATACCTACCCCCCCCCCCATCCCCACAGATTTCAGTGTACCTGCTACTGTAACGGCACCTGGACCTGCCCTGCTCGGTTTACCAAGGACATCTGTGGCAGCGGGCGCCAGACACCACCGGCGCCCACCCGAGCCCGCCCGACACCTGCGGCGCCCACCACCGCTCGCCAGCCGACCTGCCAAACCTGCACCGTAGACGGCAGCGACTACGATGGCAATTCTTATTTCACCCACACCGCCGGCTGCATCCGCTACAGCAACTGCTTCTGCGGATGTGATGGCTCGTGGGAATGTCCGGCTCAGCACGCCAAGAATACTTGTCTGGGAACAGAATCCGCCAGTTCAGCCGCCTCGAGCAGCTCACGGCAAGAGAGCGGTTCACGGCAAGAGGGTGGTTCAAGACAGGAGAGCGGTTATAGGGAAGAGAGCGGTTATCGGCAAGAAAGCCTTTCACGGCAAGAGAGCGGTTCTCAGGGCAGCAGCAATAACGGGTACTCCGGCGACAGGCGATTGGACCAAACCACCCCGGGGAGGGGGACAAACGGCCGCAGGGTCTGCCAACCCTGTCAGGTGGATGGTCAAATGATCAAAGGAGGGAACCACTTTGATCGGGTGCAGGGCTGCAAGAAATTCAAATACTGCTCCTGCAAGTGCGATGGGACATGGAGGTGCCCACCCCAGCTAGTTGAAAACACATGCGGCAGTCCTGATGAGGCGGAGACCTGCGGTGAATGTACAGTCAAAGGTCAGACGTTTGAGGGCAACAGACGGTTTGAGCTTAGGGACGGCTGCACGGAGCTCACGGACTGCTTCTGCAGCTGTAACGGCTCCTGGTCCTGCGCCGTTAGCAGGGACATTTGTCTTTCTACGACGCCGACTCCAGTGACAGACGCCTCAGGCTGCGTCAGCTGTGTCGTCACAGGCCAGCTGTTCCCGCCCAATGATTACTTTGACGTCACAGACGGCTGTATTGCTTACAGAAATTGCATTTGTCGGTGTGATGGATCCTGGACATGTCCACCGAACTACGCACGCAATATTTGCACTGCGAATACAACTCCTTCATCCAGAGCTTCGGCGGAATGCAGAAAATGTTCGGCATTTGGAAAAGAATTTGATGGCAATAGTAGATTTGAAGCAACGAATGGGTGCATAGAGTATAAAAATTGTGTATGCAACTGTGACGGATCTTGGACATGTCCACCCAACTATGCACGCAATGTTTGCACTGCGAATACAACTCCTTCATCCAGAGCTTCGGCGGAATGCAGAAAATGTTCGGCATTTGGAAAAGAATTTGATGGCAATAGTAGATTTGAAGCAACGAATGGGTGCATAGAGTATAAAAATTGTGTATGCAACTGTGATGGATCTTGGACATGTCCACCCAACTATGCACGCAATGTTTGCACTGCGAATACAACTCCTTCATCCAGAGCTTCGGCGGAATGCAGAAAATGTTCGGCATTTGGAAAAGAATTTGATGGCAATAGTAGATTTGAAGCAACGAATGGGTGCATAGAATATAAAAATTGTGTATGCAACTGTGATGGATCTTGGACATGTCCACCCAACTATGCACGCAATGTGTGCACTGCGAATACAACTCCTTTAGCCAGAGCTTCGGCGGAATGCAGAAAATGTTCGGCATTTGGAAAAGAGTTTGATGGCAATAGTAGATTTGAAGCAACGAATGGGTGCATAGAATATAAAAATTGTGTATGCAACTGTGATGGATCCTGGGACTGTCCCGGCGCGAGTGCAAGAGATATATGTAAGACAAATTATCCTCGGAGGGAACTCACCGCCAGGTGCCAAAAATGTGTTGTAAGAGGAACAGAGTACGAGGGAAACACCTTTTTTGACATGGAAGATGGCTGCATGGCCTACAGGAACTGTGAGTGTAGTTGCAACGGAAGCTGGTCTTGTCCTGATAACGGTGCTATGAACATATGTGAACGGGATTCTTCCAACTGCCAGACCTGTGAGGTGTATGGTCAAACATTCCCTGGCAACGAATATTTTCAAATTCGCCAGGACTGCACCGAGTACAAAAACTGCATCTGTCATTGTAACGGCTCGTGGATTTGTCCCGAGAACTCGGCCAGGTACTTGTGTGATGAGAACACGGCGGAAGAGAGCGTCCCTGAGCAGCCACAGAGGTGCCAGTCATGTATAGCATACGGGTCCAACTTCAGAGGAGGAAACTACTTCGATGTGATCGACGGGTGCATCAGCCGTCGCAACTGTATTTGTAGGTGCGACGGTACCTGGACCTGTAACGAACGCTTTGATACCAATATTTGTCCGAATGAAACTACAACTGCCTTGCCTGTTACATCGACATCACAGAGGCGAACCCCGGCGTCTAGAGAACGTCAAGGATGCAATGAGTGTAACGCCAAGAATAAGATTGTTAGAGGAAATTCATATTTCGAGTTACGAGATGGGTGCATCGAGTACAAAAACTGTATTTGTAGATGTGATGGCTCTTGGGAGTGTCCCGCACAGCATGCCAAAAATATTTGTACAGAGAATGACCGCACGTCGTATGGTCAATGCGAAATGTGCGTAGCAGACGGGAGAAACTACCGTCCCAACAGCCCTTTCACCTTCACACGGGACTGCGTGGAGTATAGCTGCAACTGTTTTTGTAACGGCAGCTGGGAGTGTCCCTCAGACAGAAGTCGGTGGGTCTGCCACGACAGGTGCCACCAGTGTAATGTCGAGGGAAGACAGATTGAAAACGGCACCGTATTTCAGCATAAGACAGGATGCCTCGAGTATACGTGCAATTGTTTCTGCAATGGCAGCTGGTCTTGTCCAGGGCGTTCTGTAAGAAATACCTGCCCAGTCGGGGTGAACGATAACTGTAACAAGTGTGTCATAAGCCCGACGGAGATGTATGAAGGGGAAAGTGATTTCGTCCTGAGAAAGGGGGAGTGCCTGCGGTACAAGTGCCGGTGTAACTGTGACGGCAGCTATTTCTGCCCGGGGGAGGAGATGAGGAATGTGTGCAGGGGCGAGGAGCTGGGTGGCTGCAGGAGTTGCGTCGTCTCAGACAGCGAGTACTACCCCGGCAACACAGACTTCAGCTTCAGGAAGGACTGCATGCACCACGAGTGTAGATGTAACTGTAACGGCTCGTGGCACTGTGACCTGACCAAATCACGTAACGTTTGTCTAGGGGAAACCCCGGGGGGGTGTAGGGTGTGCAAGATTTCAGAGAACCAAGTTTACCAAGCTAACCAGTTCTTTGACATCAGGCAAGGCTGTAACAATTTTAGATGCAAGTGCAACTGTAACGGCAGCTATTTTTGTCCAGGTGAAGACGTGAGAGATGTTTGTAAAGGCGAAATACCAGGAGGATGCAGGTCTTGTATCATCTCAGCCAACGAATACTACCCAGGAAATAGCTACTTTAATCTGACGAGAGACTGCGTGCAGTACAGGTGTAAGTGTAACTGTGCGGGCAGCTACTCCTGTCCTGGGAAAACAGCCAGGAGAGTTTGCCAGCAGCCCGCGGTCTGCGGAAATTGTTTGGTGTCCGACACGGAACGGTTTGCCGGAAACTCGAGCTTCTCTCTCTCCCGAGGCTGTAGCCGCTACGAGTGTACATGCAACTGCAACGGCAGCTGGTCGTGTCCAGCCTCCAACACCAGGAACACCTGCACCGCTGAAAGCACATCTCAGTGCAGCTCGTGCAGCGTGCACAGTCAAGTGTACCCCGGGAACACCACGTTCAAGTTTAGCCGAGGGTGTCAGCAGTATGACTGCAGGTGTACCTGCAATGGCCGCTGGGAATGTGATGTGAAGAAACCAGTAAACATTTGCAATGAAAAAACGCTCAAGTCAAAAGTCGTGCCAGCCAGGACAAGGCAGGAACTGAGTTATCAAAATCCATCGCAGACGACAGAAAGTGGAAATGTCTTGACTAGATCGAGCGTCAGGTCTTCTTCCAATATCGGGTACCAGAGCCTCGCAGCTGAAGACACGCAGGAGCGGGCCGTCAATACACAAGCGGCTGGATCTTACGTCACCGCCAGGTGTAGGGCTTGTGTGGTGCATGGGGCGCAGTTTCCACCAGCCGAGGCTTTTTCCTTCGAGAAGGGCTGTATCCGTCTCCGCAATTGCAGATGTTTTTGTAACGGGACATGGCAGTGCAGGGAAGAGTCAAACACGTGTGACGTCAATCCGAGACTGGTCAACTTCCAATCAAACGGGACCCATCGGAGACTGACCTTCAACTCGCCCGCTAAATTACCGGTGGCTGTCCCGCAAAAAAAAGTCGTAGTTGACGCTTCAGCCTGGGTCTACGTCAACGGCAGCGATTCTTCGTTCGTCAAAACACCCGACCCCCAGACTGGCGGTGGGTACTCGGTTCAGATTGATACCAAATATCATCAAAACACGCCCCCGCCCGGGGTGCCCCAGAGAGAAGACTCCCACTACTCTCAGTCCTACTCCCGGGAGAGCACTGGGATCAGCCATTGTCAGCAGTGCAAAGTCGACGCCATGACATACCCCACCGGCGCCCATTTTGACATGCGCAGAGGGTGCGTGGTTTACAAGTGCTACTGCATGTGCAGCGGGTCTTACCGTTGCCGATTGACGTCTGATAAGGACTGCTCCCCCACAGGGGCGCCGTGTTCAAACTGTGTGCACCTCGGTATGGTCTACCCTGGCGGTATGGGCTTCACTGTTGAGGAAGGATGTTATGAAAGACAATGTAAATGCGAATGTAATGGTAGCTACACATGCCCCATCAACAGGCTCAAACCGGGATGTTCAACGGATCCATCGCAGTGGAATGGGTTCGCCGGTCACGGCAACTTTTACCCCAGCCAACCTGGAAACTACCCGGGAGGAACCGGTTACATAACAGGCCGGCGGTTCGTTACCTCTACGTGTGCTGACTGCGGTGTTGACGAGATGATCCCCGTGTACCAACAGCCCGTGTTCCCAGTTTCTGATGGCGCTGACAACAACGGTCCCTGCAGGGTTTGCAACGTGGACGGGCAGAACAGGGAGGGCAACTCCACCTTCACCTTTGTCAAAGACTGCATTGAGTTCGACTGCTACTGCGCCTGCGCGGGATCCTGGCGGTGCGCAGGTCGCATCTCACCTGGCTGTAAACCTGGCTTCGAGCCCGGGACGGTTCCTCACGAGTCTGCGTGTCGAAGCTGTGACGTGTACGGGACAAAATATCCTCCAAACGAAATGTTCGCCTATAGACCAGACAGATGTTCTGAGCTCCAGTGTATGTGTAACTGTGATGGCTCGTGGAAATGCCCGAATCAGGTTCCCGTCAATATCTGCACGATGCAAAGATCTCCAGGAAGAGTTGCCGATCCTTTGATTGCCGGGGACGATGTTTATATCTCTGATCAGAGCGTGGCAAACGACCAACAAAGCCGCCAGACCAACTGCAAGCAGTGCCGGATACAAGACGCGAAATATCCTGGCAACTCCAAGTTTTTCTACAGGGAAGGCTGCATCCAGCGGATCTGCGACTGTAACTGTGACGGCACCTGGTCCTGCTCGGAAGAAAACAAGGTGGACATTTGCAAGTTCGAGGTCAAAGAGTCCAAACCGGTGGGTGAGTGTCGAGACTGCAGGGTCGGGGCGGACGTGTTCAACCCACAGAGAAGTTTTCAAATCAGAACCTCCTGCTACCTACAGAACTGCTACTGCTTTTGTAACGGGACCCACGTTTGCCCTATGGAGAAAATATTTTTCTTGTGTGATACCCCAGACGGGCGAGAATCCCGGGGGTCGGGCCAGTCTGCTACTTCCTTAACCTCGTCCGCCATGGCATCGTCTGTCGTGGCAGTGGGCCAGCAGACGAGATCTGGCGGGAGCTCGGGCCGAGAGAGCGGGTATGTGGAGGTGGAAGGGTGCAGCGACTGTCAGATGGACGGTTCCAGCGTGCGCACGCTCCGGTCGTTCATACGTCAGCTCAACTGTCACGAGACCCTGTGCTTCTGTCAGTGTAACGGCACCGCTGTCTGCCCCGCCAGCTCATCCGTCAACACGTGCGATCTGCCGGACAAGAAACCCATGAACGAAAGACCAGGTAAGTAGGGCAGCAATGTAGGGCAGATATGTAGGGCAGCTATGTAGGGCAGATATGTAGGGCAGCTATGTAGGGCAGATATGTAGGGCAGCTATGTAGGGCAGATATATATGGCAGATATGTAGGGCAGAAATGTAGGGCAGATATGTAGGGCAGATATGTAGGGCAGATATGTAGGGCAGATATATAGGGCAGATATGTAGGGCAGAAATGTAGGGCAGATATGTAGGGCAGATATGTAGGGCAGATATGTACGATATAAATGTAGGCAGCAATGTAGGGCAGAAATATAGGACAGAAATGTAAGGTAGAAATGTAAGTAGAAATTTATGGCAGAAATGTGGGGCATATATGTACGATATAAATGTAGGGCAGCAATGTAGGGCAGAAATATAGGACAGAAATGTAAGGTAGAAATGTAGGGTAGAAATATAAGGCAGAAATATAAGGCAGAAATATAGGACAGAAATGTAAGGCAGAAATATAGGACAGAAATGTAAGGTAGAAATGTAGGGCAGAAATATAAGGCAGAAATGTAGGACAGAAATATAAGGAAGAAATTTAGGACTGAAACATAAGGCAGAAATATAAGGCAAATGTGTAAAGCAGAACTATCAGATAGGTATTTCCGCTAGTATTAGTGGGATTGTGTACAATTGACTGTTGCTAGTATTAGAACTCATGCTATATGGTAGTCTTCTCAGTCCTAGTTGGTTATGGGTCCTGCGAAAGAAGGTAGTTGGTTATGGGTCCTGAGAAAGAAGGTAGTTGGTTATGGGTCCTGCGAGAAAAGGTAGTTGGCTATGGGTCCTGCGAAAGACGGTAGTTGGTTATGGGTCCTGAGAAAGACGGTAGTTGGTTATGGGTACTGTAGAAGAAGAGATTTATTTTTCAGCCGAAAAAAAAATGATGTTGAACTGAATAAGCTGTATCCGTGCAGGCAATGACGTAAAACTTTGTACTCACCAGGTTGTAAGGTGGAGAACAAGACCTACTTGACCCGAGTGTTCCCTAAAGTCGAGGACTGTCTCGAGAGGACGTGCATCTGTCATGACGACGGGACATGGACTTGCAGACGACACGAGAATGACAGGAGAGTCTGCTAATGACTCTGTGGCTGTCTTTTAATTTATTATCAATGTATCCTATTTTATGGATATATTAATTTTTTTGTTACGATTATCTTCTTACTATTAATTTCTTTAAAAAATCATTTATTTGTTAAAATACTCCAACTGAACTATTTTTTAATACGCGATCTTCTGCAGACGATTGCTTGAATATTTCACACTGCCTTTGAAATAGTTCGAAAATCTTTCATACAATAATAAAAAGGAATCATTACTTCAACAATATAAACATGTTCATTACCATCTCATGTAGGCCTATGCTATACTACTTAGGCAGTCTTCAGTTTTGCTTTATTTTCTGTAATTAGTGTGTGTGTGTATGTGTGCTGACATTTAAAAAATAATCTCTAACAGAAGCAATCCATTCCAGTTTATGTAACAGCCATTCTGTTAGAGAGTAGCTCTTTGAACTCTAAACATCATTGCCTTTTGTTACACGGCAAGTCATCACTCAACTCAAAACTCGCCTGTCAATTTACTCCGAAAAAAATTTAGCAATATTTCAAAATATGTCCGTAAGTTTAAAAAAAAATAACATTCAAAGCAGATCCGCAAAAATGCAGTCCGAGCATAAGCCTAGCAGTTTGAAACAGTATTACCCTCCCCCCCTTCCCTTATTACTCATTTTTACATCATAATTCACATATTTCTATCTTGTATTTCATTATGATTTCTTTTGTAATGTAATGTATACTATGCGCGGTTTTTTTCTCTTGCTTATTAAAATGGCATTTGTATTAAAAGTAACTCTCTATCCTGTGTTGAGCGTTGATATATTTAGGAGCAACATATTACATGTATCGCTTTGTTCACATAAACACTTTTTTTCATTACACAATATGTAAGTTCACATCGTACCTTTGGCCATTACCGTATATTCACTTTAAAATACTAGAAATTGTTAATGTAAGCAAGCATGCGATATAATGAGAGTCTATTCACATAATTTGATATTGGATTAAAGCAACGTTAGGACGATGGGTGACGCCATGCTGTAGAAACCAGTTCAGTTTCACTGGCTAACCACACAATAATATATGGTCTGTTGGGTCCGTAGACAAGAACTCTAGCCAATACAGCTAAACAGACTCTGTTATGTCATTAAATTAAGCAGACAGCGCCGAATTTTTTTTTACAAACTTTACCTATAGAATTTTACTGGATTCGATTATATATGATCGTATTTGACTCACACCGAACTGTGGAGTAAAAATTCCTTTCCAAACATGTCGGTCCATGGAGCAAGTGAAGTAGAGTTCACCTGTTTCTGTGACCTTGGCTTATGAAGGGAAATGTACTCACATTTAATCCTAAACATTTGCCTCACCCCGCCACCTTCCCCCCGCCCCTCATACACATAGCTACTCAAAGTTCCATACACTGCACATGCCACATCTATCCCGTAAAACGCCGGGGTCTTTTATTTTCGGATTAAAATTAAAATCGCATTTGAAACTACACAGTAATTTAAAATGCCTCAGCCAAAAATGGCATTAAATTATTGTTTTAAACAACTGAACGACTGTAAAACTATTGTTGAGACAAACATTACATCACTAAAAAACAAATATTAATCGACACAAGACCATAGTCTACTCTTTAGGCTTCAGTACTAATAGGAATTCTTTCATCAAAACTATCAATACAGTTTTTAAAATGTAAAATGTACTAGAAGTCAAACAATTGAAAAAAAAACAACTATATAGCATAGCTTAGAGATGTAGTTAGTAAAATTAACAGGTTAAAGTTTAAAGAGAATCATGGCATCAATGTAAACATTGTTAAGAACGCAGCAGTTGATAAAATTAAAACCCACAAAATAATAAAGTTTACTGGTTTTCTTTGGTAAGCAGCTAGATCTATATACATTTATACAGGGTATTCAAATTTGCCTAATATTTCTAAATTATTTTAAAAACTACTATTTTATTTTACAATTTTCTTTGAAGTTTTTCTTTTCTTTCCAACCCTCGAGAAATACTCACTCCGAAATCTCAAGGAGAAAATATTCCACTGAAATAAATGCGGGCGTATATTATCGGGATTCCCCGTATAAAACCCCAGAAAGATGGGAGTAAACGCTTCGCACCGTGCCGCACATCGAGTGCTAAGTTCTGTAGCAACTGACGTCACTCATGGCCGGCTGATGTCAACTCAAGGTTTCGTTGTTCTTGGCAGAGTGGGTAAGTTAACCTTCATTCCATTTTTCAATACACCGTCAAACTTGTCGGTTTTGGTGGCGTACTCAATGAGTACGAAAAACAGAATATTTTTTACGTCAGTGGAAGTACGTTTTAGAACAGGAAATAGAATCTAGATCTAGTCTAGACTCTAGCTCAACGTTACTTTCCGTTGTTCGCCTACCTGTAGGTCTAGTAAGCTAGGCCAGGCTAACTGCCGGAAACAACTGTTTGATAATGAAAAGACAAACGTCCATTCTTCTATAATCAATCAATTGATAGGTCGCTGTAACTTACGGAAAGTTATAGACTCTAGATCTAGATTCTAGATCTAAATTCTAGATCTAGCAACATGACATGATACCTACACACCACAACCTTAGTTTCTTTCAGGCATTTCTGCCACTTCCCCATGAAGAACGGCTACCGCCCCCTCCCCCTTCCCCCATGAAATAGAATTTAGATATCTATATAGAAAATATTTACTTTTACCAGTGTCCCCCGTCTTCCCCCACCCTGCGTAAATTTTGTCCGCCCCCCCCCCCCCCCCGGGAGAAAAAAGTCTGAAAGAAACCTTGACCACATTTTAAAATTTAAATATAGATCTAGAATCTAGATCTAGACAACCCTCCCATAGATATCAAGATAGACTAAAAAATCTAGATCCAATTATGGACTAGATCTAGAATCTAGATCCAGATTAATTAATCATCGAATCATTCAAGCTAGCAGAATGGTTACTCAACTACTAGACTAGGTCTAGGTCTAGAATCTTGATCTAGACTAGATCTAAATCTAGGTATGAGTTAAAACTAGAAGTAGTGTTATCAGTATGTGATGCCTATAACATTACCCACGCCTGTAGAAGTGGTATACATCATACATTTTTCAACTCTTGATCCAGATCTAGATCTCACTATGGTAAACCCCAACTACTACTCTTAAGACTTCTTAGGCTAGGTCACTATTAGTACTACAGTTAGGCTAAATAATAGACTTTCACTAAGCCTAACCCCTACACTTGGCTACGACTGCTACGGAAGCAGACATTTTGCTTAGGGGGGGGGGCACTTGAAACTTCCGAGGGGTCACTTCAAACTTTCCGGGGAGGGGGAGAGGGAAGACAATGCGGATTGACTCAACATTTGATGTCAGTTTGTATTCATTTCAAAACGGATTGGCTTATCAAATTGAGGCAATCATACACAATACATAAAAATATGAAAAAGAAATAGATCAAGATCGAAGGAGAATAGATCTTGGAATAAGAGTTGAACCAGATTTAGATTAGTTTCCTTTTTATTTATTGCACTACTGACACTAAATTTGATTTATGTTGTGTCTTTGATATCTCTTTACCAGAGATTCTTTCAGGCATCTTTACAGGAGTGGGACCCCCTCCCTCCACCGAGCCCTGAATGAAATATTATTTCTATACAAAATGAACACCACAAACAGTATGTCCCCCTCTTCCCCCCCCCCCAAAGTTTTAATTACCCACACCCCACCCCCAGTAAAATGTCTCAAAGAAACTGCTCTTTATACTCTTTCGGGGGGGGTGCAAAATGTTGGCTTTTAAAGTTTGGCTTTAATAGTTATCTCTACCAATCAATGATGTCTTATTTATTAGCTCAACTGACTAAATAAGTGCTAACTTGTTGGCTAGAAAAACCCTAAACCGTAACTAAAGAGCAGCACTTCTTTATAAATGAGCGCTATATTTTACCGAAACGTGCACTAAACAGCACTTCCTAATTGAGCGCTATATTTTACCTACCAAACTGCAAATACATAGCTACTAAACAGTCTCAACTTAACAGATACCAAACAGCAATTAAACAGTAACTATAAATAGCAACTATGCAGCTAGTAAACAGCAACAAAACAACTTCCAAACAGCAACTAAAATCCAGCTACTAAATAGTAACCAAACAGCAACCAAACAGCTTATAAGCGGCTAATAAACAGCATTTAAACAACTACCACACAGCGACTAATATATAATATGCAACCAAACAGCTATTAAACAGCAACTACACAGCAACATATAATTCCTGCATGTCTTATTGTTATTTTATGCTGGCACCGCTGCTCTTAAACTAACCGGTTCACGGAAATTGCCGGCAATACAAGACAGGTTCGGGGGATGGTCCATCTAGGCTCAGCGTCTAGTTCATGTTTCGTGTATCGATACCTTCTAAATTAGCACAAACAACCTGCCAATGTGCATTCTGTAAACCTTAGCCCTTGCCCAAGAACTGTTCTAAACCTTACCTCAAATCAGTGGCGTAGCGAGGTCGGGTGTCACCCGGTGCGGCACTTAATGGTGTCACCCCCTCAGAGGCGTAGCGACCCTTCCCGGGGACAAACTTTCAAATTTTCGATTTGCACCCCTCCTCAAACTTTCGATTTGCACCCCTCCCCCCTCAAGTTTTCGATTTGCACCCCCCTCAAGTTTTTCTCTATATATTTTGCTATTTTTTTGCCTTGGTGTCACCCCCCCCCCCCTAAATGGTGTCACCCGGTGCTGTCCGCCCCCCCCCCCCGCCCACGCCCCCCCCCTCACTACGCCCCTGCCTCAAATGTGGTAACAGCACACACCAAAGCGATGCCGGCAGAACAAAAGCACGTCGTTTCGATACTAACACCTCGCTTTATTATCTTTATCAACGATGTGTAGGTATGGCTGATCAATCCCATTTTTAAACATAGGGACAGGGCGACAGCATTGTGTGATTTTTTTTTCCTCTGTCGGTATTTGTGTTAGGATTAGAAAAGAGTTGTGATTAGGTTTAAGCTCAGAGCTGAATATAGGTGCAGGGTTAAGTTTACGGCTGAGATAGCAATTACATTGAATAAACAATGCCTCCCCCCCCCCCCCCCGCCCCTTTAGCCTTAAAGTTGTGTTGATTAGACATCCATACACTTTGAATTTTGGACCGCGATACTAAAACCTCTCGTGTTAGTGTTAAAATCGATTACCAGACCGCCATAAATGCTTCGTTAACCAGCAGATCATTAAATGGATTTATTTTTGCTGGTATCGTATCCTTAACCGTTACCCTAACCGAAAAAGCCTTGAGCTTACTTTTATCTTTATTTAGTCTATAATCTAGAGCATAGCTGTATTAGATAGGTCGACAGTAGATATTTTCTTGATGGAAGAAATTTTACCGGCATAAAAACTTTACCAGCAGAATATACGTACCGCCAAAAGAAACTTTTATCAACAAAAGAAACGTTTACCCGGCAGAAGAAACTTTTACCATCAGAAGAAACTTGTATTATCAGAAGAAAATTTTACCATCAAAAGAAACTTTCATCAACAAAAGAAACGTTTACCCGGCAGAAGAAACTTTTACCATCAGAAGAAACTTGTATTATCAGAAGAAAATTTTACCATCTGAAGAAACTTTTACCATCAAAAGAAACTTTCATCAACAAAAGAAACGTTTACCCGGCAGAAGAAACTTTTACCATCAGAAGAAACTTGTATTATCAGAAGAAAATTTTACCATCTGAAGAAACTTTTACCATCAAAAGAAACTTTCATTAACAAAAGAAACGTTTACCCGGCAGAAGAAACTTTTACCATCAGAAGAAACTTGTATTATCAGAAGAAAATTTTACCATCTGAAGAAACTTTTACCATCAAAAGAAACTTTCATCAACAAAAGAAACGTTTACCCTGCAGAAAAAACTTTTACTGGTGGAAGAAACTTTTATCAGCAGAAGAAACTTTTACCATCAGAAGAAACTTTTACCCGCAGAAGAAACTTTTGCCATCAGAAGAAACTTTTACCATCAGAAGAAACTTTTACCATCAGAAGAAACTTTTACCCGCAGAAGAAACTTTTACCATCAGAAGAAACTTTTACCCGCAGAAGAAACTTTTACCGGCAGGAGCTTAGAAATTTCACTTAAATGTTTCGGAGCTTAGTTTTTACACTTATATGTTTTGGAGCTTAGTTTTTACACTATAATGATTTGGAGCTGTGTATACTATCTTTTACCATAACAAAACAGACGGATACAATGTTTTTATTCCTCGTGAAGGTACTGGAGGGTAATTATCTAGTAAATACGTATTACCTTAACACTGAGTGTAACTCTAATTCCTACTCTAACCCTGAACCTTAACTGCAACAATACCGGTAGAAAATGTAGAAAAAAGTCGAGAAGATACTGTACCTTCCAGTCAATGTTTTTAATACAACCCTGTACACACCTAGCCAATCGGATAGCGCTTAAGGTTGATATCGATACTAACCTTAACCCTTACGATACTAACCCTAACCCTTACGATACTAACCCTAACCCATACGATACTAACCCTAACCCTTACGATACTAACCCTAACCCTTACGATACTAACCCTAACCCTTACGATACTAACCCTAACCCTTACGATACTAACCCTAACGATACTAACCCTAACCCTTACGATACTAACCCTAACCCATACGATACTAACCCTAACCCTTACGATACTAACCCTAACCCTAACGATACTAACCCTAACTTATGATAGTAACCCTAACCCTTACGATACTAACCCTAACCCTTACGATACTAACCCTAACCCTTACGATACTAATCCTAACCCTTACGATACTAACCCTAACCTTTACGATACTAACCCTAAACTTTACGATACTAACCCTAACCCTTACGATACTAACCCTAACCCTTACTTAAATTCTGGCTGTCAATGCTTGTAGTTTCTACTATAACGTGGACCATCAGCAATGATTTGTTTTCGATACTCGTCAATTGACTCGAATATTTGTAAAGACTGTAACGCTGAAAAAAAAATTTAACCATTAAACCTTACATTCAAATATAACAATTATCTAACTAAAAATAAATCTTCTTATAACTCTGCCCAGAACCTTTACCCACGCGATCTAAATAATTTTTTACGGATATCATCCCATGTGTTTGGTCAGTCAGCATTTATAAACCCATCAAATGACGCATTGAGTGCTATTTTTATAAACTAGTAACGACAAATCTAACCCTGACCAAGAGTAACCCATGTAAACAATGGCTTGTTTACCTTTAAAATAACTTTCCTTATAATTCTACCTAGAACCTTTAACAACAGTACCAACTACATTATAATCAACTACACAAAAATATTACAAGGACACATGAACGTGAACTTATATCAAACTTCCTAAAACGTCAGAAAGACTTATACAACCTGTTTGTTAAAAACATTACTCATACCCTAGCACTAACCAGAACAGCTATTTCGTCAGAAGATATGAAAAACTCGTGTTGTCTTGTTTGTAGCGACTTAACAAAGTCCTATCTTTTCTGTATGCATCGTCACACGTTGTGTTTTAAATGTTACTTTCAGAGCCTGAAGTGAAACATCAAGAGTGATGATTCTCTACTTCTAACAGTACCAGCCAGCACAGAAGAACTCACTTGTTGGGCGAAGCACCGTCGCGCAGGCGACCCATCTTGTAACGTTAGCATGGCAGACCCTGAGACCGGATCAGTTGCTGCACTCGCAGGCCTGATCGCCAGTCCTGTCGCAGACTCCTACACCAACCTGTCTGAACCTTTAAGTCAAGGAATCCACTATGACGTCATCTCTGTTGAAGCGGATAAGTCTGAGGAAGGCACAGTTTCAGACCTTCTGGTTATGGAGGTAGGTCAATATATGTAACGTCATTGCTCTGTTGTAATTGACACCGGCATGATGATACAATATGCTATCGGGTTTTGTCGGCGATATTGATTTTAGGGGTCAGGGTAACGACTAGAGTCGAGGCTATGGTAAGGTTAGGTTATGGATTTGTTTTAGAGCTATAGTTCTTAACTTGGGTTCGATCGAACCCCCAGGGTTCGTCGAGTCAGTCTCAGGAGTTCGGCGGAGGTCAAGACACACACCCGACTCCTAAGAGTCGGATTTAGTCAATGCGGACGATAGAACCATTAAGAAGGGTTCGATGAATGCTCAAATGAAACTGGTGGAGTTCGGTGGCTATGAAAAGGTTAAGAAACCACGAGGTAAGAGTAAGCGGGACTGAAAACTAAAGCGTGGAATATCATACTTCCGGTTGGCGTCTTAGTAAGTACAGCGAATTTTTATTGCTGGCTGTAGCTGAACGTTATGCTATTTCACCGTTATTATGGCGGCACGACCCCTCCCCCTTATTCACCCATGTACTCATAAACATATGCATACAAAAAAACACCTTGAACCAAACAGCAATGCCGAATTTTGAAATACCCCGATAGTATATGGCTCTACCATAGGTACTCTTAGGTTTATGCATGATAGTATGTACCTGGTGCCTGTTTATGTGTTGACTGCATCAGACTTTAGATTTGTGTTATTTTGCTGAGTCAGCTATCCCTAATTTCACTCTTGCACTTTGGTTTTGAACAAACAAAAGTATAACTAGACGTGTATTACACGTGTTAGAATCTGCTCAGACTAGAACTGTTTGCAACACAGCAGAGATTTAAAATAATTCACATTGAATTTTTTTTAAGGAAAAGGGTTTTTGTCATATTAAAAAATCACAACAAAAAAAAAAAAAAATACAAAAGTAAAATGCTCTCAAAAATAAAAAAAATATTTTAGTGTAGCCTTACTCAAGCCATATGGGGGTCATCCATAAATGACGTCACACTTTTTGGGACGATTTTTCCTTTCATCCCCCCTCTCCTCCGTTACAGATCGTCACAAAATGCCAGCCTTCGACCCCCCCCCTTAAATGACGTCACACCTCAGCCTATAACCCCCCCTCCCCACCGCCTCAAAAGTGCAGTATATTTTTTTAACTTTAATTTCTGTCTAAAATATTGACTAAGCTCAGTCAATATAAAGTATATTAATCAATTCCTATTGCAATTTACAAAAACAGTCTTCAAAAACGAGAAATAACGGCCCAAATTTCAGGTTGTAACATTATTTTTCAAAGTACAAAACTGTGACGTCACATTATCTGAACCTCATCCCATGACCACACAGCATCACAAAATTACGTACTCCCTCCCCCGTACGAGTGACGTCATTTATGGATGACCCCTATGCTGGTATGACCAAAAATAAAGGCCTGTGGCAGTAGCGTAGCGAGGGGGGGTCATATGTCCCCGGGCGCCGACTTTAGGGGGCGCCAAAATGGGTTGGAAAAATACATTGAAAGGTTGGGGGGGGTGGAAATCGAAAGTTTGAGGGGGGGGGGTGGAAATCGAAATCTCGAGGGGGGGGGGGGGTGCAAATCAAAAAGTTTGTCCCCGGGCGCCGGGAAGGGTCGCTACGCCTCTGCCTGGGCGCCCAATGATAAAAATTGAACATAGATCTTATATTATGTGATAGAAGGTAAACCTATCAATGAACTCCCTATGAAAGGGATTATTATCTCCGTAATTGAGCGACCAGGTGTTTAGTTTTAGCCATACCAGCATTTAGCTTTACTAAGGTTACTAATTTTTTTTTACGTTTTAGAGCATTTTTTCATTTGGGATGTTTTGTGATTTTTTAATATAATTAAAGCCTTTTCCCTTAAAAACAAGTTTTTATGAGAATTGTTTTCCACTTATTAGTCATTTGTTTGAAATGAAGTTGAAACTACAGCTACGACTAAAAAGATTGCATTAACCCCCCCCCCCCCCCAGTAGCTTGTGATCTCTAAACCTCTACCCCTATTTAGTTCGAGGCCGAGGATAGGATACGACGTCAGCCAACCGTGAAAACAGTTCACCCTCTAAGGCCCTCTGATCGAGCGATCACTAGTATTTTATATCTCCCCTTTTATTCAGAAATATTTTTGTTTCAATTATCTATTTAATAATAGCCTTTAATTAGATTACAAATTCGATATTCTTGCGTCGTCATCCAAGATCTATTGTGGCTATTTTCAGCAGAATCGGACAATGGAAAAGTGGGTTCAATTAATATTCCAAAATTTGCGGATTAACAGACATAGTGAGTGAGCTAAATATAAGCCTGAAATAATTGCTCTAGGTTTACTTTTCTTTTTAAATTTCAGAATGATGACGCAACTGAAATGTATGAACTAGATCCAAACCTAGCTGTCGCTGTGACAACGGACGTAAAAGACAACTTGAACGAAGTTTCCGATGTGTATATTTCTAGAGAAGCGTTGAGCCGGCTGGCCGAGAAAAGCGAAGACCTCCAGCGCTCTGACGTGCCACTGACCCAGCCAAGCACGAAACCAAGAAAGAAATTTCTGTTTAAAGGCAAGTCTGACCTAGTCGCCTCGCAGACGATTAGACCTCTGGCACCGAGACGAACTACCAAACTATATGAAAGAGGATCGATGGATACGTTTAGTGTCTCTGACAATATTTATGATCAGGAACTCGATCAAACAAAAATCAACACAGACGTTGAAGCACTCCAAATGTACAGCTTACAAGGCCTGGACAAAGAAACTATGAAGAGCCCGTCCGAGTCTAGGGAGACAAGCGACCCCCACGTCTTTAAAGAATACGAGTGTAAAACTTCCATGGCCTTGCACGACGTTACAAAATGCATGGATGAGTTAAGTACAAACTGCTCTCCAGACAAATGTGAATCGCCAGTCCGCAAAAGTCTTGAAGGCAAGCTGGAATCAACCTTGGTCAAAGATGTCATTTCCAGGGATTCAAGCGAAGACTCGGGTTGCTTCTCTAACCTTTCCAGACAAAGCACAAATCTCGCAAATTCTATTAATAGCTGTGATTTTGATTCAGCCGTCTTCGACGCAGGCCACGAAAGCGCCGATGATTCGTATAGCAGACATGAGTGTGACTCTGCTCAGCACACTAGCAGCGGCACCTGCGGGCAAGACATGAAAGACCGCGGCAGCGGCATGTGCAAAAACTGCTGGGGTCGTGTCAAGAAAGACACCGTGCGCTTGGGTACGCTGGATGACTTCAAGGCGTACGCCCAGTCCATCGCCCAGAGCGTCAAAAATATTCTGGACATTAGGCCACGACTTATGAAAGATGAAACTAAATCCTTTGACAGCACCAAGGTGCAAGATGCGAACAAGATTTCTAATACAGATGAGTCAAGTAAAAGGTCTTTGCAGCGATTTAAAACAGACATTCATCTTGGCTTCCTTAACGAGAGTCGTGCGAAAATGTTACTAAACCGTAGTGTAACATGCAAACCAGCTACAATGGACAGTACCCTGGCTCTACAGGCACCGTCTGATATACTGGACGGTACCTTGTCAACGTGCTCTGCTTTAGCTATATCGAAAGGTCGTGATGTGGGCTCACCAAGAATGATGAGTCCATGCATGGATGATGAAGCGTCCATGCTACTACGAAACTTGGAGCTTAAAAAGAAAAAGCTCAACCGTATCAAAGCAATTAAAGAAGAATCTTTCAATTTTGTGGCAAAGAATAACGAGGAGGAAAAGACTAAGCCAGTAGTTCCCCGTACCGCGAAAATTCAGCCCCGTGTCGAGAGAGCATCAACAGGCAGTAATCTAATCACAAAAACTCAGTCACCAGTCATCACCACAAAGTTTTCAAAGAAAGAACTCGTTGCTGCTGTCAGCAAATCGGCTGATGGTGATGCAATTAAAAGATCGATTAAATCTGCAAAAGATAAACAAAATGCCATTAAAATCCTTCGACTGCAGCTACTCAGAGAAGGAACGCCTGTTGACCCCCCACATAGCGTCGAGAAGAGACAGGACAGTAAACTCAAGAAAAGCAGCCTTAGCCGCAGTGCTACAGTGTCCTACAAAACGTCTACTACCAAGAAAGACCCGAAACCAAAGTTGACGAAAAAAGAAGACAGTCTGCTCAAAGTGAATCGTTCATCCACTAAAATCACAATCCGAACCAACAAAGCATCTGCTTTAAGAAAAGAGAACAGCATCAAAGGTAAAGAAAGACTGTTTCCCCCAGGGCATGCATCGGCTGAGTCGTGGAAGGACGAGCCGGGTAAGGTGGACATTAGGCATAGATCTGCCTCGGACGATGGCATTATGCCCTTGTATCACCAGAGATCCGACATTAAAAAGAGCTGGTCAAGATCTGCCGTCAACGAAAACATGATCCACTCCGATTTCAAGTCAGGGATCTTTAAAACTGGAAGATCAAAAACCGGGGACGCCGTTACCACTGTGGTAGATGATGTCAAGCAGACAGAATACAAAACCAAGTCCTCTGGTCAAAAACTCCCCCACTCCGTGCTTTCTGACCAGCTGTACAGTGGCCAAACTCTTCATAATGCTCTCAAGGTGAACGAAACTACACTAGAGCCTCCCAAATATGTGGATCACCCAGTACCTGCACCTCGCACAGACAAGCCTGTCAAAACAATTCCTGCAGCTGTTCCTCCAGATAATTCTTATTGCGATGGAGTGAAACATTTACCTGTCGCTCTAGAACGACAACTGTCGTCCCTTTCTAAAACTAAATTAGCCGACACGGGCAACTATTATAACGAGCCAGCAATTGACGCTGATATCCATGAACCGAAATCGTCAGAAGCAACCAAGGTTGACGCGTTGGTCGTGGCGAAGGCTGAACTGTACACAGTGGAGAACACCAAAGAAGACACGTACTATGAGACGAAAGACATGGCCTTGTCTAAACGCGATCGTTCCCACGAGAGCAAGTCTAGCACCAGCTTTCACGTGGTCGCTAATGTCAGGAGCAGTCACTCGGATTTGGCACTGATCAGACCTCAGAGTGTCTGTGAAAATTATACGTCCAGGAGACACGGCGGCGAGACTGACGTAGACACGGGATTTATCTACCATTTCGCTAAAAGACAGACAACAAGGGCACAGGTGCCAAACTACCATGACCTGACTTCAAGTAAGGGCATCTACACCATGAGCGGCGATGTCAGCACATCAGACAGCTCCTATAGCAGCATTAGCGGCAAAAGCGAGCCCGCGGAGAACTGCTACACTGGCGGTTTCTACAAGCAAGATCCCTTCTACGACCACGACAACAACGGCGATAGCAGCTCAGCAAGTTCTTCTAGCCATCTTTACTTTGAACCGACCCAACTCGTGTGCAATAAAGAGCTGAGCGAACAAGATCTGTACACTGGAGATGTTTTCAACAGCGAGCAGAACGACATGTTTACCAAAGAAGTGCCTTATTCAAATGGTAGCACAAACAATTCTTCACGCCCAGTACAGAGTCGAATGTCTCGCCGGTACAGAGGTAGGCCACGAATCGATTACGTTGTCGACAGCGACCTGGATATTATAAATGGCACCACAATGGCACTATGGGGCAACAACTATTCCAACAATAGCAGCAACGGACCAGATTTCGGAAGAGAATGGAATTACGATGAATTCTCCAAGGGTGAAGTGGATTCTAGACCACAGATAACTACCAGCGAAGACTCCGCCTACACGGATTACGTCAACCACAGGCCAGCGCCCCTGCCCGTCAAACAGGAAACAAGTTACCAGAAAACCATTGATTTCACCAAATATGACATGCAAGAGACCGCGAACACCGGTTTCTTCTTCCAAGCATCAAATAAAGTAGACACGGAAGATATGTGGTACCGAGGTCCACGAGTTCGAACATACATGGGAGATCCTTTAGAGCGAGGCATCGAAGCCTGCCCGAATTTGCATCGATTGCCCCCTAATGACGAGGACGATAGTTACACTAATATCATTTGCCCAAAGTATAAGAACAATAACAATGAACACGAATTACCAGTAAAAGAGATAAAAGAGGAGGACAATCTTATCTTTAACAATCACAACAACAATCATTTGGAAGATTTCTATACGGGGGATTATGAGCCACAAGATGTAAGACGCAAGCCACCGCTGGGGGTGAAAGAACAGTCTGGTGGATCTCACTACAGCACATCCGGGTTTTACATGGATTCTGTGATGAGTCCCCACCCAGCGGGACCCCGGCTGTTTGGACAACAGGGGGATTCTTACGCCAGCCACGGCGCCTATGGCTCCAGCGATTACTCGTCTCCAGGCATGTACGGCCATTTGGAGCGTGCTAATCCCCGTTCACTTTCTAGCAGTCCATCGCGAGGTGATTATGCTGATCCTCCATATGCATCACCCAGCATGTACGGGGCAGCTCCACTTGACGGGCGTATGAGCCGTGAAGCCGATTCTTGGAATGTATACGAGGCATCTCAATACAAAACCCCTAGACAAAGCGACTACGAAGAACTGCCAACTCAAAGATACGGTCGGGAGGTGCGTGTGCAACAAGAGGAGAGGGACAGTTACTTCGACTACACCGCTAGCCGCAACCCGTCCGCGGGCTTCTACGGCGAGAACAATATTGCAGGTGCCTTCTCTTCTTTTAATGCCGCCGTCGCTCCACCGGCAGTGCCAGTTGTTCATGAAATCAAGAAAGTCGGTGGAATCGTTTGTCGCGAGAACGTGGTGAACAAAGAAGACTATGCAGAAGATGTCAACCGAGATCTTATGGATGAACCCGGTGCATGGGTTTCTTACAAGTACAGGGCTGAAGAAGATACGCGAAATTTTAAGGAAATGGGTGGCAGCCGATCGACCAAGCATGAACTTTTTTCTCCGACGGAAACCAGTGCCACAGGAAAATTTAAAGTATCAGACGACAGTCCGTACGCTACCAACGAAGTTCACGATAATTTCGGGGCGAGAAATAAATGGAGAGAGATGAATGATCATGCCGCGAACAAGCGCGACAAAGATCCAAAGAATAAAGGTTCGGCCAAAGAGAAAAAAAATTATTTGAACGGAACTGCCTGGCGACCCTCCGATCAGATTCCAGAAAGAGCAATGGGAAAGAGACCACAGCAAACTAGCAACAAGCTACCTATAACGCCAACTATACTGGAGCATAACAGCAACACCAGTGCCGCTGGCTCAGGCAACAGTAAGTAAATCCCATGTGTTGTTCTTGTTGCTTTTTATTGATTATATCATGTGTATAGACATCCATAAATGACGTCACACACCTATGAAGGGAGGGAAGTCTGATTCTATGTGTCAAGACGTTCCATGTAGCTTACCTGTTGTATTTCTAAATATATATATATATATATATATTTATCAACGTTGCTTTTCTAACCAGCTATGCTTCCTTTAGGGGAGTGGGTGTAAAGAGAAAACGATCAGGGGGGGGGGGGGTGATATCCTCAGCCTTTTGTGACGAAGATAGCAAAAAAATGGGGTGCTATAATCAAACTTGTGTGACGTCATTTATGAACGACCCCTTACCTACACTGGCATCAGACACCTCTACACAAATGAAATGGTTAGTTGCCATTTTATTTTAGACTCAATTTTTATTTTATATTTTATTCTTGAAAAATGCTTATTCACACCATTCATACACACAAGGACAACTGGTGATAATACTTTCAGATAATAGCTCAAATTGTTTTGATAGCACGTTCTTTGGGCGCTTATTTTTAGACGACCCTTATTATTACGTCATTCTTAATTTTGACCATAAATATAAAAACCAATCTCCTATTGTCATGTGCTTTCATGCTCCAAGAGCTCGTGTTCTTCCAGGTTTTTACTTCCATGTTTACTTAGGTTCACCTGTGCAGCTCAGAAAGTATTTTCAATCGAATTTCACACATGGACCCATTGGAAATGTAATAGAACAAAATGTTATGGACCCCCTTTAATAGGACCCTCTAGGGTCCGTGTGCCATACGTAAATATATTCTGGCTATTGGGCTTTTTCATTTGTAACAGCAAAAGACACCAGACATACAGTATAAGTGGCTACTTTTCTGTCAATGTAACGGATAATGAATGGTGTTGGTGTGTTGCAAGTGATAGATCTATTTTAATAATGGGTCGTCCATAAATTACGTCACATTCCTGAGGTAGGGGGCGAACTTTTGGGTCGATATGTGACGAGGGGGAAGGTTGGATATAAAGTATAACATCACAATTTAGCAATTTGAAAACATTATTGACACTGAATTGTAGCAGCTATATCGCAATTTTTTTACGCTTTTATTAATTGTAAAAAATAAAGATTATGTAACAAGTACGGAGTTGTTAGAAGAAATTGAAGTATAAATATTGATAAGCGCTGTTTTGGCCATATCAAAATTGCTAGCTAGCAGTTATGAAGGGAGGAAGAAAAGACTCCTAAAGGGTCTGACTATTTGCGATGATATGTGGCGATGGGGTGGGGGAAGCTGCGTCATTTATGGACGACCGTTCGGTGCACGAGATAGATTAAGTATCCCTGCTTCGCCCAAGTTCACGACACTGACAAAACTCCACTGCTGGCGATGGACATGAGAAAATAAGCTCAGCGAGGACCAACCGTTTACTAACATGGGAAACCAATGGGATAAGCCCTACTGCAACATGTTGGCTGATTCAAATACCATATTCCGAGGCAACCGTGTTTTGAAGGTGTCGCCGAACTGGCCGCGAATCAGGCGTAGTGCACACATTGACAAAAATCTGGCCACTTACATGAATCTAACAAAGTTTTCCCTCTTGCAGCGGTCTGGTCCACGGTAACATGGATCCCATCCCGTGTTGGCGATATGGTCAAAAAATTGTTTTGATCTAGTTCCAACACAAGTTGCGTGTCTAGTGGAACTCTTGAAGACAGTAATTTTTAAAATAATATTTGATAGTTCAATATATTCAGCAACAGCATCACCATAGAAAATCGTGCAGTAAGTAAAGGATGTGTGAGTGAAACAACATTCGTATTCCACCTTACTAAAAGATGTCCTTGCATGTCATAACTGTTCTATTGACTAGAGCCCTAGTGTAAACAATCGATGCGAATTGAAATGCTTCAAAACAACCAGTTTCATCTCGAGCTTTTTTTCTAATCCGAATAATAATAACAAGCCGGTAATTACTATGGCAAATGGCGTTAGTTAAAGAATGTATCTATGGCAGCCACGTATAATAAAGCTGAGGGTGTAGGTGTTCTGTTTAAACCGTTACAAGGGGAATACGTATAGGAAGGAATATGTCTGGTTTCTTTTGCAATCGTTACATTACTTGGTAGCAATGCCACAAATGTCTTATGATAACATTTTGGGAGATTTGTTTCCAAAATCTACAGTTAACCTCCATCTTTAGCAAGCCGGGCAATCAGGACAATTGCTATGGTATCTTTAACATCAAACTTTTAGACCACTACGTGTTAGATTCGACTGTGTGGAGATGTGTGGCTAACACAACTGACAAGAAAAAAATGAATGTCTAGTTATCTCACCCTTCTTCTACATGCTCTAGGTGCTTGATAAAAGATTCGCTTAAAAAAATAACCTCTCCCCTTATTGTTACTCAACTCTAACGACATCTTGAAAAGCTGTGTTTACTTTGTTGTATCCGTGGTATCTTTTTATTTATTTTTTCTTCAAAACTAGCTCCTGTAATAGAATCGCAACCCAGAATCAGCCTATCGAAAACCCCGAAACCCAGCTCTCGTTCTTGTATACAGGTCGAACCCCCCAAATGGAGAAAAGTAAAATTAGATTATCCCAAGCCTAGACCACGCCCAAAGCCCGAAGAAAAGCCAGAAGAAGAAGAAGAAGTGAAATATAAGTCGAATGTTGTCCGGATGGACGAGATGATTTTTATTTCAGCCAAGAAAATTCAGCCAGGACAGGAAGACAGCGAAAACGAATTTGAATACCTTGTAAAACAGCCCAGCTCAGTACGTGGCATTTCACGCTTTTAGTTAGGAAAACCCAAAGGATAGACCGATGGCTTGTTCTTACAAGACCAAGCCTTCAAACCAACCCTGGCATATGGGCTTAGACACGGTGGAGATCCTTTATCTCAATTCTAATCTTTTTACGTCATTTGCCATATAATTACACGAGGTGGTGGTTCGTTTACTCACGCCGTTTTTCGGGTAAAATAGATAATTGACGGGCTGATAGTTTACCACATCAACCCACGGGCGTCCATTATGACACATCTTTCAGACAAATTACAGCAATTAGTTCGCATTTACTGCCGAATAAGCTCGCATAACAACCTTTCTCATAGATCACACTGTCGGGTTGTCAGGTGCGTTCATAGCTTAATTTTGATCCATTTTCTTGGCAGATTTTATTCGATTTTTCACTTGACTTAAAAAATCACTAAAGTATATAATCAAAAGCAAAAAGCGAGATAATTAGTTAGTGCCGATGACGATCGGTCAAGTGATCTGATTGAGTGTTGTATAAAAGTCTGGCCAAGGGCTTAACGGGCAGATAGGTTACTAGAGTAGGGGGACTTTCAGAAGGGAATATTATAGACATTTAGTATAAAGTATACCTTTTGCCAAGAATAAATATAGTACTAATTGTACTAATATCTTAAAAGTATTTCTTAAAATAGAACACAACAAGTATAAAAGCCTACGTAACAAGACTTGTCTAATGCACATGTTTTTACCTTATGTTTTTTTCAATCATAAGGTAAAAACATTAGTCGATCTTGAAATCTTTTTTATTTTGTTAAAGAAAAAAGTACCTTATAAAGGTTTTTATACTTGTTTCATCTATTCTAAAATCTCACAACTACTGAATGTAACATGAGCTTTGAACACTTGCGTTTTCCCATCTAACAAAGTCAGTGAAGCGTCCGTGGTTTTCTATAAACATGTTTAGATGCTGGAATCGTAGAGCCGAATAACGTTATCACATGCAGGACAGCTGGAGTTTAGGCATTGCATTTTTATCATTTTCTTACACAGCCAGTTCATGTTATTTGTAAACTTACGAAAACATTAAAGTAGTTTGTTTTAGGCTTCTAAGATAATGTAATATAACATCTTTTTTTTCAATACTATATTTAGAAGACGCGAGAATGACAAACAATACGGTACCTAATGAGTAAAAATAAAACGACTAATTTGCATGACTTTAAAAAATTTTTCATTGCTCTTTCATTACAGCCACCCCCAAGAAAAAAAGTAACACCAGAACCATGTAAAAAGATTTTGACCCGGAAACCTCAGGCCCTTATACGAATGGATTGTTTGTCTCTACCAAGGTGGACATACTTAGATACCGCTACTGGATGCAAGCAGAATGATCACACCTCATCTGATATCACTGATTTAGTACCGGAAACACCCCCTAAGGATGGCCATGCTGAGTTTATCAAACAGAAAAAATTTATTCCGAGTCAAGCAAGTAAGAAACCCGAGGATTTTACATTGGAATGGGAGATGGGTGAAGAAGAGAGAGAGAAATACCTGCTTCTGGTTCAAACCCTTCCACCGTATCCACAAACTCAGGTCTTGAGAACCAGAGAAGACCGGCCTCAGGTTTCAAACTACCCTTGACCTTTGTTAAACCAATAGCAACTTTTTTTTGTTTTGCCTTCCTCCATAAATTTGGGAAAACAGCCAGCCATCCTTTCAAACCAAGTGAAAAAATGGGAGTCTGTTGTGCATTATTAGGGAGGTCCATCTGCTTCAGCCCTTAACATATTACATCACACTTCAAGCCCTACTCTGGCTAACCATCAAAAACTGGTAACATTTTAAATTTAAAAAAATATAAATTGAAGTTTTAAAAAATAACAGCAAGAATAATGTGAATTTAGTAAATGTTTTTCAAGCACACCACTTGAAGCAATAATCATATACCAGATGCTACTATAAATAAGATTCTGTTAACATCTAGCAAACAGTAGCATATCACATTTGAAGAATTACTTTTATTAAAAAAGGTAGTTTTTACAAATAAACTTCATCAATTATGTGAATTGTTTCAATCCCTTTGTAAAATAAACCATTGCATAAACTATTGCATATGCTTCTTACTCTTTATCAGAAATGTGTTTGATGTTTAACTTTATTCATTACTACACTCAACTATTGAAATGCATGTTTTAGCTTAACTTAAAGTGCTTAGTGATTTACAGTAGGGTATTTCAGCCTATGGTATAATCAGCCTCATATGTAAAGGGTTGGAGCTTTCTATTAATTCATGTTGACTTGTGTCTGAGAAAAATCAACCAGCCTTGAGTTATTAAAACACTATAGTTATTTCATTGAATTGACAATCAAAGCTTGTAATTATTGAAATTTATTTTCTTAGTAGCTAAAACAACAAATTCTGCAAAAAAAAATATTTAAAAATCTAGTTTTCAAAAGATGAGAAAGACAAAATCATTTGACACAAACCTTGACATACTAGCATTAATCAACATTGTGACATCACCATCAAGCCACAGAATGCTCAAACAGAGACTATGGAATGATTTTTAAGAATTTCAATGCACACATTATGAACTTAAATCATACAAAAAGCACTTGTAATATGTACTAACAGTGTATTGTTTTAATTAATCTTTCATTCAACTTGTTTTTCCTTAAACAATAAAACAAGTTAGGTTAAACAATGTTAAATGATAGAGAAAAATATTAAAATATACACGAGAGATGCTCATAACATTTCTAATTTGCTGTTTGTGATGTGGAACAACAGAAAATGATGTGATAAGTTTTCATAAAGTATTTCTATAGTTTTCCATTTTTCTGTATCAAGAAAATAAATATAAAAAAAAATTCAAAGCATATTTAACTAATGCAGGAAGTAATATCAGTATCAATAACCTACACAGCTAAAATAATTTCAAAACCGTAGAAAAAAAATATATATGGAGGATTGAGTATTTTTAAGACAAATATTTGAAAAATATTTAACTTTTATTAAGAAGTTGAATATAAATTTTACAATTAGCAGCAAACTTTTAAAACAATTATAAAATTCATAAACAAAGTACAGTAGTTGGTTAACAAAAACTGAAATGCCTCATAAAAATATCTGTTTCTAAGTTTAAAAAATGTAGATGACTATAGCTGTTATCAACAAACAATCTAAGCATTGAAACACTTCAACAAAAACAGAACAATTCAAGTCTCAATGTGAACTGTCAGGTAGTATCCTAACACAATGCACATACTTAGATTAAATCAACAAAATAATTTACTATCTTAACTGACACCTGAGAAAACATTGTAGTATAAGCTGAAAACTTTGTCTTCTACAATTTCACGTACATGGTGAAAATAGTTTGTTGAAGGTGATTCAATTTATTATATATTATGCTTCTAGTTCTAGGACAGTATTTCAATATTTCTTAAAATACTCAACAAATAAAGAAAATTTATAAAAATAACTAAAATAATGCAAATTAATTGTCAGAGATAAGTAGACTTCAATTCTATTCTAAGCATGCTGAAATGTTTGTTAAATAGTTTATTGCCGTTATTAAACACATACAGGACTTTTTAATTACAAAAACATTTTAAATAATCTCCAAGGTTTAACAGGTTTAAATCATTACAAGCCTAATACAAAATTATTTTTAACAAATCCATCACAACCTACTATGTTAAATATTTTGTGAGATTTAATTTTTAAATACATGACTAATTATGACAATATAACAGTGAAATCTGGGAATAGTTTTAAACATTTGTGGTAACAATGATATAGTCAAAACCAACATCATAACAGAATAAGTGTTGACACCTTTTATAAATTATACATTTATTGTTTTCCTAAAAATGTGTCATCTTTGGAGCTTCATGTCATACCATAAAAATTGTTCACTTTAACTATGTCCATATTTTTTCAATGCTCTTGTACTACATAAATATGTAGATCTAGTATGTTTTTTTTACAATCAGGACTGCCATTTTAAGTAAATTTAAAAAATTAGTTTTACACTACTGTAAAACTCAAAGCAATTGTTATGATTCTTGTGTGGTCTCTTCTTGTGAACTTAAGTTAGCTAAGATGCGAGCAACTTCATTTCTCTGTGTACTGGTCAAATGCTGGGTCATGGATACAATAGAGTCCATTACAATATCTGGGTTGGAGCCCATCAGACTGGAATACAAACAAATTCATGAGCACATTCAAAATTAATGGAAACAAAATAAGTACTATGATATATCATTACAGAGGTGGAACCATTGCATAATTATAACCAGATCATAATAGGTGACAATGAATTTGAAGAAAACAAGGAAACTGTCAAAAAACTTAATTGGGGAACAAATGAGCTTTCTAGGTTATAAACTGAAATTTTAAAATTGAAATTTGTTTTTAAATAGGATAAATAATCTGTTGTGCAAGGTTTTTTGATATGTTCATATTTAAAGACCGATTTCTCTGGCAAATGACTTTCAGGTAATCAAATGATTATAAATCATTCAACAAACAAAAAATGATTCAGTAAAACTGCAACTATTCACTCACTTCCTAATCTGGCTCAGAACAAAGTCTCGTTGTAAACAACGAATGTTCTCCATCACTGCATTTTTATCACTGCTATCTTTCATCTGTTCTTCAAGCCATTCTACAGTCAGCTTGTCATCTTCATACTGGTAAGTCTGCAAAATGATGAAAAACTCACAGGAACCAATATAATAGAGGACAATTTTCAAAGGGAAAATAAGATGCTAATATTGTGGTCTGATGCCAAGCTCATATCTGTACCTGATGGGTACCTGACTCACGTTAGGAAAACAAAGGTAGCTGGGCATACACTATCTCCATGTACACTCAAGTCATTGAAACAGATGTACTCTACTTCATCTGCCTTATGTGTCTTTGGCATGAGTATCATTCAATACATGTACTTTTTAAAATGTTTCTACAGAGCATGAAGAAATTAAGCCAGACTTACATTTATTGTTCCTTTATCCTCCACAAACCATCGACTTAACATAGAATCTAACTGTGCTTGTGTAGAGTCGGGTATGTGTTGTTTCATTAGTTTTTTAAAATGATTTTCCAGCAGTCGACGGCGCAAACGCCAGTAGAAGAATTCTCTGGACTTTGCCCATTCTAGTACTTTCTATTACAAAATGTAAAAAATTCCATATTTAAAAACTAAAAATCAAATGCAATTCAATTGTGCAAAGATAGATTTTTACTACATTAAAACTAATTATAGCAGTTGGCCAGAAAAAAGTTCACCCTTACTGTCTCAAAATACTCATGGTGACAAAATATTTCTCCATGACAAAATGGCAAGGGTTGCCAAACTTTTAAGAAAAGAAATAATATCTAGATGTCTTGTATAGACTTACCGTTACACAACCTTTCTCCTCCATTCTACCAGGGGTGTCATGCAGGTCAGCAAACATAACAGCCACAGAGTGATACAGTGGTACAAGGTGGTCTTCTCTTTCTTTCAGCTCAGCTTCAAGTCTAGCTTTCACATCTGCATTCAGGCCAGGACTAGATATTTTCTCCACTAATTTCTTGGTTTCTACATCCAGGCGTTTAATACACTTCTCAATATCTTTTCTGCGGAATTTGATTTCAACAGTGCCCTCTGGTTCTAAGACTCCACCTCTGACAAAAGAAAACACAGTCATTGATAACAGGCAGAAGAGCATTTCATTTCATGGTAGCCAGGTTAAAACTAATCAACAGTTGGAAGTAAACCTAAGGTAAAAAAGAACTGGAAAAAACAAATTCTCTCATTGAATAACAATCTTACCTGCTCAAGCTGTCAGCATACATTTCCATGTAGTCTGGGTTGATGAGTGGGTCTACAACAACCCAAGAGCCACCTCGCAGTTCACCATAAGGAGGAATGTAAACAAAGATGGGCTGTGTGTACTCTCTTATAGCATCCACAATGTAAGAGCCAAATTTGAGGACCTGGTCATACATATCTGCACAGAACCAGATCAAATACAGTAGGACTACCCCATATGAAATGTAATAAAAACTACAGCCATAAACAATGAAGTTGTCTCACCTTTCATCCCACCAGAAAATCCCCTCCAATTAGCAAACATAAATAATGGAAGTTCTTCTCTGGAGAAATCTTTAATGGCTTGGGCAGTTTTGTAAGCAGAATCTGGGAACCAAACTTGACCTGCTTGTTGAATCAACTGCAACATAGAAGCTAAGTTGCACTGACATCATACTATAGATGTTTTGTTTCTGGCATTTTTTAAAAACTTGTAAATCTTGTTTTAGGTTTAATAGGATCTATTTTTAATTAAAGTTTGACCACCAGGTGCTTCTAGAGCAGTTAAAAAAAACCTCAATGAATATCACCAGCTTTAAAACCAAAGTAGTCCTAAATAATACCTTTGATTCAGAGTCAGCATTGGCAGGGTCAGCAGGTATGTGTAGCTCCACTGAACGGGTCTCTACTGCAATAACTCCAACAGGAATACCCCCTAGTCTGTGTTGTAAAAACATTTAAATCCTTAAATCAACCCAATAGTACTTGAGATGATGTTATACAGACACAAAAAATAAGCTGTTACTGGTTATTCTGAGGTTGGGTTGGAATTGTCTAGAACTTATGGGATACTGTGTGCGTGTTAACCCTTTACAGGCCTCTGCCGTTGAATCGGGCTTTTTTTATAATGTAACTATTGAAAATGAACGTTGCTCCAGTGACTACAGTTGAATTTTTTCTAGCAATTAAAATTATTTTTTATGGAAATAATATTAGAAGTTTTTCAGGAATTAGTTTTATTAATTATAAGTAAACTATTTTGCTATTTAATTTAATCTCATGCATAAACGTAGATCAATTTTGTGTATTTTGATGCCCCAGCCAGTAAAGGGTTAAAGTTTACAGAACACAGGCTGATTCAAGTTTAAAAAGAATAGTGACCTGGCTCTTCCAGCAACAACTGTCTGTGCCCATGGCTGCATAATTTCATCAAAAGATCCGTGATCAAAGAAACCTGACATAAACTTGCCGTTCTCTGAATGACAAAACAACATAAGATCAATTATTTGGTTGAAAAAAAATTGGGAGAACTTTATAATAATAGAAAGTAAAAATATCTTCCAAAGCAGACAATGACTTCTTTATTTAAGTACATAAAAACAATAAGAAAAGCTACAAGCAGCGTAAAAAAAACCAACCTCTTCGACCAGCCAACATCCAACGTGGATCATATGCAGTTCTTGTAGGGTGAAACTCAATTAACCTGTCCACTGGATCTAAAGGCTGTAGTATAGGTAAAGGTCCTCCTTTTTTCTGAAATTTTTTTTTATAATGAATACTGAATGTATTTGATAAAATAAAATGGTAGGGAGATAAATTGGGAAATTTAAAATGGCCAATGTACTGAAGTGAAGGGCTTTAAATTTTCTTTAGGTACTTTAAAAATGAAATTGTTGGCACTATAAAATCTATAATTATTGAGCCTGCAATGAGTGCCAATTTTGTAAGTCATGATCTGAGTTTACACTCGCATAATAATAAATAAGGTTAGTTTATTAGGCATTTCCCAGGTAAATAAATCTGGTCAGTATATTATAAATAGCAAAATTTCTGTAAACAATTTTCCAAGATTTTTACAAATTTAAAAATTCTAGGTCTTTATAAAACTTAAAAATTGCATGTTATATAAAATGTGGTTGCATTTCCTAAAAAGCAAATTGAAACAGATATGCAACTAGTATACATTTTTAAATGTAATACAATTTTTTTTTTGCCAAAGTGATTCACATACCAGCCTCATGTAAGACAACCAATGTAAAATCTTGCATACACCTTCAAAGTCATCAGGTACAACAGAGTGGGACACACCATTGTTGTGCATAATTTGTATTCCTCCTAACTGACTGTTGCTGGTATAAACCTCTCTCCCCAATACCTATAAGCAAATGTAACAGAGATTTTAATGCTTTTAGAAACCTGACAGAATGAGAATATCATTTTAAATGTCTATTGCAAGTAAAAAAATACCTTGTTGAGGGCACCAGCTCCAGTGAGGATAATAAAAGAACTTTCTACTTGAATAACACGTTGACCTAAACGAACCAAGTATGCACCTATTCCAATGGCTCTACAAGACACCTGAAAGACAAATGGTTAATGCATAAAGTACACACAAAAATAAATCTTGTTTATATGCAATGAGAAAAGCAAACCTAAGAAAAGAGAAATGCTTTCTAGATTTCTTTAAAAGAAAATGACATTGACAGTTAAAAAATACACAAAAAATACTAATAAGAAAATAACTTTACCAAGTTTATAGTTACAATATCATTGTATGCTTGAGAAGTTTCTCCTGCAATCATTCCAGCCATACGTAATGACTCTACACCAATACCATCTTCTTTCCCTAAAGGATTAGTGGTTTGTTAAATGCAAGAGCTAAGTGATTTTAACTAATTTTTTTTAAGTTTCCAACTTTACTGCTATAATTAAATATTTTATTATATCAAAATCGTTCTAAACAAACCAATTATATATGAATTCAGAAGAAATAAAAAATTCAAGGAGATAAATTACCTATAATATCAGTAATTTTGTAGCGAGATTCTCCCTCATCTTCAATCAATTCAGCCCTAACAGAGTTCATGGTGCTAACCTTTTTATAGTCATCAGGTCTAAGATAAAGATACTTGAATCCCTGTAATAGAAATTCATCACAGGTTAGTTCAGCAGTGTTTAATAAGTCATTGAGCAAAGTTTAAAAATATCTGTTAGACCAACAAAAAAAAAGTAAAATGCAAAGACCATACCCTCTCTGGGTCATCAGCATCGTACCAAGCAACTCTAAACAAATGCTTCAACTCTTCAGCCATTCCTATTCTGGCACCACTGTTTGCTGAGATATACACTCGAGGAATGCCAAGCTTTCTTGAGAGTTCTGAAGCTTTCTAAAATGACACAAAAAGGTTTACAGCTGAACATAATTACTGATCTACAGATAGTATACACTAGTCCAAAAGCACAGTGTACAAGAACTATGAGAGATGTAGGCAAAGAGCCACGATTGTTTAACATTAATTCATTGGATTATCAGATTAGTATGTGTCATTTCTATTAAGAAACAAATCTTACTTTAAACAACAAATCCTCCTGTGGCCCAAATGAACCAATTTTGAAAGTCATATCATTAGCAATGAGAATAATGTCTCTGCCAGTTGGGATCTCTGGAGTTTTGATTGTTAACTTCCATGCAACCATGCCAATCTAGAGCAAAACAAAAGATGATATAGGTGAAATTATTTCATGCAAAACACATCAACCTAAATTACATAGGTGACAAAAAAAATGTAGAAAATATGAGCATTTCAAATAATATTACATGTAATATTTGGAGCTAAAAAGTGTATACAGATGCAATTAACATTGAAAATATCAGCTGGATATCTAGATGCTGTAGAAACATGGTAAGTGTCACAAGGTTAACTTCTGAAAGAGAAAGAACTGATAATAATTTACCTCATTTTCTCCAGGTAATCTATTCATGGTACAGAGGTGATTGTGGCTGTCTAATACAAGTTCTGTTACAGTGATAAGGTCTACAGGCATTTGGCTGGCATCCATGTGCAGTCTCTTGAGATGTGACTCCCAGACCTTAAGAAGGGCTTGCCGGAACATTTCTGGGAAATCGTACACATAGGTTGTGCCAGATGACTGGGCCTGGTACCGCTTGAGCTGCAGGTGGTCTTTGGTAAGATAAGGGGTACTGATCAACAACCCATGAAGAGGACCTTGCTTAGGTCCAAACGCCTCAAACATTATCTGTAATAAACAATAAGTCCTGGGGGTCACAATCATTACCAATGTGTACCAAAAATTCTTATAAGAATGACAGAATATCATCTATTCAAATTTAAAAAATAGCAATACAATGCCCATTTATAATGAGCTATGTAAACTCAAGTGCCTTTAAATAAAAGTTTACTCATATTTATATTTAAACTGTTTTACCTGTCCTGTCCTTGAGTCAGTAACTTCCTTGTAGAGACTTATATCCAAGTAGTACCCACTTTCATTAGTGATAAAAACTCTAATGGGGAAACTCGTGCCACCACCAGCACCTGTTATTCTGTACAGATGAACAAAATTTACAGGTTACCTATTGTTCTCTTTGTTATAACAAAAAAAAACCTTTTTTCATAATGATAGAAAATTCTTCATTTTTAACTTAGTCAAAATAACTTTTTTTTTTTAAAGTGTCTAACCTTATAGTAAATTTCAGTTCAGCATTCAAAACTCTGAGCTTCCAAAGTCTGGATCCATATCGCATTATCATATTTCGTACTGTTTCTACTAACTAGAAAAAATTTTTGACAAATGAAACTGCTGTTACCAAATTAAAGTCGCTAAGCTTGTTTGTAAGTTGAAAATTATTCTTATACAGAAATCATGTCATGAGGTAAAACTTGCATGCTAAAAAAATTGAATACAATTTTACAAATTAGATAATAAAAAAGTATATTTTTTATTTATATATAAAAATATTACAAATGTTAAATGTTTATAACAATTATTTTCAACTTACCTTGCCAGGTTCAGTGAGTGTCAAGGTCGGAACAAAATTTAAAAAGATGTGGTTGCAATCAGTCTTCTTTGACTAAAAATAGAGAGAATATTAAAGATATTAAGTGAACTCCATTTGTCTTCTAATTAAAAAAATGTATGCTTTAAAGATGTACAACTAAACAGCTATTTTCAATTTATTAACCCTTTAAATTAACAAACTTGGTAATTCCAAATTATACAAGCTTTAAATAATTCATTTATGTAGTTAACCATATTTTATATTTTAGAAAATACAAAATCTTTGGGTTATATAAATATGGCAATTATTAGTAATTCAACTATTCATAATATCTAGAAAGATATTGTGGGGAAAAAAACAATAATATTGTTAGCAGCTTTACAATTTGAAGTTTGTGCTAAACAATTACTAATTCAAATTTAGTCAGCATTCATACAAGGGACAACTATGAATTTTTAAAAATTACATGTTTTACACTGCACTTGATTTAAAATTAAAAAGCATCAGTGTATTTCTTTTTAACTATATTTACATCATTAAAGGAAATTTTTAAAATTTGCTATACTTATGAAGTTTTACTAGTTATAGCTGGTCTGTAAATAGGTAATTGTTCATCGCAAAATAATATTATAACTATCTATTAATGCAATATAATGTAATTTATTTATAAAAACTCTACTTTAGTTGTATCTTAATATCATTTGAATCTTCAGATTTTTGGTAATCCACATTGAACAAAATAAATCTTTGAAAAAAAAATCACCAATTTCATTAAATTTGAATTTTAATAGCAAAAATTGAACATCTAAAAAAATACCTGCTGATTAGCAGCATCAGAAGACATCTGTAAATATTTATTTTGTTTAACAACTAGAGAACATGTTTTTGGGCTGTTTAGCTCAAATATTTTTTTAAACCACTGATGCATTTAATCTTTAGTGAAACCATATTTAATTTTGGGGGGAAAATGTAACTAAAATGTTTTAAAACTGAGTCAATTTTTCAACGAAACAGCTTTAAAGCAATGTGAAAATCCTTAAATCACTCCAACTACCTATATAAAAATATACACAAAAAATTATTGGAGGGCACCTTTATATAATGCACACACTCTTTTATATCAACTAAAATAAAATACCACCACAGATTTTCTAAGCAATTCAACAAATTAACACAACAGTACAAAAGAACTTGAGTTTAAACATGAAAATTTTTTTAGATGACATTACTTACGGACTGATGTGAAAATGCCACCTCTAGGGAATCCATGGCTTCTAGCAATGTGCGTTCTCCCTCATTTTCCAAATATTCAAAAGAAGCTTCCTGTTACAGGAAAATGCTTTTTTTTTAACTTCGTCATTTGTGTAAACATAAATATATTACTTTTATTAAAACGCTAAATACTATGGAAAATACTTAAATTTCAAGTGTATTAATAGCCAAAAAAATAACTCTAACCTTGGTGACAAGATCTGAGTGGCGGATAATGATGCGCACAAAGAAACGATAATCTGTAACTTCTTGTCCTTTAGCAACCTATAGTTAAGAAAAAACATTAAGACATAATATATACCATGTATATAAGGTGTGGTCTAAGATTTAAAACTTCTTTTTTTTCAAGATGACTTAAAACATGGCATTTAATTTTCTATCTCTTAACTTAAGTTATGGAAATGTCAATAAATGTGTGAATATCAAATGTTTATGGGTTTTTAAAGAAAGTAATGAAACTCACCTTGGCCTTTCCAAGATATAAATGCATTTTTAAGTTGGCAGTTGGAATAGCTTCAAGATCAAAATTTCTCAAACGGTTTATTTCAAGCTGAAAAGCCAAAGCTGGTTCCAAATGTCTGTATATCCGATCTTCACAAAACTGAAAAAAAAATAATGGATGTTATTAAAAGTAGTTCTTTTAACCATAAATTATCTCTAACTATGTTTTGAGTTTGACAAAATCTCACCTCAAACTTGGCTCTGTAGGTAAAATATTTGGGCATTGCTCTCTGCAATATAAAGGTTCATAAAATTTATGATCTTTGTTATTCTTTTTTGAAAGGTTAAAAAATTAAAGAAACTTAAAAAGTAAAAATAAAACCTATTGAAACTTAAAACAAATTTGCAAATAAAGTATAAATAAAAAAGGACATGCAGGTAGGAGTTTTTTATATTTTTTAAAAGCTTGTAAAAAAAGCTGTAAAATTTAAGCGCAAATTTTTATGCTAGAAAACTAATTTGAAAAAAAATTGAGGACCCAATTTTAATAATTTTCTTCTTGCTGCCCAGGTCACCCGTTTTTCTTAATAAGCATGGGGCCAGCATAATTAGAATAACTGTGTGACTTACTTCGATGAATGTTGAACAACTTACACTGTTAGCAACAACAAAAGTAACTCTGCGGATGCCTCTTGCATTTAATTCCTTTGTCTGGTCAAAATAAAAGGGTTATATAAAAGAGGGATAAATTGCTTTTCAATTAATAATCTTCCTAATGTTTTTAATATATAAATTGTTTGAACAAAATGACAGCTCAACGCTAAGAACTGTATCCAATTTATATATTTGTCAAAACAACATATTCCTTAGATGCACTGAAAATTTGATGTAAATTTTGAAAAATTTGAACATATTTTTGAAAGTCTTACTCTTCCTCTGCAGAATTCTTGGAAAAGACCAGCAAGGGCATCATCATCATCAGTATCTAAGCGTTTCATGGCAATGTTGATAATATGGGTAGGATCATCAGAGCTTGAGTCAGAAATATTCTTTGGATATAAGAAAAAGAGTTTAATGTATTATCTACAATACCTTTAAACACTTTTTAAAAAACGAGAAGTTTGAAAAAAAAAATACCACTTACAGATCCTGACTGTGTGGATATGTTGTCATCCTCAAAATCACAGATTAAAGGACTGCAGGGAGGTGTTAAAGACTGAAACTGCTCCAAGATTGCAGCAAAGTATCTAAATATATAATTGAAATCTTAAGCAACCAACCACTTTACAAGATAATTTCAATTTTGAAAAGTTTCAATTGGTCGAATGAACAAAGAGATAAAATTACTGATCGAGTTAAATAACCTTTTAAACTACTTATGTTAGAGATAGAGTACTTAAAAGCTTACTGCTCTAGCTCCTGCATACTCTGGAAAGCCACCATTACACCCATACGTTGACAAAGTGGAGGCTCATCCCAGTGGTCAGAATCAGACCCAGAATCTTTGTCCATACTGCTCAGTCTTATCATTCCAGTGTCAAGACGTGTGACCATCATCCTTTTAGTGAGGCAAATAGTTATGTTGTGTGTTAACAAAGATAAAACATTTATTGATGGAAAATACACAGTTTGAATTTGTAAGTTTGAATTTCTTTTTTCTAAAACATGGTATGGTTGAAAAAAATCAATGCACCTATTTGGATGTGATCGAGGAAGTAAAAATCTAAAATCCACAACACATTTTCCATCACCTAGCTGACTATGTTTCATGCAGTTCATTTCATAGGCAATGTATGCCCGCCTGATGTACACCTACACAACAGAATAAAGTGATCTCAATCAAAACAGCATGCCACATTATGCATTTAGAATCAATAGCACTATTTCAAAGTCAATAGCCTGCAAGATTAATTATATATCTCCAATATTTCCAAAAGCACTAACATGAGACAAAATATTAAAAAAAGCAGTTCTTTTTTCTTAATTCAATATCATAACAACAAAAAAAAAAAATGCAACAGTTACCTCCAATGCTGCCCTCCTCACAGCCTCATTAGAATGGTAGAAAAACTCTGGAAGAACATCATAAATAGCTGTTTCTGAGTTGATTAGTTTCTGAAACAAGTTAAAAGAAATAGTTCTTTGCAATGTTATCTTTAAATTTATAATTTTAAAAAGTCTGCAAATACTCTATCCAACAAACCTGTAAATTTTCTGGGCAGAAATTATGACCAGACATGTCAATCGCTGACAAGAAGATAGATTCAATCTGGTTGTGTCTATGCTCATATGGTGGTTGATGTGCTGCTATTAGAACCTGGCGCGCCCTCAAGGCTACTTTTGAGTTCTCTGTTTTGTTTAGCTGTGTAAGTTCACTAAGAATAGATGCCATCTCGTCAGTTAGACCTGGCTCTTTGCCACATAGATGGTCCTGTTTAAATAAAACAACTCTTTATTCAAATAACTGCTCAGTCTAAAATACACATCATATAACCCAATTTATGAGTTTAAAAAAAATAACTTACAATCAGCATTATGACTAGAGTATTTTTGTGTTGAACAGCAACATGAGAGAATATTGTCTGTACAACTGCTAGCATATCTTCTTTGTTTTTTTCTCTGATGGAGCGCACACATCTATCATATGATCCTGATGAGTATAAACCAAACATGTATAAAATTTCCATGCCTTTATATGAATACATAATCTTAAAACAAAAAACCTTGACTGTATCAATACTTCCACAATACTTAGATGTAATACCTTGTTGGAACTGAAGTTCCACTCTCAAATAATGCCGCAGTAGCTCCTGTACAACAGACTTCAAATGGCCCCTGATTCCATTACGATATCGCTGGACTAATTGTACAATACCCTGGCAGGTCATGAAGAACACATCACGATCTGACCGTTTGGATAATGTAGCAGCATAATTGTCTATCACACTTGCTATCTGTTCAAAGCAACAAATAAAACCAACATTAAACATTTCTAAAGAATTTTCAGATTTATTTTTGAAGCAGCACTTCAAATTAAAAAGGTGTAAATATAAAGTTAAATGAGTAACCTGTTGACTAGGAAACTGGCACAATACAGATGTTATGTTGCTGGCATAGTTTGACATCAGTTTACGAATTGCACGCTCTTCATGCTGGGGCACCCTTCCTTGTATCATTGAAATTAAATCCTGTAAACAATACATTTGACATTACAAAAAATATATATATATTACATAAAGGAGATCAACCATTTTTTAAGGATGACAAACAAATTTTCACCCTCAATAAAACCTCACTTTTTTGTCAGAACTAAAAAAAAAAAAATATATATTACTTGCAACTCTAAAAGAGGCAATGCGGGGTCTTTGAGACACTTCATCATTTGATCTACAGTCGAAGCCAATCTTTCTTTGAAATAAGGCTCAGGCAATATGTAACCAGACAAAATGTTATCCAGATCAGCTTTTGCCTTCTGGAAAACCTGATGGCGCTTGTCTCCATGGGTGGCTGTATTTTCCTGACTTGGCAATGGACCATCAAACAGTTTAGCCTGTGAATTTGTACAGATGTTGATTATTTTTTGTCCCCTTTCTCTTACATCAAAGTGGTACAAGTAATTATCTTCCCTCACAAAAAAACACACAAAATACAAAAGCCATACAGGCATCATTACCATTTGTACTCTACTAGGATCATCCAAGGTGAGATAGGCAACAACACAGCCAGCATCTAAAACTGAACCTGGTCTCTTAGAATAATGCAAGCTGTTTTGAATGAAAAATATTTAAAATCAATAAGGCCTATCTATTAAGTGGTTTTGTAACAAATATAATGAAAGATTAGTACATTAAACTAAAGCTTAATAATTTATAGGCAAGAAAACATTTAATTACCATCCATTTTCTGATGCTCGAAGCTCCATGACCATCTTCATAACCTCTATTTCAGCAAAGACATCACCAGCAAAGACATGACCTCCATCTTCTACAAGATAGTTGATCAGTTTACCAGCTGATGGTGACCTAAATGAACAGGGTATAATGTAAGAAACAGGGTAAGAAACATACAACACAACACTGCAGAATTACTTCTAAGCATGCCATTATTTCAATTTGAAAATATTACCTCATTATAGTTGGATCATTATCTTTTTGTAAAACACATGTCTGGTTTCCAATAGTTATCCTATAACTGTTAACTTGTTCTTTCATGTATGTTGTATAACTAGAGCCACCTATAGACAACAGTAGACCACCATCTGACAAACGATGAGCTTCAAGGTCTAATGTGGATTTGTTCATTAACAAGAAATAGCCATTTGGTCCAGTTTTCACAACCTAATAAAGATAAAAAAAAAATTATTCGATTTACGTTTGTAGATGTTTGCATTACATTATTTATAAATGTCTGTAGTGGTGGAAACATACTTTCAATTTGAACTTGACACCCTCTAATATAAACTCCACATCAGCTGAATTCTTTAAAGAATATGAAGGTTGAATTTGACCTCTGTAATACATTACAAAAAATAATTAAACATAGTTTTAAACATTATTATACAAAACATCTAATTACATCAATGCAAGGCTGATAGCCTACTTAAATATTAGAACACAACCAGCAAAATGGCATTAAAAAATATAGCTTTTTTGCTTCAACATCAGCAAAACAACTATTAATATACATAGCTTACTTTTCTAGAGATGTTTGAAAATCTTGAAATCCTGTAAGGATTGCTTGGTCAGCTATGTGCAATGCACCACAAACTACACCAAGCATAATATCTGGTTTTTCAGCTTGCACCTTTTCTGCAATGAGTCTGTCAAGCCAGGCAGTGGTTATGCTGTTTTGCTGATAGGTTTCTGTTTCCAGCAGCTTGATGAGGTACTCCACAGTTGTGCGAAAATCACCCCGAATGGAAAGTTCTTTCAAAGCCACGACAAGATTTCTGTTTCCAACAATTAAAGTGGATTATAAAATTATCTTAGAATGGCATTATTCGTGTGTAAAACATGATAATGCTTCTTAATTAAATAGGATGGTATGGTCGAGCGGTAGAGTGGTTGACTGTTAACCCGAAAGTTAAATCCCGGGATAGTCTGAAGGATGTCCCTGAGTCCCACCCGCTCTGATGGGTGCAGGACTAACATTTAAGAAAACAAAGGCATTAGGCATAGAGAGGATCACACTATCCCCTAGTATGCAGAGGTGATTGTAACAGATGAGCTCTATTTAAAAGCCCCATTTGTCTTGGACACAAACAGGAAAAGATGATGATCTTAATCAAATGGGTTTCTTAATTAAATAAAAAAAGTTGCTGCTGTCAGATAGCATTTTTCTTGCTTGAAAGTCAAATAAAAGTTTTGTCCAAACATAATCTAAACATTTCTAGTTTTAAAAAAATGCACTAAGAAAGCACGTAGGATTTTCTTACTCTCTTGCATCTTCTCTATCTTCTCCCCATGAAAAACAATGACCAAACTGGGAGTCAGCAAACTCATGGAGACCTCCAGAGGCAGCCACACTAAAATAGCCCCAAACATTCTTGCTGCTGCGAAAGTTTAGTTCTTGAACTGTACCAGAGCTAGGTTTAAAACCCTGTGAATGTAATTTAAAATGTGGAACATTACATTTCATTATTTTATTAGCTTACACAACAAATAAAACAGCAAATAAAATAAAGCATAACTGGTAATTGTGTTATTTTGAATTTTATATTTTGCTTATAATGATATTTCTTTATCTTATAAGATGAAGAGATATTAAATTATTGAGTCTGGGCATGTTACCTCATCAGGGTTTTCACTTGTTATCCTTGCTGCAATAACATGACCTCTTGGGCTAGGTTTTATCACTGGATTTTCAAATTCTATTTCTGAGTCTCCCCAAGGGTCAAGACCATATAAAAGTCTGATGTTTTTTATTCTGTGTAGTGGTATGCCCATAGCAACCTTGAAAGATAGAAATAAAATTGAGACTGCAAAATAAAAAGTTTACAGTTGCCAAGATAGATAAACTTCTAATATAATTTAAAACCATATGATCTGCAGATAAGAAATTCTGAATACTTATATTTAATATTTTAAAAACTTTTTAAACCTGTAATTGTGCAGCAGGTAAATTGATGTCAGCAACCATTTCAGTGCATGGATGTTCCACTTGCAATCTAGGATTCAGCTCCAAAAAGTGAAAGTTGTCTTCTTCAGCATTGTATAAGTACTCCACAGTACCAGCACTGACATATCCAACCATCTTGGCCAGTGTTACTGCAGCCTAGAACATTTTTATAAGTACACTACATTATAATCATTTAAAAGTGTAACATAATTAGGTTTGTCCTATATTCATATTTTCTTTCTATGTTTTTAATAATTATTTTTTTTACCTTTTCCATCTTCTCAAAAACATCTGGGCTAGCAATCACTGCTGGTGCTTCTTCAATAATCTTTTGATGCCTTCTTTGTATAGAGCAGTCACGACCAAATAAAGAAATGGCATTCCCATATTTGTCTGCTAGTAACTGGACTTCAAGATGTCGAGCAGCTGAGGCTAATTTCATCACAAAAATTGGAGAACCTTGAACTTCTTGTTGAACCTGTAAGATTAAAAAATGTGAATTTTTTACACTAAATGAAATAAGATTTACTATTAAGGACCACATTTTCACTTGTTGAGTGAGTACTGATAACTGTAAGAATTTAAAAAACTATTAACCTGTCTAAACAAATTTGGAAATTCCTCAGCATTCTCTGCTTTTCGGATTCCTTTTCCACCCCCTCCTTCAGACGCTTTGATCATAACAGGAAAACCTATTTTTTTTGCAGCTTCCAGACCCTCCTCTGCATTTGCTGTGCAGCCTTTGCGATAAAGTTCAGCTGGTACTATCAATGTTTTACTTTTCAGCTCATGCTGGCTCAGTTTCAATCCTTAAAAGTTCAGAACAATGTGAATTTGAAAGAATTATCTACAACAATTAATACAATTTAGTAAATTTTGATACATTTCAACTAGAAGAGCTAAAAATTAGTTAATTATTTTTTGGTTTTTAAATTATGAGAACAATTATAAATTTTTAGTCGTGTAAGTTATAATTTATAACTATTTACCTTAATTAACCTTATTTACCTTAATTAATTTGGCAACAAGCATTCTTAATTAGCTTTTAAGAAAAATTACATAAAATAGTTGTGAAATTAATTTAACCTGAACCACTCCAAGGGAGAGTTGGCACACCAGCTGTTTGAGCTACAATAGATGAAGCTATTTTATCACCCAGAGACCACATTGCATTTTCAGGTGGACCTGTAATAAACGTTTTAATACAATATTATTGTTAAATAAATTTCATTATAAATATAATAAATAAGTTAAAAGGTAAACATTTTTAAAAATACTAACCTATAAATTCAATTCCATTCTTATGCAAAAGTTCTGGTAATTTTGGGTTTTCTGAAGCATGGCCCCAACCTGCCCAGACAGCCTGCACTGGAATTCTTTTAGCAATATCCAATATAAGCTCAACATTAGCATAATTGTTGTTATTGGTACCTCCAGGTACTGGTACATATTGATCAGCCATGCGAATGTATTCTGAAAATTACATAAATAGTGATTTCAATACAAGAAAATATAAACTTAAAAGTTTAGTTAATCCCAAATGCTTAGTTAAATCAGTACAAATTGAGATAATTATTACCTGCATTGGCTTTAAGATCTTCTGGTGTGACCATAACCACAAATTTGATTGCCCTTTCATTCCTAAACATTTCATATGCCCATCGTCTTACAGACCGCATGCATTTCACAGCAGCTATTCCATTGTTTGCAATCAAAACCTGAAAAGGAGTTTCGATTATGTACTTGTAAATGATATTACATCCCCTAAAACGATAATATTTAAAAAATAAAACTATTCATTAAATTTAAATATTTTAATTAGAATTTAAAACTATCCCATAACTAAAAATGACTGATCATAAGGTGAGAATTATAAAATGTATTGTTCTTTACCTTATTAATAACAACATTTCCTCCAAAACTTTTCACAAATTCTTCAGGAGTGGCCACACAAAAGTCTTTAACATATGATTTGCGTTTGGCAGTAGTGTCCAAAGAAATTCCTGACATTGTGTGCCTTTTGTTTGAAAGAATTATGAGAAATTAGGACAATAGACTAACAGAATATGTTGAAAATTTGTAAAATATTAGTCAATAAAAAATTACCGTTTTTCTACTGATTAGTTTTTTTTCCTACTGATCAAACTGTAACGGTTAGATGAGGATTAATGAGGACTAACTGGTAGAGAGAGTGTTGGTGGAGAATTTGTTATATATTATAATATTATTAAACTAATACTACTAAAAACTGACAAATAATGCTTTACTTAATACTTAATAGGCTTAATAGCCTAATAAATATGATGTTACAAAAGTGTAGCTTATTTGAGGGCAGCTTCAGGGGATATAAGTAGTAAAGCAGTTTCAGTTATTTATTTGAAGTACAACTAGATCTAAATAATATTTTATTAATTAATAGCACAAAGCTGGAGAAGGGGGGCAGAGTTTAAAATTAATTAAAATTAAGACAGCAAATCAGTGGTAGGCTATATTCTTAAAATAAACTGCCTGGTTTAGCTAGTGTTTTCTAGACTTAAGGCAAATGAATGACACTCATGATCATAGCGATATTGCGGTGTTGCATTTTTGCTAACACTTCCCTTCAGTTTACTCATTACTCATTACTGAGTGTTTACCTGTGTCCAAGAAACGAAGAAGTTTCACGGTTTGCAGATGTTGGCTTTTTTTCCAACTCTTCTTTTTCATTTGCATTTTCAGTAGACTTTTCTTCCATATTTTTAGTAGCAAACAAAAAATATTGTTTGAGGCTGGTTACACAAAATTAGGAACTCAAGAAATAAAAAATAAAAAAACTGCTAGATCTAGACCTAAGCCTGTTTTCAGATGTCAAAACATTCCATTCGCGTAGGCGGCCATTTTGTCCTCAAGTCTGTAAACAATCCAATGGGCATGGCTACAGTTTTTTTAAGGCTAGCTCTCTTATGCAGGGAGTTTGCAAAAGTAGATCTAGATCTGTCTACCGCACAAGTCTAAACCTACTGTCAAGGACTAGGCCTACCCACTAGGCTAGCCGAATGAGCTTGACCGTGACGAGCGTTCGTAACCTGAAACACTTGTAACTTGAAAAACGCCTTTCCTAATGGTCCATTTGTAAACGTTATTAATATAGTATACCTATCCGAGCCCCAACAGTAGAGCTCTTATACTTTTTTTATAACGGTGATTAGGGCAACAGAATGTCGACTTAGGTGATTAGGAAAACAGAAAGTCGACTTGGGACTATCATATTAAGTATTTTAATTTAAAGTCTTCCGAGTAACATTTAATTTTAAATCTATTGCACCATATTATTTGAAATATCCTTATTTACATTCACAACCTTCTTCGCTTGACCCGACTTAAAGCAAGTATTAGCCATACCAAATGTAAGCGCAAAACAAAATCGTCTTCTAAAAGAAAAGTAGGTCTATACTATAATGGCCTGGTATTGGGGTGGGGGTGTCGTCCACGAAGTTTGTGTTTTTAAAAAATGCAATACCATTCAATATACCAAAATGTTGGTCTGATTCAGATAACATTTTATAAATAAATCACTCTTTCATATTAAAAAATGCATTTTGTGGGTAGGATAGGATGAAGACGTAATGGGGGAGGGGGAGGGGTAGTCTGACCACGTTTTGTGACAATCGGGAAAGGGGAGGCAAAATCGCCCCAAAACCACCAGGGTCTTGAGAAGTCATTTAGTGGCCATAAAATCTAATCTTATTGGTAATGACCCCATAATATATCTAATACTATTGGTAATAATACTATCAATGTTAACAACAGGTGTATTGATATTTAAGTCATTGCCAACAATATTGCTAGATTGGCTGTTAAGAGAATTTTTAAAAAAGAAATGCCTTTGTTAAGACATCAAGAGGAAACTAAATTTACAGACAAAAAAATACAGCCTATATAAAAAAAAAACTGCTTAGTTTAAAATTGCACTCTTAAACTAGCCTTAAAAATGCTAGTAAAGAAGCACTATTTTAACATTCATAGACTGCTTATTACACTACCCTAAGAAGCCGCACATAAACATAAATTATTCACCGGTACTAATAATCACTTTGAGTTTGACCTATTGTCTAGCAGGCCATATATTTTATGAACCATGCCCCGTGTGAATGAATATCTAGCACAGTAGCAAAGCAACAGAGCACTATCTAATGTGATAACTTAATCAGTTTGAAAACAACATAATGATTATAGTCACAAGGTCAATCCATGCTCTCTCAGTCCATCAGGTGGGATTCAAATTCCCATACTAACTCAACACCACTGACTAAAAGAAATAAACAAGACCACTAATTGCCATGCAGGATAAGAGAATATACTAGAATACAGAGGGAAATAAGAATTTCAGAACAATTAGATGACAACGGAAATAATGCAGTCAATGCTGAACAAATCAATACACTCACCATTAAGACAATTATTTTAAACTATTTTCAGATGTAATGTACTGGATATTTATACAGGCCATATAGGCTATAAACCTAGGTTAATATTTTGTAGGGTGTCATTTATTTTTATCCAACAGTGTGTAAATATAGGCAAGCGTGAGGCTGGGGAGGTTGTATGGTGGTTGGGTTGGTGAGTGCATCAGTACAAATATATTTTTTCACAGTTGATTTTATAATGCTTTCTTAATAATATTCCAAATAAAACTGCAATGTTGTCATACTTAATTGAACTGTTTTCTAGTGCAAATGATAAAAATGTACCTCATGTTGGGTGTATGTAAGGCGGGATCCATGAGAATGTCCGACACCTCGTAGGAAGACTGAGTGGACAGCGGGGCTCTGACAGATCTCAGAGGGCCAATCTCCTCCTCCGCCTCTGTGTTCTCCTCATTGCTGGTGCTGCTCTCATCCAAGTCAAAGATGACGTGAGAGGCTGGAACACTTTTACCATTGCTGACTTGAGCCATTGGTTGGGCTGGCCTGGCTACCTCAGTAGCTGGCTCATTCAGTTTGATTGCCTCAGGCACTGCTACCTTGAGTTTGGTTGTTTCAGGCACTGCTGCCTTCAACTTGGCTCCTTCAGCTACTGTCTCCTTTACCTTATCACGACCACCTCTATGTCTTTTATTTTTCCTTGTCTCTTTTGGCGGGGAATTATTGGACAGATTCCCTTCCATTGGATTCACGAAGTTCAGAAAGTTTCCTATTGCTGAATTGTCTTTCTATAAGACGAATGTTTACCAGATCATAAAGCAATGCACAGACCTGCAACGAGAAATATTACATGAGCATTAAATTATATCCAAAGAGGGGAAGCGTAAACCTATAACATGAATGGATCCCTTAAAATAAATCAATCACTACAAGCAGACGTCAAAGACAAAGCACAATAGGAAAGTAATGACGTTGAGAAAAAAATTACTGAGGTAGAGCATGCACCGATACATTCCCCAGTGTGTTACAGCCAATCAAGGACAAGGCTAAGTATAACAACATTGTTTCACAATGTTTTCAAAGCTAAAAATTAAACTCTATTTATTAAGCAATTCAGCATTTGCTATTGATTTATTAAAAAAAAAACTCTCAGCGTGAACAAACTGCTAATACAACTAACGGACCTGAGGATCAGGAAAACAGGTAGACCAAATACTTTTCTATGCGACTACAACAGTGTAAAAAATCTCTATACTCGCTGTTACAATGTTGACCTTAACAGGTACAGTAACTGTCGTGGGGATTAGGTAGCAAGAATTATTATTCATTAACCACGTCAGCCATTGCTTATTAAACGCGTCGACAGAGGCGTCGCTCAACATTTGATCGCTCGGTGGATGACTCTTGTGTTTCGGCGTACCGCGGTAGGTTAATTCACACATGCAGTTCAAACAGTGCACTAAGCTACGACACTGAGTTCCGGATGACGAATCGATAGTTTTCCAATCCATAATCGAATCCATGTATTTTAAAATAACATCTGGTGATGTGTGAAGTGGAACAAACTTTCCATTACCACGAAATTATATACCATACGTAACTACCCACCGCAAACGATGAGCCATTGAGCAACCCTCCATGTTTTAGATCGAGCTGGAGGTCTGTAGGCCTAATGTCAAGTGAACAAGACTGACCATGGCTGACATGGGACAGGTTGTGTGTGTACAGCACTGGTATGATCTCTGTACAGTCAAGTGAACAAGACTGACCATGGCTGACATGGGACAGGTTGTGTGTGTACAGCACTGGTATGATCTCTGTACAGTCAAGTGAACAAGACTGACCATGGCTGACATGGGACAGGTTGTGTGTGTACAGCACTGGTATGATCTCTGTACAGTCAAGTGAACAAGACTGACCATGGCTGACATGGGACAGGTTGTGTGTGTACAGCACTGGTATGATCTCTGTACAGTCAAGTGAACAAGACTGACCATGGCTGACATGGGACAGGTTGTGTGTGTACGGCAGTGGTATGATCTCTGTACAGTCAAGTGAACAAGACTGACCATGGCTGACATGGGACAGGTTGTGTGTGTACGGCAGTGGTATGATCTCTGTACAGTCAAGTGAACAAGACTGACCATGGCTGACATGGGACAGGTTGTGTGTGTACGGCAGTGGTATGATCTCTGTACAGTCAAGTGAACAAGACTGACCATGGCTGACATGGGACAGGTTGTGTGTGTACGGCAGTGGTATGATCTCTGTACAGTCAAGTGAACAAGACTGACCATGGCTGACATGGGACAGGTTGTGTGTGTAGCACTGGTATGATCTCACATTATCATTACACAACAAGACATAATGGCATGTGCTGTTTACTAAAACTGTTGACGTTACGTACTTTAGGGAGGGGAAGGGGTGAAAATTGTGACGTCTCTCTCTGACCATGTGCTACGCGGGAGAAACGGTGCGGTGGGGGAGGGGGGGGGGTGTTGAGAAATAAGACGCAACATATATTTAGTTTCTTAACGATAATAATTTCTGCATTTTAGTAACAACCGTGGTTGTATAAGGTGGGCTGTTGGATGGCGTATGTCTTTATGTGAGCTAATGATTTGACTTGAAAAAAAAAACCACACAACTCTGGCAGGTATCAGGCCTATCCCGACTTTTTGATTTGCAGTATCATGCTAGTATTATTGGCCTACGTGTTTACTTTATATGTAGGCCTATAAACAATGGTTAATTCAGACTTTTTTTCTCGGGGCTTGGGGCGCGGCGGACACCGGTAAAGTATATATTTCTAAATAAATTCTATTTCTTTCGAGGGGGGAGAGGGCGGTAGACTCCCCCCCCCCCTCCTACCCCCTTTCCGAAGAGATGCCTGGAAGAAACTCTGCCTGTAAAAATTGAAAAAGGGAAATACATAGCATGTGTTTCATATGCTGGATGTGTTTGTATCTGAGCTACCGAGCTTATGGTGTTTGTGCGCCGGATTTGGTAAATATTGTCACACTTATCTCTCCTTGTACCACCCCACCACCCCCATCTTGCGCCACGTGGTTGTAGAACTTTACTACACTTGATTGATAACGGCAAATCACACGCCTTTTCAAGTTGTCCGTTGAGTGTGTTCCTATCAAGTTAGGCTATATTAAGGTTCGAGTTACGAAACAACAGATGGAGTAAATGGTCAACTTAAATTTTTTCAAGCTGACTCCGACAATTCATACATATTCAACCATTAATCCCAATAGGGTAAAAAGTTTATCATGCAGTTTTAACCCCCCCCCCTTTTTTTTTTAAACATAGCGGCCCTACGGACACCGCTAGGTTTAACCAGTTTGAAGGGTTGGTCTTTTCCGGTTAGCATATTTTCTCCTGGGCTGACACGGAAATGACCCGAGACGCTCAGCCCACCGACATAGGAGTCAGGCCATCGTATCCCAAAGACCTCGTTCTCATAGCGCAATGACGCAAACTATGCTGTTTGGGGGGGGGGGGGGGGTTAAATCATCGGACGGAGGAGTGGACTTTCTTATTTGGCGACATGTGAAAGGGTGAGGGGTTAAACATTTAAGATAGTATGAGGATATTTGTAACTGAATTTTAGCAATTATTTAATGTAATGAAAGTTAATCGTTGAATCTACATTGACAAGAGCTTGCTAAATGTTCGCTATGTAATAGTGATCAGCCCCCCTTCCGGCCGAAAGTTGTATAACCGTAGATAGGGATCGTCCATAAATGACGTCACACTCATAGGGGGGGTCTGTAATTTTGTGACGGTGTGTGATGGGGGGGGTCAGATGGTGTGATCAGTAGCGTAGCGAGGGGGGGAGGGACATATGTCCCCGGGCGCCGACCTTAGGGGGCGCCAAAATGGGTTAGAAAAATAAATTGAAAGGTGAGGGGGTGCAAATCGAAATCTTGAGGGGGGGGGGGAGTGCAAATCGAAAGTTTGAGGGGGGTGCAAATCGAAATCTTAAGGGGGAGGGTGCAAATCGAAAAGTTTGTCCCCGGGCGCCGGGAAGGGTCGCTACGCCTCTGGGTGTGATGTCACACTTGAGCATTATTAAAAGCAATGTTAGGAAACGAGTTTTAGCCGTTATTTCGCGTTATAGAAAACGGTTTTAATAAATTGTAATAGGAATTGATTTAAATAATCCATGTTGACAGAGTTCAGACCAGATTTTGGAAAATATCGATGTTTCAAGAAAATTCAACTGCAATTTTGAGGGAGGGGGTGTAATCCGATGTGTGACGTCATTTTAGGGGGGGGGGTCTGACTTTTTGTGATGGGGGGGGGGGGGTGTAAAAAACGTCCAAGAAAGCGTGACGTCATTTATGAATGACCACATAGTATTTCGCGTAAAGGGAAACTACTCAATATATTCGATACAATCAACCTAGCTTGGTTATATCCCTTGATATAAAGGGGAAACACCCAAAACTAATATGAAACCGCGGGGAGGGGATGAATAAGGGTTGAAGGTATAGACGGGTGGGTGACTGTGATCATGTGACCAAATTCCCTCACTATTCCAACAGAGTGATGAATGAATCTCTTTTAACCAGGGTGTATTGTGATTCCATTTGTTTGCTCCGTGCTGTGTTTAAAATGTACACAAAACAGTGCAGACAAGAACCTGCACACGCCATCGATCGCGCTAGTGATTCTGGAGACACTTAACCTTGAGACCCTGACCTAAAAGATAAACCCGTGGTAATGAACTCCCGATGACACGGTGAGATGTGTCATTGTTATGATAGGACCAAAACCAGACCGCTGAACCATCTTCACGCTGATTTAGCTCTTTCAAAAATATTTGAGCTGATCTTTTACGACCTGTTTTAAAAGTGAAAGATCTGGCGTCATAAATCTACACGTGTGTGTGTTGGGGGTTAATACAAACTCGGCTAAAATGGAGTGACACCATTTTATTAAAGCTTTCACTAGTCTGTTTCTTGGACTCAACAACCAGTTGTTTTGACATAAGCTGCATTGTTATGGTTAACAGTCTAATATACATTGATGAAAAGGGCCATGCTATCACAACTAAACACACAAAGTTAATGTTTATTCCTCTTCCAGCCTAAAGTGAAATTAAACATTGAGGTAAATCATTCAATCTTGCGATTGATTCTCCTAAGAGCAGTTGTATGATGAGCTATATTAGACGAGTCATCAAAACCTGTGATGATAATATGGGTATGTACTGACCAGAACAGAAGAAAACATAACCAAGCAGGCACTAGACTGTAATCCACAGGGACAAAGGAAAAACAAAGAACATCCTGGAAGAAGACTATAAAAGGCAAATCAAGGGCTATAGCATTTAGGATATAACAGCAGACCAACTGCAGAATGCTGCCCTGATAAGTTTGTTGCAGCCCTTTGCTCCACAGAATTAAATAGTAGATGTGGAGTTGGATGATCAATAGCAATGGTTAATACATCAAATTTACATTCAAACAATTTATATTACTATATTACAATCACTTGTAGTTGTATGGCTGGCTGCTCTGTGTAGAATAAAATATGCAATAATGGCTTCATAATTATGCACATGCAAATGTATTTTAGATTAGCTTATTATTAGTGTGAGTGTGTGAATATATATATATATATATATATATATATATATATATATATATATATATATATATATATATATATACATACATATATAAACATTTTTTAATGGAATGACACACTACCTAACATATTGGCCTACAACTAAGCTAATACAGTTAGTAGACAAGAATGACCATATATATTAGTTAAATTTAGCAGATAAAAATAAAGATAAAATAATTTTTAGTAATTGAATCATACATGAAGAATCACTAGACAGCAAAACTGTCATATTAGGCAGAGCATGACAGACTATTTACATTAACAGGAGAATTTTTATCCCAGTGTCCGATAATAGAATCTTCTTTAAAAAAGGGGTGTTAGGTTACCGGAAGTTAACTAAATACACACATTGCTCGCTAATGTCAATGCTAACCCTGTCCCTAATCCTACTATACACCTAACTGTAATTCATAACCATAAAATTAGTCGAGATCACAATACTACTAACAACCCAACATACCTATTTTATGGAAGAGTCTATTATGATTATCAGACATCAGTATCTAAAATCATCCCCATGTTATCATATGAGTATTATTAAGTATTAATGTCTGAGTGTAATTGAATGACTAGTTCTCTAGTTTGTAGAATCTAGAACTAGAAGACAAAAGTATGCTAGACCCTTTTAGAAAGAACGAGCCGACCCGCAGCGTATCATACGCCGCTATTTAGTTGTTTTATTTTCTACTTTTCAGTAATTCATAATTTGTGAATTCGACAGTACCAATGCTGTCACTGAAAATATTTGCTTTAAAACACTAACCCCCCCCCTTCCCCTAACCCCGACCCTACCTCCCCCCCCCCCAGTGAAAGCAGCCTCCTCTTAGTTATTTCTTAGTTACCTCCTGTAAGTTTAAAATCGAACTAAATTATCTGCCCCTAATAGAAACCCAGCTCTACGGCTTTACGATTTGTAAACATTTGGCTTTGTAAACATTTAGCGTGACCACAGCTCACCAGACAATGTGGGGGATGGGGGTGGTAGTGATAGTGATAGAGAGAAAGAGAGGGGACTGCAAGGAGGCGCTTGCAGCTTGTTTTCTAACGGCTCCCAGAAGAGAATATTATAGAGGCCTATTAGGCCTAATAAATTTTTATTATAGATCTATATATATTATATAGATAGTCTGGTCTACTCACTAGATTCTTGAACCAGAATCTAGAATCTCTAGTAGACTCTATAGTATAGACTAGATCTAGATTCTAGATCTAGCAATCTAGACTAGATCTAGATCTAGATTTAGATTCTCTACTGATCTAGATCTAGAGTCTAGATTCTAGAGATATCTAGATCTAGTACTGAAAAGATGATAATTAATAATTTCAAATTATTTGTTAAGATTTTTAAAGATCTCTTACTCTCAGCTCAGTCTCTTACTAAAATTTCCTTAGATTCTAACTCTAGAGTCTAGAATAGTCTAGATCTAGATCTAGATCTAGAATCTAGATCTAGAATCTAGGTCTAGAGTCTAGACTAGAGACTAGAGATCTAATCTAGAATCTAGATCTAGAAGATCTAGATCTAGTCTAGATCAACTGTTAAGCCTACGGGTCTTTTAAAACCATCTAAAATTAAAATGGAGCTAAAAATAAAATCTAAGAGCAATCATGTTTACCTTTACTTGAACACATGCATGTTTTCGTTCGTTCGTAATGACACGAATTATGGATGGTAATGGTATCGAATGATTTCGGTGGCGTGAGGGTTACAAAAGCATGCTTCCGCTATGCTAGTTCCATGGCCTTTTGTTTACCCCACCATTTTAATACTAAAAATAGACCTACTTAATTTATGGAGAAAAAGGTGAACGGTTGGCCTAAAAAATATACAAAAAATTACTTTATAGATACTTCATACGAAAAAAAATAGGCATAGATCTAGATCTACATTCAACATTGATTTGCCTTTGTAATTTTATTAACAGATGTTTGATCTACCAAAAAGTAGGCTTCAGCAAAGCAAAGCAAAGCAAATTTAATACAATAAAGAAGACGTTACATTAGTAGGGGGGAGGGAGTCCTTAATTTTGTGACGGTGTGTGATGAGGGGGAGAGGGTTAAGATTGTGTGACGTCACTTTTTTGCATTATAAAAAAGCAATGCTAGAAAACGAGTTTTAGCCGTTATTTCGCGTTTTAGAAAACGGTTTTAATAAATTGTAATAGGAATTGATTAAAATTTAAAATACTCTATGCTGACAGAGTTCTGATGAGATTTTGGAAAAAAATATCGATGATTTAAGAAAAAATTAACAGCAGTTTTGAGGGGGGTTGTAGGCTGAGGTGTGACGTCATTTTAGGGGGGGGTGGCTTTTTGTGACGACGTGTGACGGAGGGGAGGGGGAGGTAAAAAACAAAGCGTGACATCACTTATGGATGACTCCCCTTATATAGACCTATTTGGTTCTAGTAGCCTATAGGCTACAGATCTAGGTCTACTTACAACTTTCGACTTAGTCTAGTGCTTTACTTAATCACTCTACATCTACATATAATGTAGTAGACAAATGTTTGTATTAACGTGCAGCGTCAAACGGCACCGACAAATAGACCACCTGTGATCGATTCCGTTAAAAGGGCCAGCAACTCTCGTCATACGGCTCCCGACAAAAGTCGAAAGGGCTCCGGTCCGAAATCATACATATCTAAATGACGCACGCTTTTTTGACGATTTACATCGCCACAATAAGCCAGACCCCACCTAAAATGACGTCACACCTCAGTCTACAATCACCCTCAAAATTGCATGTTGAATTTCTTAAAACATCGATTTTTTTTAAAATCTTGACTGAGCTAGGTTAACATATAGTATTTTAATCAATTTCTATTAATATTATTTAAACAAAATTTCCAAAGCGTGAAATGAGGGCTAAAATTTGTTCTCTAAAATTACACATCATGCAAAACTGCGACATAATCACACTTTCTGAACACCCTCTCCCCTCATCACACACCGTCACAAAATTACGGACCCCACCTCCCCCGACGAGTGTGATGTGACATCAATGTCATTCATAAACGACCCATCAGCAGGTTTTAAATCAGTATAGGTTCCCGTTTTAAATGCACCACACAGTAAACACATCTTCTTCTCTTGCACACGATATCATTTAGTGAGGTTTTCTTTCCCATCTCTCTGTTCGAGATACGATCCTCCCTTTTATTTTCATAACACATTTTATGGGGTCGTCTATTGAAACTCAAGGCGGCTTTCTACTTTTACTTTTTCTTCTAATCCACGTTTCAACTGCATGGAAGAGCACTTAAGAAGCGTCTTAAAACGTATGCTAGATATCTTCATCTTGATTTCTGCCGCGGTGATGATTTCAAAGTTTTCCCAAGTTTGTTAAAAGGCTGTTCTGCTATGGCCAGTCTTTTAAAATTGGAAATTTTATTTTATCATTTATTATAGCTGAAGGGGGGCTGCCAAGGTGCTGAAATATTTTCACTCAATTAGCGCACGTTTTTATCGTACTTTTTAGTTTTTAGTTTACATCAGCTTTGTTTTCCCAAAGTTGATCTACAGATCGGCACTTTTAGCTAGTTGTACTATTCTTGTGGTTCTCTTGTCATTATATCGTAGACAGGGACGTAGCAAGAAGGGGGGGGGCGGGGGTGCGGACCGCACCGGGTGACACCATTTAGGGAGGTGACACCAAGGCAAAAAATAACAAAATATATAGAGAAAAACTTGAGAGGGGGGGGGGGGTGCAAATCGAAAGTTTGAGGGGGGGGGGGGGGGTGCAAATCGAAAACTTGAAAGTTTGTCCCCGGGAAGGGTCGCTACTCCTCTGGGGGGTGACACCATTAAGTGCCGCACCGGGTGACACCCGACCTCGCTACGCCACTGATCGTAGAGCATATAAATTAGATCCGAATCATCAATTAAATCGCTGTCTTCCATTGGGACTGTTAGTTCCTGTTCAGTTCCTTTTGGTTTGTCTTCAGTAGTTCTTCTCATCTTTAACCTTTTCAAGAAGATGACTGGTGTGTATTCTTGTCGGACCACTTATCACACTGAACCATTTGCTTAATTGATTTTCGTGGTGCACCTAACATAGGAGTTTCTTTCAGACATTTTGCCCTAGAGGACACTTGACACTTCTTCCACACGAGGACCCACATATTGGTGTGTACGCAAGGACCCACATATTGGTGTGTACACAAATATCTACGTGTGGACACAGACCCACATGTCCAGTGTGTACACCGATCCACATCTCATGGTGTACAAAAAGATCCAAATCTCAGCGTGTCTACAAAGATCAGCATCTCAGTGTGTAAGCAAAACCACATACCAAAGTGTGTATACAAAGATTAACTATTATGACTACATTGAGTCTAAACAAAACATCACACTGGATTCTTTCTGCCACTTTTCATAATAATTTGAACATATTGTCTTAATCTAATAAAGAATAAAAGAAACCAACCTCATAAAGAACAAAACAGATATCATAAAGAACAAAACAAACAAGGTTTTAAGAACTAGTATTCCAACAATTTATTTATCTTTTAAATTAGCTGGCAGCAACAAAAGTCTCAAACTGTTCTTGAACAGAAGTCGAATAATTGCTGACTTGTGTTTCCCAGCGTCATGAAGGGACCTTCTGCAAACCCATCTGGCACAGCTGCAGTTGGTGCAGCCACGACACTGGCATTGGGATATTGTCACTGTTGCTGCTCCGTGGTAGCTCAGACAAGCCATCAGACACAAGACACAACCTGTGGGGGAGACACAAAACAAAGGGACTTAATGAGAAAGTTTTGCTTTGAATGCTAAGGGAGATAAATGCCTAAATTGCTAAAATAGATGTAACTGTAGAATGAAACGACCGTCGTGTTAAAATACATCACGCCGTTCATACTACGCTTTAGGCCAAGGGCAGGGGCGGAACTACAGTGCCGCCAGACCCCGCAATGCGGGGGGGGGGGGGGGGCACGCCATTTAGGGGCCCGTAGCCGACCATAATAATTTTTTTATAGTTAAAAAAATAAATTTCTTGCATCTTTGACCTGACGGTAAAACCTTTTGTAAATAACAAACAGATCTACTACAGTAGTGATGTTATACAGTAGCTAACACATGCTGTTGCGTAAAAAATATATATGAATGAGCTGTAGTGTGAAAGATAGGCAAACGTTCAAAACACTTCCATGACTTATTTCCCTTTTTTAAATGGATAAATATGGATGCTCATTAGCACCTATTGGTACTAAACAAGTTAAAAAGCAATTACTTCTCTTAATTATTATTTTTTAAAAATACATATTAAAGATTGACATAGCATAAAAAGGAAATATGTTTAAAACTAATAAAATAAATACAAAAAAAAACATAAAAATAAACATAACACAAGAAACCATTACACATACAAAGCTTTCACGCTTTATATTCTTTTGACGGGCTAAAGAACAGAGGTTAACTAGCGTTACAGCAAACATATTGAGTAAACTAGCTCTAAATCTGAAAAAAAATATTCAAAACTGACTAGTGCACTCAAACATGACATGTTGTAATTTGTTTAAATTGAAAAAAAAAAACATTTTTTTTTGAAAACCCGATCAGGCCAGAAATGACTATCCAGTGTTTGTATTCTGTATATATATATATATATATATATATATATATATATATATATATATATATATATATATATATATATATATATATATATATATATATATATATATATATATATAGGGGGCCCAGAAATTTGTTTTGCGGGGTGGCCATTTTTTTCTAGTTCCGCCACTGGCCAAGGGGTGGCTGTCGATGTCCAAGAGCGGTGGTTAAAAGGCGTCACTGAAGTGGGGTGGCTAAAGACGTGGCTAAGTGTGTCCAAAACGTGGGGTGGCTATAGGGCATTTAAATAGGGAGGTGCTAAAGGGTGTCTAAGTATTGAGGTGGCTATTGATGTCTAAGTAGTGGGGTGGCTAAGGGTGTCCAAGTAGTGGGGTGGCTAAGGGTGTTTACGTAGTGGGCCGGCTTGTGGCGTTGTATAATAGCACATTTAAAAAGTGAGACCAGCGCCTTAATGAATGGCCATTGGTCATTAAGAGAACATCCGAGAAATAGAACTATAAGAAAAGACTATAGTATTGTTAACAGTTGAATCCCAAGGGTGGTCAGATACTAGCATAAACATCAAACTAGACATATATCGCCACATTAATCATATCATATACAACTACAACAATATAATCAGATCGTAAATACAGCAATATCAGACAAATACAACCATAATAATCACACCTGACAAATACAGCCACAATAATAACATCAGATAATTACAACTATAACAAACATAACAGACAATTACAACCACAATTAAATCAAACAAACAGATAATAATCACATCATAAGTAATTAAGTACACCAGCAGTAACCACATGAGACTACAAGCGCAGACAACTCTATCACAAAGTACTTGCCAACGAGAACACTGATCTTCATGGCGAGGAGCTAGAGTTGGTCCAAAGAATGAGACAGTCTTTCTGCTGGTGTGAAGGTTGTCGTCTGCTTGGGCAGGAACTTTCTGAGCGACTCGCCTTGACCGAATGTGGCGCCATATATAGCGTCGTCTTCAGCAGACTGTCGCCTAGAGTCGCACTCTGCGAGCCGAGTGTTTACACAACAAACTGAGATGTCAACAAACATGGAACTCTTTTATTCAGGAAGTGAAAGGCTGGCGGTTTGAACTGAATGACACGCTACAAAGTGTGCGGGTGTATTGTATTAGAGGGTTATCAAATATATGCAACAGGGGTTCCTTTATGATCAGTTTCCACCAGGCATCTCTTCCGCCCCCCCCCTTTCCCCCATCCCGAACAAAATGGAATTTATATAGAAAATATATACTTTTAACAGTGTCCGTCCCCTCCCCCCCCCCCGGAAATTTTAGTCCGCCCCCTCCCCCCCAACGAAAATTTTAAGTGCCCCCCCCCCTCCCCTTCCCCACCGGAGAAAAACTTCTGGAGGAAACACTGTTTATCATGTCAATACAGTTTGTCACACCAGTAGCGTAGCGAGGGGGGGGGGGGGCGGGGGACATATGTTCCCGGGCGCCGACCTTAGGGGGCGCCAAAATGGGTTGGAAAAATAAATTGAAAGGTTGAGGGGGGTGCAAATCGAAAGTTTGAGGGGGGGTGCAAATGGAAATCTCGAGGGGGGGGTGCAAATCGAAAGTTTGAGGGGGGGGTGCAAATCGATATCTCGAGGGGGGGGGGTGCAAATCGAAAAGTTTGTCCCCGGGCGCCGGGAAGGGTCGCTACGCCTCTGTGTCACACTTGTATTGCAAAACCGAAAAAAACAACCGAATAGATGGCGAAACACAAAATGAAAAATGTAAAAGTAATTGAAAAGTTTTTTGCACTTCTGAGTTCTCGTAGACGAAGAATCAATATTTCAGCACTTTTAAATGTTTTTTTGTTGTTGTTTTTAAATATCAAGTTCGTGTCACTTATCCAGTGTTATATAATTTTAATATGTTTAGGAAATCGACTCTTCGTTTGTCACTTTTGAGTTTAAAAAAATCTACCGGTATTAAGAAACTTGACTTGGGACTATATGTTGCTTGAGCGATATGCTCAAAGTATTTAGAACCCCTGCTTTAGAATATAAACTAAAGAAGTGTTTACAGTTGTGGGCAAGCAAAAAAGTGAGGCGTGTGTGGGTGTATTTGTGGTTTTTTTAAAAATCGTTTGTTGATGTTCTAAGTCAGCGATTCCCAAATTTACCTGACCCCGCACTCAGTGTTAGACGAGCCCTACATGTCAGCATCCCTACCCACCCCAAGACGAACCCTCCATGTCAGTATCCCCACCCCCTAGATGTCCATCCATGTCAGTATCCCCACCCACCAGATGCCCATCCATGTCAGTATCCCCACCCACCAGATGTCCATCCAAATCAATATCCCCACCCCAAAGATGAGCCCTCCATGTCACTCTCAGTATCCCCACCACCTAGTCTAGAGGGGACGTCTGCGTATATTCCAATGTAGTGGGGGCGGCAGCTTATATTCTAGTGTAGTGGGGGCGGCAGCTTATAATAATTCTAGTGTAGTGGGGGCGGCAGCTTATATTCTAGTGTAGTGGGGGCTGCAGCTTATATTCTATAGTGGGGGCGGCAGCTTATATTCTAGTGTAGTGGGGGCTGCAGCTTATATTCTATAGTGGGGGCGGAAGCTTATATTCTAGTCTAGTGGGGGCGGCAGTTTATGTTCTAGTCTAGCTGACATACATTTTCTGATACCCCCCCCCCCCCCCCTTTGAAGAGATGCCTGAAAGAAAGTGCAGATACGTGACAAAGGCAGAAACGTGTTTTTCCCCGTTCATTTGTAGGCTATCTATTTTTCACACAGGAAGGTTACTTAAAGTCCTGTGGTAGCCACTAATTAAAGTATACATTTTCTATATAGGGCCTATATATATTGCTACCTCCCCCTCCCCATCAGAAGAAATGCATGAAAAAATTCTGGTCTCAAATTGCCTCTGACAACTATTTAAGCTGGCCTGATTGTGTGGCCTATTAATAGTTATAAGCCCGGCGAAACTGCTAATACTGACAGGCAGTAGCATCACTAGGTCGAGTGTCACCTAGTGCGGTAACTGAGTGTAACCCCACCCCCTCCAACCCTTTTGCACTTTGCCACCCCTTCCCCCCCCCCCACTATTTTTATATGAAAGATTGCTGTGACGGTGAGGGTAATGTGACGGACACCAACTAGACGTTGCAAAATTTGCCTGAGGAAAAGGTTTTCTTGAGAATTGTAATAACTTATACATCAAGCCGAGCCTGGGGTGGGGTGGTGACACCAAATGTAATAATTTACAACAATTACAATGATTTTTTCACTTGAATTAATAGCTGTTAGAGTTGGTCCCCGAAAGGCTTCTCTAAGTGGATTAATATAATGTTTGCACAAATTGAAGACTTTCGACAAAAAGACTGGGGGGGGGGGGGGGTGACACCATATACACAGTCCATCGAAATGAATTGAGGTGACACCACAATGGAAATTTTCAAATCTACATATAATTCAATTAAGCAAATTATTATACAACAGCTTACATGTGTATTTGTGCATGTATGTTTGTGTGTGTATGTATGTGTGTGTGTGTGTGTAAGTGCGTGGAGAAAGGTGACTGACACCAGTAGAACAATAGTTGATTGTGCTTAAGTAGTTGATTTTTTATGTACGATGTGTGATATGTTTAATGGGTTATTTTTCTATTCCTATTAAAAGGTGTGTGTATTAATCCATTGTAAATCAATTGAGTTAAAACAAATTTGAGAGACGGAAATGAATAATGGAAACCATAAGCAATAAAAAGCGACCAACAGATTAAGAAAACTGGTTGGCTTGCCACATTGACACATGTTGCTTTTCCGTCAGCTGAACGTTTTAAAACAACAATTCACGCTACTTTAATCAGCTTGATAATTAAATGTATATTTTGCAATAGAATATGTTAAATTATAATAACTTGTTTATAAATTGTGAACCCATACGAGGTAAATAGCTTTTAGTGGATTCAAACGTTATACAAATTATTTGGTCGTTACGTTACTCATTTTCTATAAATGAAAAGAATAAAACGAAGTTCAGCCCAAAATGCGTAGCTTTAAAAAAGAGAAAATGCATAAAAAATATATTTAAATACATATAGGCCTACACATGCATATACACATACTTACATAGTATGTGGCATATATACAGGGGGGCGGGGGGGGGGGCGGACCGCACCGGGTGACACCAAGGCAAACAATTGCAAAATATATAGAGAAAAACTTGAGAAGCGGGGTGCAAATCGAAAACTTGAAAGTTTGTCCCCGGGAAGGGTCGCTACGCCTCTGGGGGATGACACCATTAAGTGCCGCACCGGGTGACACCCGACCTCGCTACGCCACTGCATATATATATATATATATATATATATATATATATATATATATATATATATATATATATATATATATATATATATATATATATATATATATATATATATATATATATATATCTATATATATATCTATATATATATATATATATATATATATATATATATATATATATATATATAGACTCTATACATTTTGATTTTTTTCGGGGTGAGAGGGGTGACACCATTGCCATTAGGTCTGATTCGGTGCCGCACCGGGTTACACCCGACCTAGCGACGCCACTGACTAGAATATATCAATTTGTAGGTAGATTTTCTAGACCTGTATTGGAATAAATTTTCTGATAACTAATAAATAGATGACACCCCTCTAATTAACCAAACAAATTTTTTTTCATAGATCTAGATTTGTAATTTCGTCCCCGGAATCAAATTCATTTTGTGCGGAACAATTGTTTTGGTTTAAATAAAAATGGCTGGCATTCTCAGGTTGAAAGATTATGAATCAAGTAGTGATGAAGAAGAAGGCATAAACGCACACCTTTTACCTATAAAAAATCCAGAAATTTCAATTTCCCAGAGTATAGCATTAGTAGCTGCCCCAGAGGTTGTTTCAAACGTAAGTATTATTAATTGTAATAGATCTTGGACGTAAGTACAAGAGACTACGGCGCTACGCTACCACAAACGAGCAGTTCAGGAAAAATGTCACGGAAGCTATTCTAGACTCTAGATCTAACTTACTAACTGAGCGACTAAGGTAACGAACTCAAGTCACTAAAGTATATCTAGATCTAGATTAGATCTATATTTAGTTAAGTCTAGTTTTCAGAATAAGCCTGAGTGGACCTTTGAAGAAAGTTAGTGATGATTGAAGATAATATTAATACTTAAACTGAGAAACTCTACTAAACTGTAAAGTACGTAACAATTTATACAAAGTGCAATTGCCAACAGATGCCTGCCGATATTCCAAAAACATTATTTTAAAAATAAAATAGGTGTGTTAGTTAGGTTAGGTTATTGTAATCTTGACTGGTTACTGTAGTTAGATCAAGTAGTTTTATCGTTACAAATTTAAAGTTACAGTTTCCCTTTCAAACCTGACGGTCTATGGGGCAAGCGAAGTAGAGTTCACTTGTTTCTGTGACCTCGGCATATGAAGAGATAGTGTGGTCAGCACTATGCCCAGCCGCCTTTACTTTCCCTAACGTGAGTTAGGTACCCATCAGAGTTGGGTGGACTCAGGGACGTTCTTCTGACTTAAACCCGGATTCAAACTCGAGACTTATGGGTTAGCAGTCCAGCTCTCTACCGCTAGACCACTCCGTCGTTACAAATTAGGGTTCGGCATATGGTAGGACTAGGGTAGGGGATTAAAAAGAAAATTGTTTATAGTTATAAATATATATTATAGTATCATCTCACTAAGCATTAGGCAAATAGATTTAAAGACAATTAAATATTAGACCCAACAGCCTACAGGTACAATGGATGTTTTGACCCAAGGTCTTCATCAGCACACAACACTGGGGTTGGTTAAGGACTAGACTAAAGGGCAAACAATAACATTCTTTTGAACTTAGCTTGACATGGAAAACATGTCTTTTTTAAATGCCATGATATACAAATGACTTGTATTACAGGATGCAGAGGAAGTAGATGAAAGATACATGCTTGTTTAAGCCATATTTTTTTATCTTTCATGTTTAATTTAGCCCTGAATCTTTTGAAAAAATTTATACTTAGGAGGACAGCTCTGGTTTACGTCATATTGATGCCAATACAAAAGAGTTGAAGTACAATCCTAAACATGATGAATTGTTTGCACCATATGTAAGTATAATAAAGGCTCAAACTATTAAATTACTATTTCATACAGTATTATTATAGTGTAGTAGTAATTTTCAAACTTTTAACTTTTGGTGTACATTTTCACTAGCACTAAAAAAAAACCACTAAATAAGTTAGAGAACTGTGTAGTAATAGAAAAACCTCTTTTTCTCAGGTTGGCCCAGTGAATCCATATAAAACTGCTCAATCACTCGCAAAAAAAAAACACCTTGTGTGGTTTTGTAGAGCCAGCTCATGTAAACTCTTTTCAATTTGACAACCAAAGAAAGACATTCACAAGCTATGGTAAATACTGTTACAAATATTTGCATAGATAATTCTTTAGAAAGACTGGTATAACATGTCTGTTTTTATATAACTGCTTCGGAATATGCTGTGATTAATCACCCAGTTTATATTTAGGTTTTGCTTTGGATCCCAGTGTAGATAATGGTAGCCAGCCTGATACTTTTATTGGGGATGTGAAATTACTTGAAGAAAATAAAGGTATTTATAGTTGATGTTAAAATGTTACTTAAATTCAATAACTACTTTTACAGTTTAAATTACGCAGTATGTAATGTATTTAGTCAATATTTATAAAAATAATTGATATATTACATTTTTCTGTTAATGGTTAAAAAATTCTCCTTTTGAACCTGATGATCCATGGTGCAAGTGAAGTAGAGTTCACCTGTTTCTGTGACCTCAGCATATGAGGGGGTAATATGGTCAGCATTTTGCCCGCCTGCTTTACTTTCCCTAAAGTGGGTTAGGTACTCATCAGGGCTGGGTGGACTCAGGGATGTTCTATAGAGTTGATAAAGATTCAAACTAGAGAGTTAATAAAGTATGTTTGCATATAAACATTAATAAGTAGATGAGTATGTCTTTTTAAAAAAAAGAAAAATTAAGTCCAAACATTTTTCTAACAATAGGTAAAACTGTGTTTGAAACAAATTCTGTGGTTGAAAAGAAAAAGAAGAAGAGAAAAAGGGAGGTCAATGAGGATCCAGCTGACATTGATGGGTATTTAGGCCCATGGGCTAAGTACAAAGATGAAGAGACAGTTTCTAGACCAAGTGAAGTAAGTATTTTTTAACTTTAGTTCTATTTTGTAGATATGCACTAATGTGTGTTTTACTATACTCTATTATTTTACATTATTTATAGGAAGAGCAAAAAGTATTGGATGAAATCCTGGCCAAGAGAAATAAATCAGGAAAACAGGTTGACGAAAAACCTTTGGAAGAAAAAACAACACTTCATAGTATGTACTGTAAACATCAGTATTTCATATTATGCACAAAAAATGCTGCACATATTAGCTTTAATTTTTTAAAAAGTGATTATACATTGTAAATGTATTGTAATGTAAAAAGAATATTTTTTTCTTTCAGTTAAAGATGCTTATGACTACCAAAACAGGTCATTTTTACATCCACCCCAAGATGTGGGTGTGAATCTTAAATCAGAAGAACCGCCAGAGAAATGTTTCCTTCCCAAAAAATTAATTCACACTTGGGCTGGCCATACAAAAGGCATTGCAGCTATTCGTTGGTTTCCAAAGTTTGCACACCTTATTTTGTCTGCTGGAATGGACTGCAAAATAAAGGTTATTAAATTTAAAAAACTTGAAAATATTTAGGTTGAAGTTTTGCTTTTTAAAATTCACTTTCTAAAATCAAAAGATCTTTTCATTTTAGTAAGCCAACAATGAAATGCATTTTTAAAAATTAAAGAACATACATTTTTTAATTTGGAAGCTTAAATCCTTCGTATTGACTTTCCATCTGAAAGATCTGGGAAGTCTATAAAGAAAGAAGATGCATAAGGACGTACACTGGTCACAAACAGGCAGTGAGAGATATCTGTTTTAATAATGATGGCAAAGAATTTCTTAGCTGTGGATACGATCGCTACTGTAAATTATGGGATACTGAGACAGGTAGGTCTAATGAATTACTATTGAATGGCAGCTGTAATAAATTATCCAAATGTTGAGTTTTATATATTTATTTATGTATAAAGCAGGATAAGATTAATAAAATTATTTTAGATAGTTTTAAAATCTTTTTTTCAAACATCTTATTGTAATGTTTAGACTTAATGAAGCGTAATTTATTTTAAAAACAGGTGAATGTAAAGCTCGCTTTACCAGTCGGAAAGTTCCATATTGTGTAAAATTTCACCCAGAAGAGGATAAGCAACACCTGTTTGTAGCAGGAACCTCTGACAAGAAAATAGTGTGTGTAAGTAATGCACCTGTTTACTAAAATTTACTTATTTATTAACCAAGAAATAGCACAAAAAAATGATAATTTTTAACGAGTATACTAATGGAGCTATTTATACCTTGTAGTGGGATATTCGCTCAGGAGACATCATACAGGAATATGACAGGCATTTAGGTCCAGTGAACACAATCACATTCATTGATCAAAATAGGCGTTTTGTTTCCACATCTGATGACAAGAGTCTTAGAGTTTGGGAGTGGTAAGCTGTTTTATTTGAGTAGGCTACTTAGTTTTTGTTGAATAATATTGGACTAGAAGAGGCTGATGGTAGTAGCCAATAAATAGCATTGTTTACTATCTACTGTTTATATACATTTTCCCAGTATAGTTAAATCATACGTTCCTTAGTGAATTTTATTTAAAGCATTTCAGAACTTTCCTGTAGGTGGCAAAAAATGTCTGATTATTAATTTCGGTTAAACTATCGAGGGGTAGTATGTGAATTTAAATAACTCATTTCAGAGTCTAATTAGCTACATATCTGTTTTCAGGGATGTTCCTGTTGATTTCAAATACATTGCTGATCCATCCATGCATTCAATGCCTGCTGTTACTTTGTCACCTAATGGTAAGTGTATAATGAGTGATTTAAGCAAATTTAAGTGATTTGATAATTTTCAAGTTACACATTGTCAGCTTTAAATATGCAGATTGCATTTACCATTTGAATGTTATTTTACATTATAGAAACATTTCATAAAATAAAATGTATTGTTTCAGGAAAGTGGTTAGCATGTCAGTCTATGGACAATAAAATTTGTGTTTTCAATGCTTTAAACAGAATGAAATTCATTAGAAAGAAAACATTTACAGGACATATGGTAGGGAACAATATAATTTATTCTCAAACGAATTAAATTATTCTTATACTGGTTGAACATTGGCCTATCTTATTCCTGTATATAACGAATGAGAACAATATTTTTTTTTAAGTTTTTAATTTTCATTGTTTAAAAATCTAAATTCTTAAACGTGATAAAATATATTTTTATATTAGGTTGCTGGGTATGCATGTGGGATAGACTTCTCACCTGAAATGAGGTAAATCTAAATGTCTTTATTCCCTTTTTATTTTCACAATAAATTTCCTGTTTGATACATTCTTGTTTAACTTGTAAAAAATCTTATTTCACTACAAAAAAATTATCATTGTTGTTGAAATTTTTGCTTCTAGCTACATAACATGTGGAGATGCAGATGGAAAAGTGTACATCTGGGACTGGAGAAGCACCAAATTATACTCCAAATTCAAGGCCCATGATGATGTTTGCATTAATGTTCTGTGGCACCCTCATGAGACCTCAAAACTTGCCACAGCAGGCTGGGATGGGGTTATTAAATATTGGGACTGAAACTTTTTTAAAAAACTGAGTTTTTTTTTTTAAAATAGACTTTTGTGTTGTTCTGTTATTATTTGAAAATGTACTTTGGAATCTTTTTTTCTAAAGAAGAGCTGTCTTGCTTATTACAAGTTAATGATACTTATCTTTAATTGCATTCATCCAGTTCAGGGCAACTAATATAAAAATGTAGATCAAATCAAGATCACACATTTTAAAACATGTTTGACTAGTCTTTTTATAACTAGTCTTAAAAAGCTATGCATTCTCTTAAAATAATGAAATATTTTGTGTTATGCTGCATGGCATACCAGTGTGCAGGAGTAAAGAAAAGTATTGACTGCCATTCATTTGTTCCTTGCATATAGGGTAATAAAGATCACCAAATAACCCACCAATCTAAATCAGCCAAATAAGTATCTTCAATACAAATATTAAGGCAGTATTGTTTCACGGCTCTGAGATCTCAAAGTTTACTGACAAATACTGACCGGCTATAGTAATTCACAAATATATGTTCATGATAGATCATTGAAATAAGATGGCCAGACAAAATGTCAAATAAAGACCTGTGGGAAAACTCAAAGGACATCAAACCCTGTGAATGGGGATGGATTTGTCATACCATTAGAAGGTAAGAAGATAATATTGCAACGAAAGCCATACACTGAATCCAGAGGGAAGGAGGAAAATCGGCTGCCCCTTAGAAATCCTGGAGAAAAACAAGAGGCAAAGGCTGCTGGACTCGTGTGGGTACAGTTAATGATAGTATTGAGAGCTACCCAAAACAGATTCTGGGGGCCACAAAGGAAAAAGTCAAAACTTGTTAAAAAAAAGTGCAAAAACAGAATTTTCAGTTTCAGCAAGATAATAAAGTACTGTTCAAGATGAAAACCATTAGGGTCACATAAACTGCAATAACTAGATCTATAGTCTATATTGTATAAACTTAGAACTTAAAGTAGTAGGTAGTTAAATTTCAATTTACTTCCCTTGGTTTTGAAGATTTCATATTTGATCCATCAAGTCAGCTGATAATTACACATAACATGTAGAAATCTAGAACTAATGTTGAAAATAAATGTCAGTATAATTTATGTACATTTTAAGAACTGAATGTTTAAAAGATTGATATTTAAATATGACAAACAACATTCTATACAAATACTCTTTGTGATATTTGAAAAAAGTTTATTACATTACAATATTAATTAAGCAAACTAAACATATCTTTTTGCCCTCTTTCTTTTCTTTGGATATGATTTATATGTAAGATATTTGTATTATTTTAATTGTATTTTAAACAGATGCATCAAAAACATTGCATTTTTACGGCAAAATAATTGCAAATTATGTGACCTTTCATTTTAAAGAAACAAAATTATGTTTTGAAGTTCTAAATAATTAAATTCAGTTAGATAATTAAGAAATGTAACATTAGATTGCTAGCAAGTTGTTTAGTAAAATAATGTGCTCTAATACATGTGGGTATGCCAGAACAATTGAACCAGGATAAAAATTTGTACTACAGTGTTAATGAAATCAAACATAAAGAAAATGGGCTTTCATAGCATATTGAGCAGAAAATTTATGGTCAATCTTACCAAAGGGTTTTAAACATTGTAAAAGGATTTAAACAAATGGATAATCTAAAAGCAATAAAATATGGTGAAAAGAAAAGAACTTCATAAGCACACATTGAGTGCTTGTTTGAAAAAAAGAGTTAAATATTACAATAATACAAAAATACTGATGTGTGAGTTTAAAAAATACATGCCACTATTTTTAACAGGAAGAAAAATATTCACTACAAATCTAAATTTCTAAATAAAGACTGGAATGTAATTATAGCTATGTGCAGATATGCACCAGAATGTTAAAATGTTTTACCTACTCAAAAAACAACTTGGGCATTTACTAAAAATTCACAAATTATGCCCATGCAATCAAAGTTATGGAATACCATCATGTGTTGAGTTATTAGTTTTTTTTCATAAAAACAAAAGAAATGAATTTTAAAAATACCTCATCTATGATACAGTTGGACTAGAAAAGCTGTACCAAAACTTGTTAAGTGATTTAAATCCAAAAATGAGTTTTTCCCATATTCATTTATATATCATGTAAAGTCAATAAATGTGATATGGATGACAAGTTTGGAAAATAGACCAAAAAATTGGACTTATACAAAGCTGTGCAAAAAACTGGAATATATGTGAAGTGTAGGTTAGAAGCTTGTATTAATAGTTACAGTTTATTGACAAATGAAAAACTTTATTATTATTGTAAAGCTACAGAAGAACCACTTAACAAGTTCTAGTGAACAACTCATCAATTTGAAAGCTGTGATAAATTGCATAATAAAAAGGTCTATGCAGAAAGCTGACATTCTATTACTTTTTAAAAATGGTGTATATATTTTAACTGATAGCTACTCAACTGAAATCTTTAATTTTTACTTAAAAATGGAATGTTTGACAAAAACTAGACAATATAAGTTGTTTTTGCATAGCTAATGAAATTTAGGTTTCATGAAAGCAATAATGTTAGTTAAAATCTAACAATGCAATCATTCTCCACTTACAACAGGGTCACTTATTTTTATTACAATCTATAAGACAATTGGTATATACCGTGCGGCGTCAATTCGGCCAATGACGAAACGGCCCCGTCAAAACGACCCCGACAAAACGACCCCGTCAAAACGACCCCGTCAAATCGGCCCCGTCAAAAGGGCCAGCGACATATGGACCCCGTCATATAGGCTCCCGACAAATAGGCTCCCGTCATTTAGACTACCGACAAATAGGCTCCCGTTATATAGGCTCCCGACAAAAGGGCTCCAGTCAATAAGGCTCCTGACAAATAGGCTCCCGTCATTTTGGCTCCCGACATATAGTCTCCCGTCATTTAGTTTTTTCCACAAAACGGCCCCCGTCATTACGACTCCCGACAAATAGGCTCCCGCCATTTAGTTTCTCCACAAAACGGCCCCCGTCATTACGACTCCCGACAAATAGGCTACCGTCATTTTGGCTCCCGACAAAAAGGCTCCTGTCAATTTGGCTCCAGACAAAAGGACCACTGACACAGTGGCGTAGCTACCGTAAAGCTAGCGTAAGCAAGGCATGGGGGCCCAAGGCACATAGGGGCCCTTTTCCCTCATAAAAAATTAAAACTTTTACAATGGAATTTTAATATTTGTTACATATAAATAATTTTAAAAAAGAAAAAGGTTAAAAGTTCCAAAAAGCCCCCCCCCCCCCCCCCCACCGTTTCGGCAGTGGGATTCAGTGTTTGTGGGTCAAACAGAGCCCAATCGTTATAATAACACTACAGGCTATATCACTTTGTCGTGCAAGACATTGAGAGAATCAGCCTATAAATAAACTTTTTAGCAGTAGTAGGCAAGCATAATAATATAGTATAAATACAAAATCAGGACATATAAAATACAAAATGTTGCCTTCAGAATATTTATATATTAAAAAATATCCATCGTAAGTAGAAGTTGATCTCTTCGTTTAACTCCTCTGTAGCCTAACGCAGAGGCGTAGCGAAGGCGAGGCGGGGGATGCGGACCGCAACGGGTGACACCATTTAGGGGGGGGGGGGTGACACCAAAGGCAAAAAATTGTAAAATTTATAGAATGAAATGCCATTTTCCAGATCCATTAGTTAAAGATAAATAGTCTTCTAAGTACAAATCGAAAATTATATCAAGAGGGGGGGGGGGGGGGGGGGGGGGTGACACCACGACGTAAACGTAAACTATAAAGAAAACAATGCTACATCCAACTGTATTATAAACAGACTGTAGATAAATATCGTTACTATTAAGTCAGCAGTGATTAAAGCTTAAACACGTACGTGTACCAGTATGTGGCATATATATAAATTTTAGGCCTATGTAGGCCGACACACACACACACATATATATATATATATATATATATATATATATATATATATATATATATATATATATATATATATATATATATATATATATATATATATACATATATATATATATATATATATATATATATGCTTTGTTTCCTGGGAGGGGGTGACAATACGAAGTGCCGCACCGGGTGAGACCCGACCTAGCGACGCCACTGGCCTAACGGCTGACGAAGGGGCCCACTGATAATTTTTGCATAGGGGCCCAAAAATCCTAGCTACGCCACTGCACTGACAATACCGTTTCTGTAGAGACTAAGTCTCCCGGTCATTGAATATGACACCTGCCAGTGGGACCCCTTCATCAATATTCTTTAGAGTTAGCTTATCCAACACTCTTATGTAATACAACGTATGCATCTCTTGTTCGGCAGGCCTTATTTTTATATTAGTTTATCTATTATAAAATATAGTATGTTTTAATTTAAGGATCATCTATCTATGACATCCATAATTGAGTCGGTTATAGGCTGTTCCAACTCATTGTGTGGGGAGAAGGGTCCACGCTGTACCTTCCTAACTGCAATATGCTTGTACAGGGGCGTAGCGAGGGGAGGGGCGGGGGGTGCGGACCGCACCGGGTGACACCATTTAGGGGGGTGACACAAAGGCAAAAAATAGCAAAATATATAGAGAAAAAGTTGAGGGGGTGGGGGTGCAAATCGAAAGTTTGGGGGGGGGGGGTGCAAATCGAAAACTTGAAAGTTTGTCCCCGGGAAGGGTCGCAACGCCTCTGGGGGGGGGGTGACACCATTAAGTGCCGCACCGGGTGACACCCGACCTCGCTACGCCACTGTGCTTGTAGGTTATCAAAACAAAATGCTGTTATCATGTTAACATCATGTATATCATACATTTACACTTCTGTGCTCGCTTTTAAGCAACAGATCTTTTCTGTTGTAAATTAAACATTATCAAAACTTTAGAATTGGTGGAATTTAGCTGTTAAGGGCTCGATTTGTTTGTGAATTAATGTTGGTTCATGAAAAAATAATTTCATTCGGGCATTAAAAAGAGGTTATGGTGGTATTGGAAGTAGGACACAATGGTTACTTTTATGCCAATAGTGGTCATATCATTCATTTTTCTGGAGCCAATATGTCGGGAGTCATTTTGTCAAAAGCCAATATGTCGGGAGCCCAATTGCCGGGAGCCAATATGTCGGGAGCCCATTTGTCGGTAGCCAAAATGTCGTGAGCCCATTTGCCGGGAGCCCATTTGTCTTGAGCCCTTATGTCGGGAGCCAATATGTCGGGAGCCGCTTTGTCGGGAGCCAAAATGTCCTGAGCCTATTTGTCAGGGGTTAATATGTCGGGAGTCCATTTGTCGGGAGCCTAAATGTCGGGAGCCCATTTGTCGGGAGCCTATATGTCGCAAGTCAATATGACGGGAGCCCATTTGACGGGAGCCAATAAGTCGGGGCCCTTTTGACGGGGCTATTTTGACGGGGTCGGTTTGTCGGGAGTCGATTTGACGGGGTCGTATTAACGGGGCCGTTTTGACGGGGCCGATTTGTCCCGGGCCGTTTTGACAGGGCACCGGTATATACACATTGCTTATAATTTAACAAAGAAATATATTCATCAAATTTCAAACATGTGTAAAAAGATAGATTGTTCTTAAAGTGATTATAAGAGAATTTCAATTGAATTAATAATTTTAATATGCTTTAAATAAACTTTTACAACCAGTTAATATTAATAGAGCGTTCGTATGTGTATTAGCAGTAGACAGACAATTAAACACACATTTTTAACATACTTCCGACTGCTGACCTATCTAAAAAAAAAGTAAAAATGTTTAAACATTTAAAAAATATTTTCTCTATTAAATTCTAGTTAAAAATGCAAAATTTCAATTTTCAATACAACAAACTTTGTAAGTATTTTAATAATATTTAGATTTTTCAAGTTACAATAGCGCTGGAAAATATAAATTTTACAGACACTTTAATTGATGGTAATTATCTTCCATTATGCTGCCAACAATAGCGATTCAATGAACACTACCAAAATTACCAGTAATATCATACACAAAAAGCACTTGCAAAATCCTTGAACTGACAACCTTAATATAATATCAGGGAAAAATGTTATTTATCTCTGACAAAGGTTAAAAAGGAGGGATGATTCCTGAACACAAGATGAAAAATAAGGAATGGAACATGAGCATAAGGAATAAAATGTCCTTGCATAATGTCAATCAGATGTAAATTGAAAAACACAGCTGCTTCGGGAAGCACTTTTATAACCTAGATAAATATCCAGCAAAACAGAATTACTAGGACTTATAATAAATAGCAAACTGTGTTGTCAACAAGTCATGAGGCAAAATGGTGCCACTCAAACTGTATATCTGGCCCCAAACTGTGCAAGTCACATGGATCAACTCTTTTGGATAAAGGGAAGGAAACTGTAACATTATTCCAGGTTTGAGGAAAGGCATATCTGTGTTTCTCTTTCGGTAGATAAATGATGGAAAACCTGTTTTAGGCGAGTAGAAAATTCGACCACCATATTCAGGTCCACTCAGGAGAAGTTTTTCATCATTTTTATCCTGACAAAAAAAAAAAAAAAATTAAATCAAGTTAAAACAATCAAAAATAAATATGAAAAATAATTAGTAATACTATAAAATAAGCTTCAATAAAATAACACTCATTATTTAAAGTATACATACTGTGCCTTTACAAGTAAATGGTATGTTCGATGGATCATTATGTTTCTTTATTTCATCATCTAATAAGTTCCACAAACGAGAATTACTGTCATTTATTAGCTGCATCGTCTGATCTTCTTTCTACAAATGTAAACAAAAACACTTTTTGTTTGAAAATATTTAACCCAATGATAGAAATCATAAAAACATTTGACATCAATCTTATTTAATGTTGACAAACATAAAAAAATACAGGATATAATCAAAAGTTGCATTGAGTACTGCAATAGAGGATGTGAATTACCATACAAAATATTTCTGAATTCATAAATGCCTATATAATTATAAAAAAAAAACTGCCTATATTCCGTGTTGATTGATTATAGGGAAAAAAGTAAAATAAAAATTACAAAGCTTAACCTACACATAATTAACTATTGTTTTATTTCAAGTGTAACTTTTGCAAAAAAAAATTTAGGTTACATTTTTAAAGGTTAAATTATATTTAGATTCCAGTTAAACTTGTCTAAGGGAAGTATGTAACTGGTTTGCAAGCAAACACAAAAAAGAAGAACAACATTTAAATAAACGAGCCGACCCGCTGCGTATCATACACCGCTATTTAGTTGTTTTTTTTCTACTTTTCAATAATTTATAATTTGTGAATTCGACAGTACCAATGCTGCCACTGAAAATATTTGCTTAAAAACACTAAACCCCCCTCCCCCCCCACGTGAAAGCAGCCTCCTCTTAGTTACCTCCTCTAAGTTTATAATCGTTTCAAACTAAATTATCTGCCCCTAATAGCCGTCACCAAACCCGTCTCTATGATTGTAAAATGTAAACAGCGTGACCACAGCTCACCAGACAATGTGGGGGTGGGGTGGGGGTGGTAGTGATAGTGATAGAGAGAAAGAGAGGGGACTGCAAGGAGGCGCTTGCAGCTTGTTTTCTAACGGCTCCCAGAAGAGAATTATATATATAGATTATTTTTAAAAAGCCATAAAAATCAACATTTAAATAGAATTTCCTTTGTGTGTAAAGCTAACTATCACTTAAAATGCTTTTTTTTTCTATCATTGATTTACAATATAAGTGCAGCATAAGAGGTTTGAAATATTTCAGAGAAAATTTGTGTCAAATCAACACACACCAAACTCAGAAAAATGATATGTTAAAATATAACCATACCAAGTTCAGTTCGATAAAGACACATGGCTGCCCAGAGCCATAACCATAGTTATTTGTTGCAACACACCAGTCACCAAAACTATTTTTGGTATACTTGCAAGTTTTATTATAAGGAGCATTGGTGTAACTGCAATCTGCATAAGTGTCATCCAGCTGTAGGGCTGAGTTGTAGACTGAAAAGTACATTAGGAAAATCTTATGATTAAAAATGTGTGATATGAATCAGCAGGTTAAGCTGCAAATTTGATTCAATCATGCAGTACAGAAATGTTTTAAAATGTAATGAAATAATACCTTAACAGCTAATAAACCATTTATTTTTTATGTATTTTTATAAAAAAAAAAACTACTTTTTATGATTTATTCCTCTCAGTTTTTAAAGGTATAGCACAGATTAAGTTAAATTAAAACTCTTCCTTTGACAAAAATTGGAAGAAAAATAAAGTTCATTTAATCTGTCCCAAACCTTTTTTAAATATAAATTCATGAACCAAAATGGTATTATTTTATACCTGCTGTGACATTGTTCAATGATGCTTTGATTGAGGGAATTTCTGATTTTTTAAAGTCATCAGCAACAAATGATATGAGAACAGTGCCATCTTGAGGTTTTGGGTAAAAAACTAAAGCTGCAAAGAGTGAGAAAAAAAAAATCACAAGTCAAAATGAGGAATAGCTATATTTATTATTACTAAAGATTTTATGGAGTAATTGTAATTAGAAAAAAATTATTTTTGCATTGGCTGCAACATTTTTAAAATTTGAATTGTTTGTCCACACAGGTATGGGAAATTAAGCAGAGCATTTTTATAATACCCACAGACATTCTCGTTTAATTGTTAATTACACTGCTAGTAATAAATGATTTTAAAAAGAATGCTAAACTATTAGGATTAAATAAAATATACCGCTTTTATCTGTCCATTTTGCAAAAGCCTCTTTGTTAACTTCAACACCATGGTCATTGGAGGCAACAGCAATAATTATTGAAATTAAAATAATCACACACACTGTAGCAATACTAGCAATCAGACATTTTGGGTGATGTCGTATTTCACTGCAGAAACGCTTTAACCTGTTGACAATAGAAAATTGGCTGTGTTTTTTTTTAATGTCACATATTAAATCCCTTCCCCCATTTAGTGTTTCAGCTGATTTTCATCATTAGCTTGAAAAGTATGAACTGAATTTTGATGCTAGTAATTTAGTATGCAGACCTATTTCTCCATGTTTAACAGGTCTCCCTTATATTTTTAAGCTATATCAGCAACCCATAAAATTGTAGGTTAGTGTCCAGGGATCCATGTTGTGTTTGATATAAACTATAATAACTATGTACTTTATTTTCTAAATTTTCTTGCTCACGTACTTCTAGTCAAACATAAAGTTACTATATGCAGCAACTTTTTAAGTTCATAAGATAAAAACCACTGGATTAATAAGATGTAACTACACTCTAGCTTATGGGACAGCATGACAAAGCAGTAGAGTGCTAAGCTGTTAACCCAAAAGTCTCGAGTTTGAATCCCTGTTCAAGTCAGTACAACGTCCCTGAGTCCACCCAGCTCTGATGGGTACATAACTCACATTAGGGAAAGTAAAGGCGGCTAGGAGTCTAGACTCCAGCTTGTATAATTATATAACAACTATGGACTAAACTATAGAAAAAATACCTTGAAACCCCTGTATAAGTCTTGTATCTCAAGGGTGGCAGGGACAATCCCCAGTCATCATCAGCAAGGTAGGACGAGTCTGTGGTTGTAATTGGATCATACGGGTTTGCCGACATGATTATCTTCAGGAGAATAGAATTAGTTATTTATAATTATACCCCTTTGAGCTTGCACAATATTTAAAATTACCTAAACTTTTATTCAGTATCCAAATCCAAATAAAAACAACTACATCACATTTCATTACAAAAATACAATTTACTAAATATGCATAACTATCTACTATCTAGATCTAGTAGTCTTACACCAAAATTAAATTATTAGTAAACATGTTTGTATGCCAGGAGTAGCCAAGTCATTAGTAACATTAAGTGACAACATCTGTCATAACTTGATTAACTTGATGAGTGAATTTTCAGATTGTCCCCACCACCTTATTATAAATAAGTCCTATTAATTACTAATTAGGCCTATAGGCTATAGGTCTAGAATAGTCTAGATTACTCTAGATGCTTTCTAGATTTAGATCTAGATCTCTTTACTAGTACTACTAGATCTAGTACTAGTCTCTCTAGTATAGGTTGTAGCATGAGATTAGATTACTAAAGAGTTTTAATTTATAGGCGGCCTAAGCAATTTTTAATTTTTAACATTAGGCCTAGGCCTAGATCTAAATAAAATTAACATATTATTTTATATTTGCTAGATTTAGATCTAGCAAGGAATCTAGAATTAAAGATCGCCCATTTTTGTTGCAACTTTACATTTAGATTGGTACAGTTCCCGAAGTGTCACTTCATTAAAGAAAACAAATGGTTTGGCCTACAGAATTCTTGAACTAACGCGCAGTGATAATAAGGTAAATAATAGTTTCAAGAGTTTCCGGAATGACTCATCTCACATTTGTACAGGTATAAAATTTCAAGGGAATTAACTGGGAATTAAATGTGTGAACGCATCTTGTAATTTTGTTAACACAATTCTTATCTCCCCTATTGGTTTTACGTTTATCCAAACATTGTCCAAAACGATTTTAAGAAAGTATAATTGTGGTTTTATGACCCTAAGCCATTATACTAGAGCAACCCATCTAACTAAATCTATGAGAGAAAACTTCAAAATCGAAAACTGCTGCCGTGGACAATGGTCATAGAAGCAAACAAATCCCAAAAAAATAATAAAAAAAAGAATAAAAAGTAGGCTGAAGTCAGAGTCAACATGCCATGTTGTGTAGGAGTAAATTCCATCCAATATTGTATTTATAATAATAAATGGGGATTTTAAGTTCAATGACAGTCTGTTAACATAATTAACTGTTAATATGCCACTCAGAGCCCCATTTTACTTTTCTTTTTATTGAAGATTGACCTCACATTTGTAGGCCAGGAGATATAGAACATCTTTTGAAGGCAGTTTTCTGGATTTTTATTGTGTTCTTACTCAATAGTCAAATGTTTATCTAAATTGTCACGAACAGCTAAGTGGAAGCCCAGATGCTTATCTTTAAGGACGTCAAATATGTTGTTAGTTGGCTGAGTGACAAGGGTCGTCATTAATAACGTCACGCTATTCTCCCTTCTGTTACTCTTCATCGTGACACACCATCACAAAAATGACACCTTTAAAATGTCATAATTCAGCCTACTTCCCCCAAAAATTGCAATTTTTATTTTTTGAAACAGGAATTTCTCCTGTTTGAAAAGGGAACTTTACTTTACCTACATATTTACTTCAGTTAATTTAAGTTTGCAAGTATCTTAACCATTTTTGTAAGATCAAAGATAAGAACAGTATAATACTGTAATGTTAAGTTTCTAAACATTCAACTGGATCCTCAATATACTGAATATATGATTATTTATAGTAGTGGCTCTCAATAAAATTAATAAAAATAATGTAAAAAACACATCAAATGATTGATCTGTTAATTCTATATGAAGTAAAGAAATAGTTTCATACATATATACTGGGCAGCACATTTTTGTCTTTAATTATCTTAATAAAGGAATTAAAAAAACAATGATTTCACTCAAAAACATACAAAAACACTTTTTAAAATTAAATTATCATTAAGAAATGATTTTTATTTAAATATAAACTAGCCAGATTGACCATAACATGAAGTGAATGCAGAAAATTTATGCAGTTCTTCTTTGGATACTGTTGGTCTGTGGATCTTTAATGAAGTAAGAAAATCTTCCAAGTTTACATCTCTTGGGCATACCTTTAAACAAAACATACAAGTAATTTTAAAAAATTTGGATGATTAATTTGCAAAATATAAGTGATTAATGAAAAAAAAAATGATTGCCTTGTTTGGGGGTAGATCTATCATTTTTGCTTTCACAGCCAGTTTGGTGTGGACCTCACAGGGAATCCAATGTCCATCTTAAAATCAAATGCAATCAATAATTGAAATTAAAGATATTACATAAAAATGCATTATAATTCTAGGGATGATAAGAAACTGTAGGTTTTCTATTATAAACATTAAGTTTTAACACTGTTGATTTAAGTGGCTTAGATCATAAGTTAGTATCATGTGACACAATAAAAGTACAACAAAATATTCTAACCAACATGACCTTATTTATGTTACATAATTCTAATGAATAGTATAAAGAGAATAATTCAAAATAACATCAAAACAAACATCTACTGCCATACCTTTAGTTTGCTGCCAATAATTTGCTGTTTGTAGATCTCGGATAGGCTGGAAAAGTGCCCCATTGGTAAGTGTTGATAAATCACTCCCTGAGTATCCATCTGTTTGTGTAGCAAGTTGCGCCCAGTCAGAGTCAGACAAATTTACATTATTTCCTTTACAGTGGAGTTTCATCAAATGAATGCGAGACGAACTGTTACATAAAAAGAATGCACAGATGATAATTGATTAATATTGATTGAAATTTATTTTCCCTAGGATTAAAAAAAATAATATATTCATTTCCACTGTGTTACAATAATCATATTCACCTACTTGATATAAATTAATGGTCAGTTACTAAGATGAAAACAGCTGATTTCAAGTTTAAAGGTGTTAATTTGAAGTAATTTTGATTGTTTATTTTTATGTCAGCAGTATGGGGAAGGGAGGAACTGTGTCATAAAATCAACCATATCAATTTAAAGTTGATATAACAGAAGACATACAAGCATAGAAAAATCTCCTAAACTGGATTGAGATGTTGAAATTCCTTTCGCTAATGGAATTAGTATAGCAAATTTCAATACTAACTTGGTTTTATTAGAACATTTAAGAAACTAGTGTTTGTTGGATCTATTTTTAATTTTCAAAAAATTGTAATTATAAGACTATTAGCATTACAAGCCTAGTAAAACTTTAATCTCTAATATGATCATATTACTTAAACATTTTTCCTCATAGTATCAATACTTACACATCTGGAAGTGGAATGTATATTCTTTTCTGAAAGCGTCTCAAAAAGGCAGTATCTAAATCCCATGGACAATTAGTTGCACATAACAAGAAAATCTTATCTTGCTGGCATCTGTCTGCACCATCCATTTGTATAAGTAGTTCTGTTTTTATTCTTCTTGTACCTTCATCTTCTTGAGAGCGCCGATGACGACACAAGCTGTCTATTTCATCGATAAATATAACCTTCAATTTTGAAAAAAATACATTAGTAACGATTATATCAATAGCAAAAAACAGTTGTTTTTTTTGTTAGCAAATAAGAAATAGTGTAGAAATCATACAAATGTATCATTAAAATAATATGGGTTTTAACCTTTCAATTTATACCTACTAGTATTTTGACAAATTATCTAAAATAGAAAAAAAAACAGCACTAAAATTAAATAGAAATAAAATAAAGTGGATTTTGCCTACTGATTGTCTAGGTTGATTGCTTGCATGATGAAACAATTCTTTAATTAACCTGTAAAGATTGAACCTTACTTAAGCTACAGTTAATCAATATTTTAAAAGCTATGTTAAAAAAAATAAAAGTTCATATAATTTTTAAAAATATTTTTTTAACTTGTATGTTATAGTAATTATGGTATGTAAAATGGAAAAGGAAAGTACCCTACTTTTCACTTTCTCCAACCCAACTTGACATAAGATCAGAACTGGAAACAAAGTAAAATGTGGCTTTAACTTCAGTAGAAACAGCTTGTGCTAGACGTGTTTTACCAGTTCCAGGTGGCCCAAAAAGCAATATTCTTTTCCAAGGTTTTCTTCCACCTGGTAAACCACTATAAATATTTATTAATTTGACCAATTAATGTTTTACAACATTACTTGTTACATATTAAATAGCTTAATTAATGTCTTTATTTTAATTACTAAAAGAGGACCATCTTAACAGTAGGGTCTATCTATAGTATAGTAATAAGTAATCTGTCAAAGACAATTGCATTTTATTTACATTGCTAATTATTTCCTCACCAGAAAACAGATGGGGATATATTAAAGGCATGATGACTGCATCTTGTAGTGAGCATTTTGCTTCTTCAAGACCAATTACATCATCAAAACCAACTTTCCCTGCATTTGAAATGGTTGATTCTATAACATTCTGACGGTGTTTTGATTGTTGGTCATCAAAGTCCTTATCATGCTTTTGATTTAAATCTGAAAAAAAAATTAATAAAACCAGTTTTTACAAAAAATCATTAAATCATGCAGAGTTTATAAATTTTTAAGAATAGGCAAAAAATATTACCTTGATTAGCTCCATTCTGTAAGCTTTGAATACATCCTGTTTTAGTATCCTGTGATTTTAGAACACTGTGGCACACTTCATTTAGTTGAAATATTTTTTTATTTAAGATATTTATCTGTGCTGTCAAACTAGTTAATAGGCTGGATAATGCAGTCTGGAAACACAAATTTACAAGTCAACAAAATAGAGAATAATAAACAACTCTGGAGATTATGAAAGTTAATAATAATGGAATTGGTAATGAACTTACAGAATAAAATGAGTCCTTTTCAATCAACAGAAGCTGTTTTACAATGGCTTCACATCTCTGTATATTAGATAACATCAGATGAATGTCAACATTACTAGCTTTACCTCCCTCACTAAGTGTTTGCTGCAAACTAATAAAATGTGAACAAACTTAAAAAATAGTATGTGAATCATCAATCCTGAAGCTCAATACACAACTCAGTAAATTAAAATTAAACAGTCAAAAAGCTCTTAATATTATTAATTAAGCTTGTTTTTATTTTTTATTAAGCTAGATCTACAATGAAGGAAATAAGTTATAACTGATCTTATGCTTACCATGCAATTGCATCTGTAGAAAGGAGAAAAGTAATCTATAATTTAAAAATGCAATAAAATTAAGTAAAAAATAAAAGAAATTATAGATCCCTATTTTAAAATATACTGAACTATTAATTCATAATTGAAGTAACTTTATTACTAGCCACATAATATATAATATGATGAATAAGGGTATTCATATGCCAACATATGAACATATGCAGGAGGCTGAGTACTCATGAGTACTGTAGGTACTTTAGTACTAAGTAGGTTAAGTAGTAATTAAGTACTTTAGTAATAAGTAGGGTATCTTAGTCTTTGTTCACTTGTTGTATTAAATTTACAATTTTTGAAATTTTGATGTAGATCTAGATCTATCTACTTACCCCCCCCCCCCCCCAATCTATCTATAACTCTATGAGTGACTATGATCTATATTAATTAATAATTATTAATCATTAATCTATTCTATAACTATAACTAATAAAAACTATTATGCAGTGTGAGTAAAAGGAAAAGCCTACTACACAACTATGATTTACTAAACTTTACTTTTGTATTAACTTAGAATCATTAGATCTAATAAAAGTAGGCTTAAATACTAAATAAATAATAATAAATATTATTACTTTACTAATTCAGTAATTATGTGGATTAGACTTTAGATCTAGATCTAGATTCTAGATCTAGATTTTAAAATTCAGCAGTGAAGTTGAGTGCGTCAACGCCCTCTGGATCTAGTACTTGATTTCTAGTACTACAGTACTAGTACAGTACTGTAACAACAGTAAGTCCAGTCAGGCAGTAACACAGTAACAGTACAGTACAGTTCACCAGTTCAGTACACTACCTGTTGTGGCGATCATTCAGTTAGTAAAATCTAGATCTAGTTAAATCTACCCTTATAGATTCTATAAGTTATAGAATCTTTAAAATATAGATAGAATTCTAGATCTACATTGTGAATGTATAATTTCCACTTGGAATTTAAAATAAGTATTTCTGCTATAGATCGAGATCTAGATCTAGTCTAGATTCTATATTTTAATAGAGAAAGAATTGATAAACAACTAACCCGTGTATTTTCCAAGATCGCAGATTTCCATCATTTATCGTCTGCTATCAAGTTCGATAAATCTAAAATTATTTTTATGAGTTATAACCCCTAGGAAGTCATATTTTTAAAACGTAGGAAATGGTACTAGAAATTTAATAATGAAATAAGCCACAACTTCTTTCACATTTCTTCCAATTTTTCCACTATCATAATTTGAAATAATAAAAAAATAAAATAAACAAGCCACACATCCTCCCTTATCGACTCGTCTATCTAAAAAAAATATTGAAACATGAGGTCTCAAAATGTGTGAGTGTGAAGCAGGGGCGGAACTACAGTGCCGCCAGACCCCGCAATGCGGGGGGGCCCACGACGTTTAGGGGCCCAATTCCGACAAAAAAAAACCAATGAATTTTCTTTTCATAAATAATATTTAGCAGTGATTGTTCTACAGTAACAAACACACACTGTTGCGCAGAAAAATATAAAATCTAAAAGAGCTGTAGTTTGAAAGATAGGCAAACGTTCAAACTACTTCCATGACTTACTGCCCTTCATTAAAATAGGGGTGCCCATAAAGCTCATTTAAATTGTTTTGTACTATGTAAGTTTAAAAGCAATTTCTTCTCTTAATTATTATTTAAATAAAGCATACTAAAGAATCCTTAAGCTATAAAAATGAATGTATTCAAAACTAATAATATAAATACAAAAAATTATAAAAATAAACATAACGCGAGAAACCACTGCACAAATCAGCTTACGTGTTTATATTAATTTGACCAGCCTGGAAAAATTACAACTATTTGTCATTTTGCGATAACATAAAAATGTAATAAAAACACTTGTAAATAAAATACTTAAAAAAAAACTTTTTAAAAAACCACGTTTTTCTTGTGGACTAAAAAGTAGAAAATAACTATTTACATACATTTGATGACAAAAAACGTGGGTACGTTCACCATCAAATTTCCCGACCCATCTGCCCGACCCACGTTTTTTGTCATCAAATGTATGTAAATAGTTATTTTCTACTTTTTAGTCCACAAGAAAAACGTGGTTTTTTAAAAAGTTTTTTTTTTAAAGTATTTTATTTTCTCCTTTTTAGTCCGTTGCTACACATGAAAAACGTGGTTTTTAAAAAAGTGTTTATAAATACACGGACTAAAAATCTTGAGCGACCAGGATTCGAACCTGGGTTGTCGCGGCCACAACGCGAAGTACTAACCACTATACGATCACGGCCAGCGCGCTCACATCGATTTGGGCCGAAGTAACTGTGTCAATAGGCCTCAAGTCTTGTCGGTATCTTTAGAAATCATGTCCTCAATTTTATGGTCCTTGGGGCGTAATTAAATTAAGCTAATTACGGTCACTAATTGCTAGTTTTTATGATTGCATCTGAAATTGTTAGGCGAAAGTAGCATGCATGCCAAATTTCAGGTCTCTAGAGCAATCAGAAGTGGGCTAATTTTTGATGTCAATTTTAACAACAAACATGCAAACAAACAAACAAACGCGAAGCTGAGTTAAGAAAAACGTTTTAATTTTAAAAACGTTTTAATAAAAACGTGTTAAAAAGGGATTATTTCGGGCCCCGAAATGAGTTCGGACTTATTTTTGTCTGGTTCGTTATCTCAGAGTGGTTATACATTGAAATGAAATAGATTAAAATACTCAGGTAATAGACAATTTAAAATTTAGAGAAGCACGCTACTTATATATATATATATATATATATATATATATATATATATATATATATATATATATATATATATATATATAATACATACATATATATATATATATATATATATATATATATATATATATATATATATATATATATATATATATATATATATATATATATATATATATATATATATATATATATATATATATATATATATATATATATATATATATATATATACATATAGGGGGGCCCAAAAAAATTTTTTGCGGGGGAGCCTTTTTTTTCTAGTTCCGCCACTGGTGTGAAGTAAGAAGTTGTCTGCGGTTGCAGTGTTTTCTGTACTTTAACTTTAGGCCGGAGTCAAGGGCAGAGGCGTAGCGACCCTTCCCGGCGCCCGGGGACAAACGTTTCGATTTGCACCCCCCTCAAGATTTTGATTTGCACCCTCCTCAAACTTTCGATGTGCACCCCCCCCCTCAAGATTTCGATTTGCACCCCCCCCCCTCAAGATTTTGAATTGCACCCCCCCCCCTCAAACTTTCAATTTGCACCCCCCTCAACCTTTCAATTTATTTTTTCAACCCATTTTGTCGCCCCCTAAGGTCGGCGCCCGGGGACATATGTCCCCCCGCCCCCCCCCCCCCCCTCGCTACGCTACTGGTCAAGGGGGAAAGAAACTCTGGTCGTCCCTTGTCAAGGGGGTCGTCCATAAATGACGTCACACTCGTAGGGGGGAGGGGGGTCCGTAATTTTGTGACGATGTGTGATGAGGGGGACGGGGGGAGGTTCAGATGGTGTGACGTCACTTTTTTGCATTATTAAAAAGCAATGTTAGAAGACGAGTTTTAGTCGTTATTTCGCGTTTTAGAAAACTGTTTCAATAAATTGTAATAGGAATTGATCAAAATACTCTATGTTGACAGAATTCTGACGAGATTTTGGAAAAATACCAATGTTTTAAGAAAAATTCAACTGCAATTTTGAGGGGGGGGGGGCATAGGCTGAGGTGTGACGTCATTTTAGGGGGGTGTCTGGCTTTTTGTGACGACGTGTGACGGAGGGGAGGGGGGTAAAAATCGTCCGAAAAAGCGTGACGTCATTTATGGATGACCCCCCATCAGAAAATACTATAAAACAGTGTAGGCTACATACTAGGACCAAACGAATTTTAGAAGTCGACACTAGCGCTTTGATAGGCTAAACAACTTATTTTTATTATTTAATAGATGCTCGTTATAGCCTACGATACATTTTAAATAATTTTTATTAGAACACAATTTTTCTCAAGTTCCTTGGCATACTTTCATTAAGACGTCAATAATACAATCAACACCTCTACATGCCCACTTTCGTCACCGCTTCTGATCCAACTTGCAGCAGATAAAAGTTTTTTTCTTTTTTAATTTTCTTATCTTCCGACTTGATTTGAGATATAAGCTGGTAAGAGGAGTTTTTTTTTTTTCTTCTCCAAACTTCGACGCATGTTTTATGTAGACATAATATATTGGTAGATTATGGTCTACAGTTTATAAGTTCAATACTTTAACTAAAACAGTTTTTTTTTTGTCGTGGTTTATTTTTATTTTTTTTTACAGCTTTTGAAAATTTTTTAGGCTAATAGGCAATATCGTTTTGTTTGGCCTATAGTATATGGCCGTAACCAAATATATATTTAATAAAGGCGTTTGATTGTTTAAAATAAGGATGTTATTTTGGGGATTATTGCTTTTTAAATTTTAAAGCTTTTAAAATAATGTTTTTTAATATTAACTTTTGGATGTATTGCTTACAGATTGCATCTAGAAAAAATGAGGTCGTTACTTCTTGCTCTGATTGTATTCTCTACATTGGTACTGCTCGCTCAGGCCAACTCTTTACCGTGGAAAATATTTTGGCGAAGAGATCCGCCCTGCACCGTAAGTTGAATGTTTGATTTCATTTTGTCAGCTAATATTCATTTAAGACAACCGTCACGGAAAGCTTAACATGATTTAGGGGGGTCATCCATAAATGACGTCACGCTTTTTTTGGACGTTTTTTACGCCCCCCCTCCCCTCCGTCACACGTTGTCACAAAAAGCCAGACCCCCCCCCTAAAATGACGTGACACCTCAGCCTACAACCTCTATCAAAATTGCAGTTGAATTTTTTTTAAACATCGATATTTTTCTAAAATCTTGTCTGAACTCTGTCGAAATAGAGTATTTTAATCAATTCCTATTACAATTTATTAAAACAGTTTTCTAAAACGCGATATCACGTCTAGACAAAATATCAAACAAAGACCTGTGGCAAATTTTAAAGCAACAGCCAATAGAGAAAGATATTAAGGCCCGAAAATGGGGATGGATCGGACACACGTTAAGAAAAGAAAAAGAAAACATCGCAAAACATGCTTTGGACTGGAATCCCCAGGGGAAAAGGAGGGTGGGCCGGCCAAGAAAACATGGAAGAGAACGGTTGAGGAAGAAGCAAAAACAGCTGGGCTCTCATGGGCACAGATTAGAGGAGCAACCCAAAACCGAGTCCGCTGGAGAAGTGTGGTTGCAGCCCTTTGCTCCCCAGGGGCCATAAAGGAGTGATGATGATGATGATGATATCACGTCTAAAATTCGTTTTCTAACATTGCTTTTGTATAATGCAAAAGTGTGACGTCGCACCATCTGAACCCCCCTCCTCCCCCACCGTTACAAAATTACGAACACCCCCCCCCCCACGAGTGTGACGTCATTTATGGATGACCCCTAAGATCAGAGTTTCTTCCAGGCATCTCTTCGGTGTGGGGGGGGGGTGCTCCGTTCCCGAAGAAAGTCTACCCCCCCCCCCCGAACGAAATGGAATTTATATAGAAAATATATACTTTTAACATTGTCCGCCCTCGGAAATTTTAGTCCACACCCCCCCCCCCCCAAGAAAAAAGTCTGGAAGAAACACTGAATAAGATTGAATTAAAACTAAAGAAGTAACAATCACTCTTTTAGAACATATAATGAAGAATTTTGTATTAATTTATGTCTAACTTGTCAAATCGTGCGAAGTGATAACCAATTAATTCTTTACAAGGCTGACTAAGAATGAATTTTTTTTTAAACCGTGTCAAAATACTGTTGCATTCCTCAGGTGTGGTGGCCGTGTGCTGAAGGTGAGGTGTGGGAGTGCTGCCCTAATCAATATGAATGTAAGTGACCCCCTCCTCTGTACTTTATTATCTTTAAAGTTTAAACACATATGCACACATTTTCAAATATAAAATCAGTCAGTTGTTTCGATATGTCATCTTCTGAGTAATTTGCAATGCAATACTTTATGATAATATTAATATTTTCATCATTATTTGAGATTAGAAAGCATGTGTTGGGTAAAAAGTAAAGATTCATCTTTGACCCAGCGATCCATTTGGCAAATGAAGTAAAGTTCACGTTTCTTGACCTAGACATGTGAAGGGATAGTGTAGTCAGCAATATGCCCAGCCGCTTTTACTTTCCCTATCGCGAGTTTTGTACCCATCAGAGCTGGATGGACTCAGGGACGTTTTACTCACTTGAACTCCGATTGACTATCAAAAGCCACAGAATCTTAAAAGCAGCATTTTAAAAGAAATTGAACTAGTTATTAGAAATTTTTGAATTAATGAGTTGTTAAAATATATTTAATGTAGGCTTTAGGGGGTTTAAGCTAGTACATTGTTTTAATGAACACTAATTTAATGTGTATATGTTCCACCTATTAATATATGCCGTTAAAAATATTCGTTAAAATTAATTAGTTAACCTGTACTTAATTAAACATTTTTTCACAGATCCATTTTTCGGTAAATAAATGGTCCTCCCGAGCTTTATTCGCCTAATAAATTACACTTAATACATCACTTTGCTTTTTTTCTTTTTAAATTGTAATCTCTGCTATGGGTTGACTCTGGTTTCATGTTGTTTGACCTACTTTAGTGTGTGGTGTTAAGACTATTTCGAGTTTAGGTAGGCGCTATAGTCAATATAGTAGGTTAAAAATCAGCGATACTTACTGAATCAACTCTAATAAATATAGATCTAGAACTGTTTTGAGCTGAGAGAGCTACTTGCAGTTTCTACCAATAGTTTAATTCTACAACCACGTTCGATTTACTTTGCACATCAGCTAACATTCTAAATAAAATGTGTAAAGCATTAAAGGAAGAGAGGAAAGAAGATTTTCAATTCATTAGAGAAAACAAACCTAAAATGGTAGCCTAACTTGATTACAATATTCCAGCCTAGATTTCAGCCAATACAAAACAAGTGTACAAGAACTAACATGTTTTTTTACCAGATGCTACTATTCACATAGAAGATAATACGCTTGTTGTACTATGAAACATGTATGATATTTAGACAGTTAACATTTATATTAGAGGGCAATGCCCCAGTGGGTGGAGTAGTTGAAGATAAAAAAAAAGAGCCAGGAGGCTGCCCGGTTTCTTTCAATACAACATCATTGATTCAATACTTTTTTCAGTTTTACATTGAAGCTTATGTGTAAGTGTGCTTTGCGGGGAGTTGAAAGTATACTTCTAAATAAATGTTCCTAAATAACACATTAATTAATGTACACCATGTGGCGATTCATTAAAACTATGAAATAGTTGAGAATAATACACACATAACAGTTTATTATCGTTTAATCATAACAATAAATTAACAGCAAAAGGCAAAATATTCTAATGGCAAAAACAGATTTCGAACATTTAAATACGACAATAACATAATATCCTCAAAGATTACTTTTACTTGTATAATTGACTGGACGATAAAAGAATCCATTGACTAAGCCTAAGGGATCACCGCTGCAATTGCGTTGTATGGGCAGCTGTTTGATTGGGCACTGTTTCGTGTTGGCAGCTGTTTCATATTAGTAACTATTTGACTTGGCACTTTTGACTTGACATTGGTGTTTGTGGACAGTTATTTGATTGGGTACTGATGTTTGTGGCTTGTGGACAGTTGTTTGATTGGGTACTGATGTTTGTGGACATTTGTTTGATTGGGTACTGATGTTTGTGGACAGCTGGCAGGTTGTATTTTGCCGGATGGGAATATCTTCAAGCCGCACCTATTCATGAATGAACAATCATATCATTTTCTATGAAATCATGCATGTTTAACGAAAACTTCATTATACGTTATTTAAGTACATTTCCCCCACCTTGTTTCATTCGGTGGTAACCAACAACAGACACATTAATACCTAAAACCTGTTACGTGGATCTGCGTGTGCTTCTCTCAACGTCAATGCTCCCAAGTAAAGTTTCGGTATTTGGACGAACCTGAAGTAAATGACTGTAGCAGCCAACACTAGCACATCCACACGATATAGGTCGGGGTAACCCCGATGGTCGGGTGTGTGACGGCGTGACAGCAGTACCTTGTGACGTAAACGGATGTGACGTGACCCTAGCTTGCTGGGGTAAGGCGTGCTGGTCCAGTCGTGTACACGCTGATGAAAGAGGCGTCAGGTGACCCGGATGTCGATGTAGATGTGGGATGGCATTTGATAATGCCGTGAAGCTGGCACTTGATGAAGGAGGAATATACTGTGGTAAAAGAGTCAATGGAGACTGTTGGCTTGGGGCGTAAGGAGTTTGCTGAGCATAAGGGTAGGGTAAATGGTAGGATGCGACGCTTGACTTACGGATATCTTCAAGCAAACGACGCATCTCTTCCATAGATTTGTTTAACATCTGGATGTAGTTCTTTGCTAAAGTCAAAGTTGCGATTTTACTCAGTTTTCTTACGGAGGGACCCACTGCATAAGGCATGACTTCCCTTAGGGCGTCCATCGCTGAGTTGAGATCGTGCATGCGTTTACGTTCTCTGCTGTTGATCTTAGACCGGATGTCACGAATATTGTCACGTGATGATAGTTTGGTGTATTGGTTGTTTGGTATTTCATGGGGTCTATTCCTGTCGTAACTTGACGTCGAGTTAGTCGTTGAGCAGGTGACCCCAGGACTAAAGAAACGTCCTCCTTGGTTGTGTACGTCCGGGAATGACGTCGTTTCGTCATCAGTGACATCGATATTGTCGCTGTCCGTTGTAAAAGGCGAGGTGGGCGATGTCGGTCCATTTGGTTGAGGAAGTCGACTCATGGGTGACGTGATGTTGTTGTTGAACGAAGATATTTACCTGTAACGACGCAAAGAAAATTACACTATAGTACAATGGATTGCAAAATCTGAAAAAAATGTATGAATATAATGGTAGGCTATGCAACCGGCATTCCGAGAGATGAGTGAATAGGATACCTGTATTTCTGGATTAAAAAAAAAAAACAACTTCCAATTCCACATCCACCCCCTCGCCTTGTGACCTTCTTGGAAAAAAAAAATGATCGTGTAACCCATGATCGTTGAATCACTAGAAAGTTTTCACATATTTTACCGGCGAAGGTGCCCGGCAGGACGAAGAAGAACCAACTCCCCCCCCCCCCCCGCTTCTTTATCTTTTAGTGAGAGGTCTCGGCACGGTTATCAGAGTCCCACGGCCTCGACATGGCATCACCTACAGTTGCTGTGGGACCTACACCATATAGGTAAGCGAAATCCCCACTAGGGGAGTAATGCGGGCAGGGATTAGAAGCAGGACATTTTTAGTAAAGAACAAAATAATTCGGGACATTTTTAGTTAGGAACAAAATTATTCGGGACATTATTAGCTGAGAACAAAATAATTCGGGACATTTTTAGTTAGGAACAAAATTATTTAAAATGTAAATGACCATAAATTTAAGTTAAATAGAACTTTCGCCATTCGGACACGGCTTGCTGAAAGAAAATTTAACTCAGTAAAACATGGGAGTACGATGGAATGGTGTCTGAATGGGTTGAAAGCTCGATATCTAGCGAGCAGTCATATGAGCCTGTGTGTAACTGCTTGCTGGAGCCCCAACTGCTTTCATAAGACCTAAAAGTCAACACTCCGATGGTTATGATGTCACTAGAGAGTCGTCAAGTTATCGAATCACATTAATTAAAAAGATGCAATCAGAATTCATTATGAGTAAATCGGTTTATGCAATAGAAGCGTACATTTTTAGACAAAATCAGACATCCCGGCAAAGATATTGTAGTTTAAGGATTGTTGCTTCCTAACTCTGCATGCGTCATAGACTTTAATACATGTTGTAATTTATCCATTTTACTTTTCTAGATATTGAAAAACATTTATAAAATCCCATACTAGGTTTAAAATAAATATTTTATGTTTCTGCTATATGAGCACAAGGCATATTGAAATACATTAGGCGCACACAAAAAGTAATAAAAACAAAACCTTCACTATTCTGAACTTGGTTCCGTCAGAAGGAATCCGTTTAGATCAGTGAAAATAAAAATGCTTATTGTGATAAGCAGTGACTCTTTTATGGCAAGAAAAGTTCCATTCAATGCCGGGTTAACGCCAGTGTTTCTTCCAGACGTTTTTCTCCGGGGGAGCGGGGGAGCACTTGAAATTTTCGGGGGGGGGGGGGGGGCGGACACTGTTAAAAGTATATATTTTCTATATAAATTCCTTTTCATTCGGGAATAGATGCCGAAGTGATGCCTGGAAGAAACACTGGTTAGCGCTGTCTGTTACGAGTCTAACAAAATACGTTTAACATTTATTGCAACTTCTCTAAGGGATGCAGCTACCCTTCTCTATGCTTTGTATAGTAAAATTTCCAACAATTGTATTTTCAAAATATGATATTCAATAGCATACTGAATTATAATATCTGTTTAAGTAGGCTTACATGCGTAGCATAAAATCTTATAAATAAACTGGGGAAAATTAATATAATTCTGCATAAGTAAATTCAGAAGTATAAATATACTAAACCTGCTATCATTATGTTGTACATTAAGGAAACTTACCTACAGTGACGATTTGTTTGTATCCAGATATTAATAGCTTGTACACTTTTTAAAAAAAAATGTGTCGATCATTAATGAGCTTTTACTATTTAGTTATTAACAAGTAGTAAAGAACTTTGAAATATTTGCTTGTATTGAGTAGACTTGGAAGTTAGAGAACTCGATACTGTCAGATTTTCTGCGTTCTCTCCCTTTAAATATGAGTTGTCGCGGCCAGTGGTCACCGCTTGGGTGCGTTGAGTCTCACCGGTCATCAATGGACGGACACCTTATGAATGGATTAGGGCGGTGCGGCGATTCTGTGGGCAGGATTAAGCTGTCGCCTGGACCCGGACAAGTATGTAATAGAAGGACGCCATATGATGGTTTGCAAGCAAGTGTCTTCTGAAAGGCCATCTACAGAGAAACTCGTGGACACTGGTTGGCTAACTACCGCCTCTGTCATTCTCGAGAATACCTCAACAACATACATAAACCATCTATAAATAACACTCACAAAGTTTGTTAAACTGGGATCTAAAAAAACAAACAGATAAATTTTTAAATACTCTTTGTAAACACCAATCCATAAGCTAACATTAGCATAATAGGGCCTATCTACAGAAGCCTTTTCTGCGTTGTTTTTCATTTGCGGTATATTGTGAAATATAATACTTTACATTTTTCCTAATTCTGTTTTTTTTTGTCACCTTGAAAAATTATTTCGTCACACGTAGGTAATTCATATCTTATTGTGGGAAGAAATTGAGCGGACACTGCTACTGTGCACACTACTGTGTGTACTAAAGCCGAGCAGAGTCATATTTAATTGAGTTCCCCATTTAGCATTGACATGCTTATTACTGTTAAAAAATATATAATCCGATATGACCATTTTATTGTTTAGGTGTTCATAATAAAGCAGATGTATATTTTAAACATATGCCCCCCCCTTGAGTACAGACCCATATGTGATATGTAATACAGCATACAATGAACTGACGAGAAGTAGTTTGATGTTCAAATTAAATATGTATTTTAGTTGGAAGGGAGAGACAGTCCTTCGCGACACCAAAATAACGGAGTTTGGCTTTTTAAAATTAAAAAAATTTTTTTGTGACGACTTGTGACGACGGGAGATGGTTAAATCTGCAGTAGCTGACTTTGTATTGGTTAATCCGGAGTTAGATCCACGTAAAGTCAGAAAAATGAGAAACTTGTCCAGTGACCGAGACACGCCCGGGTTAATTGGCTAGTACAGGCCATCTCCCGGGCTGTAGGATGTAATCAAGCGTGGGATAACTCGTGCAGCACTTTCGGTGAGCTCTTGTGTTACCGGCTAGGATGGAAGCCGACGTTCAGCCGTGTGTGAAAGCTGCCACACTGCTACCCATTGATCTCCCCCGTATCATTAGACGCACTTCCTTGTGTTCCATCCGAGATCTCTTCAACAGATCTTAGACAGTTGCCCTCCAGCCTGAATGTTTACTTGACTGGGTCAGCTACAACTCCGCTAATGCTTTACTGAAATGTCCATTGTATCATAGTTTAAAAAAAAACGGAACAAATAATAATGGGTCCTATTTTTTTCACTACCCAGTGAAAAATACAACAGATGGCGTATAACGTTTTGGTCATAATAAAGCTTAATATGGATTCTATCTACAAAACCTAATATCCGGTGAAATGTCGGGTTTGTTGACTCAGAAACAAATGCTGTCACGAAATTGCCCCCAAGGAAAAATAAAAGAAAACCTGTTTTAGTTTACGGTTTGCGCGCGCGTCTTAATGTTGAAATTAATACCAGGTTTGAATCCCTAATTGACCAGCACGATAATTTAGTTGAGTCTTCCCTAATCAGTTAACGACGGACAACCTGCCTTCTACGGAAGGGGACGTTTCTCGCTCACCACAAGCTGCGTCGCCTTTATGTCAGCATTAAGACGTGTCGCGGTCAAATAAACAGCCCCCAAACGTGGTCAACAGGACCACCGCAAACATATATTTAAGTATTGTGTCCCCTGAATTCTGCGGTGTAGCCACATTTTGCTACTTCCTGTCCGGCTGTGTGGTCAACAATATAATTACCATCCTCGGGCTGTGGGCAGGGGACTATTTAAAATCATATTTGGAAGAGGGATGGGATTTAATAGCAAACATAACGATGCTTTCAGTAAGAAACAAATTCTAAAATTACCTAAATATAACGGAGAAAAAAACAATTGTTAGGATAGTCTGATGTATAGAAAAAGTTAATCAATGTACATTTTGTAAAAATAAATTAATTAATTAACGAAAATACCATAAAATAATAAATGATTGACCTCTGTTACGACTTTTTTTAAAACATTGTTTTATAAGAATATTGTGAAAACCCAACAGTTTGATGTTTCCGACAGGCAAACATCCCCTTCATAGCCTGAGATACTGGGCTGTTACTGTAAAATTTATGAATACAATTCTGCTATTGAGTAGAGTGCGATTTCGTCACACCCACTCGTGATGCGGCTTAACCCCTCGCACCCCACTAGAGCTGCGAGGGCAGAGTCTTTTAACCCTACTGGCCCACAATTAAGTTTCTGTTTGTCTGGAAGGGTGTGTGCGACTCCCTGCAGTACAATGCTGGCCAAATATGGACGGCCCTGGAGTGCAATGAGGAAAACTTCTACGTATTCACGCTCGCAGCTGGCCGTCAAGTTTCTGTTTGGGTTATTGAAAACTTTCAAACAGCCAATCTGGCATTGTCCAACGCCAATTTTTCTAATGGTCAGTCTGTTTTCCGATGTAGTTAACCCGTATTGAAATACCGTTTTTGTTTCTGGCCAGGTCCTCGCTAGCGGGCGAGGAAAATCACAGGTTTCTCGCAATACCATCGAGGGCTTTGGTGTGGGTTACCCCGCCGGCAACAAAGATTTTGACCCTCTGGCGAGGCTCTTGAAAGCAGAGGGTGGAAGGCGGTTCCTACTTTCAGGTTGACAATGTGCAATCTGACTTTGTTTAAGAAGTCATACTGGCTCCAGTGGGTCTGTTAAAAGCCATCTCTTATTTTATAAAACTGGTTTAGTCGATTCGAAACACATTTTAAGTAAATATATAACATTTCACTATGCAAATTCTCTGACGTTATGGCATCAATATTTTGACCGGCATTTGAATATAATAGATAAAATATTAGTTTCCTTAAACCATATTCAAGGCTACACACGTCCCATGACATACCACATAGCTATAGGAGGATCGTCACAAAAATAATTCTTTCTAATAGAATAACGTTATCGATTGACATAGGAGAATTTGCCTTTCTTTCGACAACAGTGTAATCCATACTAGATTTCCGTGTCTTACGACAGCATAAGTCAAACTTTCCGTATCTAACTATAACACACACGTCAACTGCTATCTTTATACAACTTAAGCATTTTTAAACATAATTTATTCAGTGAAATTGTTCTGTGTTTTAGAAAAAGAAAACATTTAAATATTATTGCACTTCAAATTATTTTTTCATCTATCGCAGTGTTTCTTCCAGACTTTTTTCTCATGGGGGGGGGGGGGGGGCACTTGAAATTTTCGGGGGGGGGGGGGGGCGGCGGACACTGTTAAAAGTATATATTTTCTATATAAATTCCATTTCGTTTACGGGGGGGGGGGGTAGACATTCTTTGGGGGTCTCTGCCTGGAAGAAACTCTGATCACAAAAGCTTTGAATATTAAGTAATGGAGAATGTTTCAACTTTATCGACGTTTATTTGCAATTCGATTTAGGTTGACATTTGGAGTTAGGTACATGTTTGTTTTCGGGTAAGGTGCAAACTAGAATGAGTGTGGGAAAAATTTGCCACTGATATTTATAAGAAACATGATTTGCCACTAGAAAACAGATGGTCATGTTAAAAATGATATAGTTCTGTATTAAATGTAAGTAAAGTTCTCTTTTCGAACATGAAGGTCAATGTGGCAGGTGAAATAGAGTCCACCTGTTTCTGTGAACTCGGCATTTAAAGGGATATTGTGGTCAGCACTGTGTTTAGCCGTCTTTGCTTTCCCTAACATTTGTTCGGTATCCATCAGGACTGGGGGGACTCAGGGAAGTTCTACTAACTTGAAAGCGGATTCGAACTCGGGACTGGTAGGATTGCAGTCTATCGCTCTATTACTAGGCCTACATGCTCATTTATAGAACCTCAAATTATGAATGTAAGATTGTATACCATAGTTTGTTTGATCTATATATATAATTCTCCTCTTCGAGCCGTTAGAAAACAAGCTGCAAACGCTCTCCCTACCTCCCCACCCCTACATGGTTTTAGTGAGCTGTGTTCACTCTAAATGTTATTAATGTTTACAAGCAGAGCCAACGATTTTAAACGTAGGGGGGGGGGGAGGAAGGGGGGGGGGGTATGGTCCTTAACGAGCTACTTATAGTGTTTTAAAGAAATATTTTCAGTGTCAGCGTTGGTACTGTCGAATTCACAAATTATGAATTAGTGAAAATTAGAAACAACTAAATAGCGGCGTATGTTATGCCGCGGGCCGGCTCGTACACTTTATCTTGCCATATCTCCTATATGAAGAATTCAATCGTGAATGATCGAAAATATTGTTTTAAAGCAGAAGAGGGATGGCGATGCTCATGCCTTAAATGAGACGTGAAGGCAACACTAATAGCTCATCTTGACTTCGGTCACGCATGAATTCTGAAAACACCTGCAAGGCGGTGAAGTCGAGGTGACCACACCCCCGGTCAGCCCATTCTGGATGCTGCTGACCACTGGAAACTAATTTGCCGTTACGCTCCCCGCGGTGTTTCCCCTAGCCCCGGGGCTGCGGGGAGCGTTGGGCAACTGGTCAATGGCGACTACTAGAATTTGGTTTTTGACCACGGATGTACTTGAAATTGAATAAAACACAAAATTATTCGAAAACATTTTGCTCGATTTGGTCTCAATGGGTTTTGTTTCGTTTCCGGAACAGATTGGGTCCAGAAAGTGGATTATTATTTTTTTTAAAGTTGCATTGGAAGTCAGATTAAATTTCTTGTCAGATATTGTCTACTACGAACAAAAATGCGGATAAATAAATAATTTACAGCACTATACAAATAAAATAGTGCATTGCATAAGGTAAAAGGGGACCGAGCATCAAATAAAATAAAAAGGGAAGGGTTGCTTTTCTATTTAACGTATAACTTCGTTATACTTAATGTAATCGTTACAAAGACTTAGGCTGAATATTGTGTTGAAAGCGCGAGCCCTTGTAAATACAGGTGAGATGGGCCTAAAAACGTAGGCCTACTTCAAATAAGTAATTTCGAGGATGTAAAGAATTTATCAATGTAACAAAATATAGCAGTTTTCCCCGGATCGCCCCCCCCCCCCCCGTTTATTGTACACATTAGATATTTAGTTTGCCTTAAGAAATTACAAAGCCTACGCACCAGGCCTGTGTGTTGAGAAAATCTATTAATGTACTAAACTATTAATAATTCGTTAATATTTAAATTTAGAAACTGTTTTTGGCCTATGTTAACCAGCTCCCGATTTAGCAGGAATCAACGGTTGACTCAGACGGCGCCGTGTTTACATTACGTATGTGTAGTCAAACAACAAACCTTCTCTGTCCCTGTGACATTAACATAGTGGGGCCCCCCATAAATGGCATCACCCATCTAATTAGAGGGATTATGACTTTTGCGGGGTAGATGGTTCCGGGAGTGTGACGTCAGATATTTTGTATTTTTAAATTTACCTTTGGATGATGTTTGTATTGTGTGTGTAGGGTGGAGACTTTATCAAGGTCTGGCTTTCTGTAACAATAGGATAGGGCGTGGGGAATCAGCTAAATAATCGTGATGTTATTTATGGACGACCCTCCTAAGCGTAGCGTAGAGCAAACGTATGGCTTTGTGAGACAATGCAGTCCCTGTCTGATTTAATTAACGAACCCCACCCGGAAATTGTCGCACTTGGCGCGCGGAAAATGTCCACATCCGTTGGTCTGACTTCGCCATACGGCTCTACTGGCTCGGCTTATATTTTCTGCGGCTCCAGACGTCAGTGCCATGCGTAGATTGAGTGACACGTCACTTGACGTCAATCACACGACCACCGCCCACAGCGCGACCCTATTGATATCATTGATGGAGTCTCGCGAGATCTCGAACCTAAACAAAGACTTTGATTGGTCAAAGTATGCAGGGTCAAAAAGGATTTTTTTTTCTTTCTCGACTACAGCTGGTCGAACAAGCCACGTGAAGAGGTTGACTTTCTGGTGGAAAATAAATTCCCAAAAATTAGCGACACAAACTACCGCGCTGCAGTTCATTATAAGCAAACTTGTATAAAAAAAAGAGTCCCTTTTATGATGTTCAACCAGTGGCGTAGCCAGGATCGTCTCAAGGGGGGATTCCAATTTTTACCCGGGGACAAACTTTCGATTTGCACCCCCCCCCCTCAGACTTTTGATTTGCACCCCCCCCCCCTCTCAAACTTTCGATTTGCGCCCCCTCAGACTTTTGATTTGCACCCCCCCGTCATACTTATATATATATATATATATATATATATATATATATATATATATATATATATATATATATATATATATATATATACCTAGGGGTCTATGGGGGGTTATGACCCCCTAACCCCCCCCCCCCCTGCCTACGCCACTGTGTTCAACTACCTGCCCAGTAGGGCCTACCGCTCTGCCAGGTTTTACTTGTGCAACATGTTGATCAAGCAATGCGAACTTTTGCACTTAAACCGTATGCTAAGATACGTCCCATAAATTTTAGACAGTTGGCTATCTTATGCTAACTCGCGTTCTGTCATTGAATATCTGGAATCAGAGACGCCAGTACGCAGTTATGATAAATTAGCGGTCGTTGTGTCCAATAGGGCTGGTAAGTAGGTCACCAACCAGTTCTATGGCTCATGACGGTTTTATTGAGCCGTAGAACTGGTTGGTGACCTACTTACCAGCCCTATTGCCGACATTTAGTCGCAGTCCCAGCATACCTAGCAAAAGTAAAAATAAAGTTAAAATTTTAAACCCACTAAATTGTTACACTAATATTTGACCAACATCCCCCCCCCAAATGTTTCTACATTAGTTTGCATTATGACGCCCCCCCCCTTCCCCCCATTTAGCCCATAGATCCACCTATGTTGAGTGCTGTTTTTTTTCTCTAGCCCAAATACCGGAAGCCATTTGTCTGGATCCAATATGTCGGGGGCTATTTTTTCGGGAGCCCGATAGTCGTTGGTCCTCTTTTTAGCCAGTAGTCATTTTGTGGGATACCTTTTAATTTAAAGGTGCTATTTCGACCGTATCGTTTTGCCTGAAACGTTTTGACTTTGCACCTTGGTCTCGTCTCTTTCGCTCTCGTAAAGTTCCGGTACATACTATACATAGTCTAACGGCTAATACCTGTAGGCCTACACACCGGCGTAGCTTACACAGTGTGTTTGATCTTAGCTACCAAACAGTAACGGTAACTCTTTGATCATTTGTGTTGTGTAAATTCCGGTCACGTGACTGCCAAGTGTCGCAAGATGGAGTACTACTTCGTAAATAGTTGAGCCACTAACGTAAACAGTATGGGCATTATGTTTTATCTTTCACATTTGCATTAAAACAGTTTGTTTCTTTAAAAGAATCATCTAATTTGCTAATTCATATGTGATTGTGTTGGAAGCAATAAAAACGAAATTGATTTTATAACGCATACCACCATAACTCTGCTTTCTGCATATTCAACTTTTTAATTTTTTTTTCCACACTTAACTTACTAGATTTTCCTCTACTTAGCCTCAACTCCTCAACTCACTGCAGTGACTTGTGACTTTACATTACAAAGTTAGTGACATGATCACAACTCTGTCTATGGCACTGTCACTGACGTAACCATAAAAAGAGAAGATTCTCAAGCTAGACTAGTACCAAAGACTTACAGACTGAGACAGAAGTCAGTAGACTTGAGTAGACTACATTAGACTACTTATCACAACTTAATGAACTTATAAGTAGGCCTATCTATTAATCTAAAACTTAAAAGTATCTATAGACTATAGAGTCTAGACTTATAGACTTTGAATAGGGCCACTTACTTACTTCAATACTTAAATTCTAGCACTGGGCTGGGATAGATCTATCGGTAATCTATCGTTTTGGGTACGTAAAATCGCCCGCGGCTATTTATGTACGAAAACGTTTCCTCATTGTCAAGGCTTTAATAGAAGTATATTGTCATACTTTTGTGTCAAATATTATAGATAAATGAATAATAAACCTAAATCAATGGCTAAATATATCGGTATAGGCCAGAAATTAACTTTAAACAGCAGTGTCTGAGAGCAAGATTTGCTATATAAACAGCAGCCATTTGTAAAATAGAGTGGCTTCCCCCTGAATCTGGCGCTTAAAGCTTATAAAAATAAAACTTAGACAAGATGGCTGCTATAGTAAATGAGCATGGTTGCATCTGTTGGAAACATCGCTAGTCTTCATTTATTACTGAACAGTTTTAATTCAATTGTTTAAAAACAGGTACATAAATGAATCAAGGAAACATTTTTGAATTTTTAAAAACATAAATCCTCCTCAAAATGTGAAATAATTATTAAAATTTAAGGAGTCACCTGTTTTTCACATTACAAATCGCGGGCGATTTTACGTACCCAAAACGATAGATTACCGATCTATCATCTCTAGATCAAGTACTGGGTAGAAAATTGGAGCTAGTCACAGTAGTAGAGATCTAGCACTAATAATACAGCCACAGTTGTAGATCTAGTTTACTGATTACACTAAAGTTTCACTAAACTATTCAACACAGCAGTAAATTACTAAATAAACTCTACTAAAATCTGGGTGGGGAATTTTATGGTGATTGATTTTAAGAATATATATAGAAATGTATGCACTTTAATAAATAATAATGAGTAGATCTATAATATATAGTATGAAAAAATATAGTAGGCCTATATAGTATAGTAACATACTAATTGGACCTAGGCTCAGTCTTGAGTAATTTACTATCCTTCTGATCTAGCTTAGAAGAGGAGGGTGGGGGTCTAGCTTTGGTTGATGTCGATGTCATGTGTAGATTACTAAAACATTTGGATAATATTTAGAATTAACCCTTTGAATGATGAATCCCTAGCAGAATGACCCCCGGCCTGGCCTTAACCAACTGGTGGGCTTGTTGCATTGAGTTAAATAATATTTAGACCTAATTCAAAACAATAATATAAATAATCTCATGGAAATACCATTTCATAAAATTCATATGATTAGTTTGTTAGACCTTTTCAGTGAAAATGTCACCAGATCTATAAATATCTGACTAAAATGTTGAATTTTTAATTTTTTTATTGCAGTGTAAATATGTTAATATTATGAAACAAACAGATACAACCATTAAAATAGTGGTAAACAGTGTAATCATGGCGACATATTAATGCTGCAACAGGCTGGTACATATTGTAAGTGTTAGTAGTATCCTAAGTAAATAAAGACATTTGTTTTTATAGTGTTAATAATGTTAAGTAGAATTTACTGTTAATGTTTTTAGCTGTGTTTCTTAAGTTTCAGTTAAGTATTCATTGTGAACATGCTTTAACAGAATTTAGGTTAAACAGCAATTAGGACATCCTGTCTAATAAACAATGGCTACAAGTGATGTTGAGATGGAGCTGGAACAGCAGCAACTACAGATTCAACAACTAAAGGCATTAGTCAGAGAAAGAGATGAAGCTTTGCAACATAAAGAAAAAGAAATGCAGGTAGAAATATAATTTTTTAACAGAAACCACTAACATACAATTATTTATTTAAAGGAACCACCTGTTAAGGTAACCTTTTTACATAAATTAACTTTTTTTGTTAAAGGAAATGAATGCAAAAATGTCAAAACTTCGACTTCAAGCAAAAGCCAAAGCTGCAAGTGTCAAGAAAACACAGGCTCAAGATGCTAAAAAAGGTCTTGATGGTCCTGAAAAGGTGAGCTAGTTTATCAAACAGCCATGTTACCACTTTTTTTCAAACTTAGTTGACTGAGGATAAATACTTTTTCAAAGTTTGATACAGTTAATTATATTTTGACTACTAGGAATCACATGATGAGGGAGCTGCACCAGAGGAAGGAGCTAATTCCAATCAGGCTAGTAGAGCTAAAGCATTATTGCTTAAGCGAAAGTTAGAAGAAAAAGATCGTATCATCGCTGAAAAAGAGGAAGTGATTAGAGTTCGTGAAGCCCAGTTAGAGAATAAAGAAAAAATTCTACATGAACACGATGTCCTGATGCATGAATTGACTGAGCAGCTAGAAGAAAAAACTAAGACAATTGAGAATTTGCAGTCTGTTTCTGGAAGCACAGGGGATGAAGTGGTAAGACAACTGTGAAAAATATTGAATCAATGAAGTCAGAAGACATTGTATTTTTATATTGGCAATCTTTGATTATTATGGTGTCATATAAAAAATATAATTTTATAGATTATAATTTTTTTGATATCCTATATATTGTTGCAAGTTTTAAAATAAAAATTAGTAATTAAATCTTTTATTTAACTAGAACCAGATGCAACAGATGTATGCACAGATGGTTTATAAAGACCGTAAGATAATGGAGTTAAATACTAAGATACTTGATCAAGATAAACGAGTCATGGACCTGCAAGAATTTGTTGGAGAAAAGGACCAGGTCATACGTGGAAGAGATAAAGTTGTTGAGGTAAGCTGGGCACATTAAAGCCCCTGCAACCAATAGCTGCTACAAAAATACTTGAACTTTTTTGCAATGCATATTTTATGTGCTAAATTGCTAAATTTTCCATCTGTTGTAAACTTAAGGTCCTGCAAAATTCCATTAAAGAAAAAGACCAAGGTATACAGGACCAGTCTCTGTTAATTACAAAATTAACAGCACGAGTGGAGTCAATGAATGAAAGAGTGGATGTAATTTCTGAACAGCTGAGACACAAAGAACAGGAGTTGAAATCTGAGACTGAAAGGTTTCACATTAAACTGACAGAGTCACAGAAATACTTTGAGGAAATGCTCAAAGATTTGGATGAAGAAATCAAAAGGTTGGTGTGGCATTTAAACTCATTAATTCCGAGTCCATTTTTATTTTCATTTCTTATAATATATTTACATTAAGCACTGTCACAACATGTATTTGTTTTCCCAGATTACGGCATGTGATTGATGATAAAAATAATGATATTGCTTTACGAGAAAATGATGTAAGAGAGTTGATTTCCAAGCATGAAAGGGATATTGAAACTATAATGAGAAAGGAGAATGTTGACTTGCAAGACCATGCATTCCAGATGTTAGAAAACAAAATGAGGGATATAAATGAGGTGCTAGAAGGAAAGGTGAGCTGAACCATTGCACATTTTCTTTTATTATTACCATAAATGATTAATGGTAATATTAAAAAGATTTATTTAAGAGCTTTTTATACACACAAAGTAGCGTATAACAGAAAACAAATATTATAACTTAAGCTGTGATTGAATTTCTTTTTTCTACATTTGTGCTGAATACTATTTTTGATGACTGCTTTTTTCCCACATCAAGATCAAAGTTATCTCAGTTTTACAAAAAGAAAATGCTGAAAAGGACAGAGAACTTTCTGAAAGCAAGGACACTCAAAGACTTTTAAAAGAAAAACTTCAAATGACTTCTGAGCAAATGATGTTGTTGCAAGCAAATTTTATTGATAATGAAACACACTGGAAAGAAGAAAAAATAAGATTAGAAAACAGGCTAAAGGAAACACAAGAAAAACATGAAGTTGAGGTAATATACTGTTATATTATTTTTTGTACTAAAGTTTGTGTAAGTTGTATTTCTTTTGGTTCTTAAGCCATATTTAAAAAAAAAATCAATTTGTAAGGCATTGTTTTATTTTACTAAGGTATCAGAGAAAGATCTCCAGTTACAGACACTTCAGTCTACACTATTACAGTATCAGTCTTCATACAATCAAGCTTCAGAACAGTACAGTCGCCTTCAAGAATATTATCAAGCAGCTTTAGCTGGCAATGTTAAGCCAGAATATACAGAGGTAGTGTTATCGTTTTAAAATATTATTTGCTATTACTAGGTCTATTTTATATTATATTAAATTTGTATCTTGTTTTATAGTATTGTTTGGTATTACAAGGTCATACTTTTTTTTACAGGTTTCATCATCTGTAGATAGTCATAAAGAAACAATAGAAATACTAAATAATGAGTTGCATGAATCTAAACTAACTATAGAGAGACTAACAGCCAAGGTACTTAAGAGTATTCATTATTAATAAAAGTTAATTTCTTGTTTTTATGTATTTTCTTTCATTTTTGTTTAACTTAAAACTTAGTGTCCTTACTTGTGATTTGTCTTATTTCAGCTTAAAGAATTTGAATCCCATGCAGCAGAAGACACCACCAGTAAAAGTGATACCAAACATTTGAAAATGAAAGCACAAATGACTAATAAAATCAAAGCACTCGAAAAGCAATTGCAAGAGCTAAAAAATGTTAGTAATCATCTTTTTAAGCACAATTTAACAAGTGTATTGCTATTCGTATATACTTAAAAATAGTGGCATTTTATATTTTTAGTAATCCATGTACAATCAAACCATGTGAAACTCCACTATGTTATAGATAATAACAAAATAATAACCAACCTTGAATCAATTATTAATTTCACAAACTTGTTCAGTTACTCAGCTTTTAACAGCTTACTATAACAGAGCATGTAATTATCTAATAAATTAAATACCTGTTGGGAGAACCTGACTAATACATAAATGAAAAATGTGTGTAATGTAATTTGTAATAACTAAAAATAGCAATAGGCTGACATAAGTGTACATGTGCTATGTCCATGCAGCAATCCTATAATAATAATATTAAACTTGTGCAATGTTTCTGGTTGTATTTTCAGAATAATCAATCATCCGAAGATGTTACATTGTTAAACAATAAGGTCAAAGAACTGGAAGCAGACAAGGAAAAATTACAGCAGCAAGTTGTGGAGTTAAATGATAATACAGCATTACTAGGTATGTCAGGTGAAACTTATTTGAAACTGCTGCGTTAACGTGTGATCCTAGAATAGCCATATAGCCTTAACAAGATATAACAAAAAACTTTTTGTAACAGATTTTTACTTTCATTATAATATCATTGGCATCTACAGGAGAATTGAGAGCACAGATAGATGAGTTACAAGCTGTAGTTGATATGGTCCATGATCAGAAAGCCAGTCTTCAAACAGAACTTGAAGCTGCAAATAATGAAAAACAAAAGCTTACAGAAATAATTCAGGATCTAAAAACTTCTTTAAGCTCTGTAAGATTTTGTTGAATATTCTATCACTTATTTTCCCAATTTCTGTTTATATTTTATATAATACTATAAAATGTGTATGGTGATAATTAAAAAGAATGTAGTTTTTTTTACACATAAACAAATCATTGGTATTCCTCATTCAGTACTATTATCAGCTACACAAATTTAACAAGCATTTCATTTCTTGTCAGACTGAAGGAAATCAGGCACAGATATTACAGGATGCCAAATCAGCACAAAGACAAGCTGAAGCTGAACTGCAAGAATTGAAACTAAAGTGTGTAGAGCTTGAGAAAAGCAGAGAAGAAACTACAAATACAGTGGTAAGAAATATTAAACTTTTGGTTAAGTAGAGTCCTTGAGTTAAATCTAGAGCTTAAATTGTATATTTGTGTCTGTGTTCATAAAAAAGTTAAAATTAAAATTCTTCGTACTTTTTATAGGAGGATCAGTGTAATAAAATAGCATCCATAGAGGAGAAAGCAGAAAGTTTAAGAGTCAGCTTAGAAGATAAAGACAGAAGGATATTAGAACTGGAACAAGATAAAGTTGACTTGACTGATGCTTTGTCATCTGAAAAAGCTAGCAGCAAAAAGCAAAAGGAAGAAATAAATAATCTTTTGTTGAAATTATCAGCACTAGAAAAAGAGTTGGCTGATTTGAATACCAGTTTAGAGCAGGTCCAAGTGGAATTGAAATCTAGCCAGCAGGAAAAAGTAAGTGGATTTCTTATCTGCATGCATTGTACAATTGCCTGTTACATATATGAAAACTAATTGGTCATAGTATTATTGCATTTTTACACTATTTTTGGTTCTACTCTTAAAATTGATAAGAAAATGCAAATTTTACTAGGATATATCTTTAAATTTTTGCTTACATTCAACAAAGTTGCACATATGCTTACAAAAGCATTTTCTTATGTTTCTAGATAAAAGTTCTAATTGAAACAAAAACTCATCCACATTTTGTGAAGTGTTTTCATAACTTGCAGTGCAATAAAATTATTTAAAAAAAAATATACATAGAACCAAAAGTAGGTTATTTGAATATCAGTTATGCCTGATATTTTCTTCTCACATGTATATTCTCTCATTGGTCTAAGTGCTTTCACTGTCATTAGCATCTACTACAAACTCCAATTATTAATATCCTTTGTTCATTTGTTTTCTGAATATAAAAATACACAGTAATATTTTGTTTCACTTTTTTAATACAATCCCGTGGATGTCAGAGAACATCAAAAATAAAAAAATAATGTTTAAATTTTTTTTAATAAGCCTAGACGATATCAATGGATTGTATTTTTATAGGTAAAAAAAGCTTCGAAACAAAATATTTTTGGATTTTTTAATACATGTCCCAGAATTTATGCTTGCTTGCAGCTTGTCTAAATTTTATGCTACACTACTTTAGAAATTGTTTTGAAAGAAATATTTGCTTAATCAAAATCTTAATAATTCAATATTTGGTTGTAGTTGATTAGTGCTTGGTGTTCCATTCCACTACTAATTTCCATTAATGCCCAGCATCATCTAAAATAACTAACAAAATTAGTAACCATTGACAGCTAGCTAGTGTTAATAAAATGTAAAAAAAAAAAAAAAAGTTTCACTAAAAGTAAATCATTTTTAGCTTTACACGCGACTCATAATAGTAAGGGACACTTGAGTATTTTACTAGTAAAAGAATGATTTTCAAATAGAAACATATAAAACATTGTATGTAATGAAAAATAAATGAAAGGATCAACTATTAAAATGCTAAATGTAGCTAAGTATTCCAACTAGCAGCTTCAAAACATTTGTGTGAATTTAAATATTTTAATAGAGAAGCTACTATCTGTCATCTAAATTAAATTAAACAATATTGGTAATTTTTTAAAAGTACTAAAATGATATATGATGGTGCACGGGCTAAAGTGAATGAAAAACGCAGTGTAGTGAATTAATACCCTCAATTTAGTGTTTGCTAGTGATCAGAAAAATAAGAAACATGTACTTTTAAAAAAAATGACATCAAAATTCCCTTATTCAATATTATTATACTTAAAAGAGGTAGAAAACAAGCAAAACGAATGCAAAACAAATTGTCAAAATGCTTTTTTGTGTGATGTAATGGCTTCTTCTGATCTAAATTTTTGCACTATACATTAGACAATTTAATTTGTGCAAGTAAACTAACTTTGTGAAAAAAAAATGTTTGCATATATCTACAAAATTTAAAATTTAATTTTATAGTTACATTTTTTAATAATATAAAATGCTTTAAGCAATACAATAAATATTAAATGTTTTTTGAGTAAACAGACAAATCCACTAATGTTAAGTTGGGTAAAAATAATGAATCAGTTTTGAAATCTAGCAAAAACACTGGATTTTCTTGATTTTACTCTATTTACCTTTTTAATAATTATCAAGTTTTTTATTTAGTTTTAACTTGTTCACAACTAGTACCACACAGTAAGAGTACTTTAGACTTAAAATGTCACACTACTATAGTCACGTTGTATTACAATCTTAGTATTTCATAAATAGATTAAATAAATAAAAACAAATGTTAAATTTGAAGACATTTTAAAATACAATAAAATAAATCTTTAAACTGCTTTTCAATTTGGCATAGAAAGAATCTTCACTTAAGATTAGTAGAATCTATAAACAACTCTTTTAAAAATTAAAAATATTAAATGTTTAATTTGGAAGATGACTATTCTTATTTTGGGTTTTTCACCAAATTTTACTCGCCCAAAAACTTTTTTGCATATTGATGATAAAGTCTCCGGTCAATTGAAAGCAGTAAATGTTTAAGCATAATTTAAATAACTATATTGCATGATGATCTAACTGAATGCACTAAATTGTAAAATAGATTATAATGAAAAGGGGGGGGGGGGATGGGTGCATTACAGTTAACAAACCAATAATAATCATTCAGAATTTTAAAAATACAAATTAAAAAAAACTTGCTTGCATCATAACAGTGTAAGAATATATTGCAAAGCTCGGGTTGTAGGTTAAATATTTTGTTTCAGGTTGAGATTGATGCACTGCTTGAGTCTGCCAATGTCAAGGCCAACCTTCTTCAACAGGAGAGAGATGACATGTTGAAGGAGAAGCTGGGTTCAGAAGAAGAGATAAGTGCATTGAAAACTAAACTGTCCACTGTTGAGTCTGAGCTTGAATCTACATTACAACAGCTTGAGACTGTAAAAAGTGAATTGTCTTTAGAAAATGACAATCTTCATTCTAAATCAGAAAGCTTAGCACTTACATTAAGTGATAAAAGCTTATCTCTAGAAAATACTTTATCAGAGCTTACATCTGCTAATGAGGCAATCAGTGTTTTAAAGCAGTCATTCCAAGAAAAATCCAGCAGCTGTGAGGGATTAGAACTTGAGGTCAAACAGCTCAGGAGAGAGCTGGAACTGTTCAGGGAGAGCCAGACAGAGACAGGTAAAGAGCTGGAAGAGAAAACCCAGTCTCTTCTAGCACAGCTGTCGCAAGTAGAATCTGAGCTCATTGCCCAGAAAAAACTGGCAGATGATTTACAAGAAACTGTTTCAGAACTCTCTGCCAGCCTGCAAACCAAAGAGGATAGTCTGAGGGTGGCGACTGAGAGCATAGGAGAGTTGAAAAGTTCTTGTGAAAATTCACAGATGGAAATAATTAAAAAAGATAACGAAATAAAATTCCTAATGGATGGTCTTGAAAGCGAAAAAACTTTACGAATTAAATTAGAAGAAGACATTGTCAGTTTTTCAAACCAGTGCACACTCTTCAAAGAAACTTTATCTGAAAAAGAAGTTGCTTTACAGCAGTTACAATCAGACAAAAATAGTGAAATTGAATCTCTTAACACATCCATATTTTCTCTACAAAAAAAGCTTGAAGAAGCAACTGAGACCATTCATACTCTTCAGACTTTATCACACGACAATGATTCTGAAATATCTTCCCTCAAGCAGAACTGTGAAGATCTGCAGCACAAAGTTGAATCTCTGTCTGCAGATCTTGATCATTCTAATGTTCAACTTATGGATTATAAATCTTCCAACCACACTCTCCAGCAGCAAATCGCAGAGTATGAACAGAAGCTTTCAACAATGACACAGACTTTGGATGAAGGTTCTCAGCAGAATGAATTGTTCCTACTGAAACTCAGGGAAGAAAAAGAGGTATCGGAACAGCTTGTTACATCTCTACAGTTCCAGCTCAGCACTCTAGAAACTGAACTCTCTGCTGCTCAGAGCTTGTGTGCAGACAAAGAATCAAGCATTGTTATGCTGAATGCAGCACTGCAAGAGCAAGAGAAGCGGGCAGACGGCCTGCACACATCCCTTCAGAAAGTGCAAACAGACAAAGCTCAGCTGGATCATCAGGTGAGGACTTTATGTGAGAGTAATCAGCTTGCCTTACAAGATGTGTCTTGTCTTCAGACATCACTTGATTCTATCCAGTCCGACAAGCATGCACTTCAGTCTTCTGTCGACACACTCACTGCATCTCTTAATGAGAAGTCTTTGCATGTGCAGGCTCTTTCAGATAAGTGCACCCTTCTTGAGCAGTCTCTTTCTGAAGCCAACCTGAAGTGTTCCCAACTCTCTGACAGTGTACATTCTTTACAATTGTTGCTAGATAAAAAGCATGTTGAATGGTCTTCTAAGTGTGAATCTCTTGACAGTTTGCAGCTTTCATATAACCAACAGCATGAAATGCTTGAGAAGGCTCAGAAAGAGTGCCAAGATGCTCATGAACTTATTCTAAATTTGCAGGGTAGTTTAGAACAGAAAGAGACAAGTTTTCTTTCTGTGTCTCACAATTCTCAGTCACTAGAGCTTGAGGTAGTCAGGTGTAAGGAAGAGGTTTCTAGATTAACAGAGTTGTTTAGCTCTTTACAGGCTGAACTTGCTAGAGTAGGCTTAGAATCTAGTGATAATTCTCTTATGGATCAAGCTCATGCCTTGACAGCAAGTCTTGAGCTTTATAAAAGGACTTGTGCTGATTTAAATGAGCAGCTGGAAGATAAGACAAAAACTTTAACAAGTGTACAGGGGAAACTGGAGGAGGTGAATACAAAACTAACAGAAAGTTCTATATTTAACGAGAAAATTCTGCTGGACCTTGAGAGTAAGACTGAGATGAATGAAACATTAACAACGCAGAATCAAATCTTGAATTCATCACTGGAGGACCTCAACGCCCAACTTGAATCTTCTAATCACAAAGTAGAAAGTCTTAAAATCCTCTTGTCAGAGAAAAGCACAGAGGCAGCTGATTTACTCTCACAGTTGTCCACCCTGTCATCTGAGAAACTGGGGTTAGAGTCAGAGCTTGAGGAAACACAGGCAGATGTGGAGAGGAAAACTCAGGAACTGAGGGCTGCACATCAGCAGCTGAGTGACTCACAAGCTCAGCTACAGGAGACATCTGCTAGAGTACAAGAAACAGAATCACAACTTACACGGGTACAACTAGATATGGAGGAGATAACATTAGAGATGGACAAATTAATGTCCACTGTTGCGTCATTAGAAGAACAGAGTCAGTCTTTGCAAAATTTGGTTTATGTAAAAGATGAAGAGCTGAATAAATTTAACCAAGAACTTGCTAGTTATAAACAAAGGTTAGAGGATAAGGAATTAGAAAAGAATGAATTACAAACCAAATACAATGCTGATGCTGGTAGCAGTGCTAGTAAAATTATTCAGCTCAGTGATTCTCTTAAGTCTAAAGATGAAGATTTGATCAGTTTAAACTGTGCTTTGAATGAAATGATGTCAGATTCCCTTGCATTAACTTCAAGGCTAGAGTCTTCAGACAGTGCCTTGTGCATGTACAAGTTGAGAACCAAGCAGACGGTTAAAACATTAGAGGAGACAGTCTCTGACCTACGGTCACAGGTTACTGAACATGCTAATAGCCTGAGCACAGCAACTCATTTACATACAGAGGCTTTAAGGAATGTTGAAGAAAAATACCAGAGTGAGATTCAGGCTCTTGAGTCAGCTTTAACATCATTGAAAGAGAAGCACTTGGCAGAGGTGGAAGAATTGAATAGGAAGAACAGCTTGTCTTATGATGAGCTTGTCCTCAAACTTGAGACCTGTACAAGTGACCTGACATCAAGCACACAGCTGGTACAGGAGAAGAATGGCCTCATCCAAACCCTTGAACAAGAGGTTGGTCATTTAAAATTGTCATTGAATGGCACTCATGAAAACATGACTTTGTTAGAGAAAGAAGCATTGGGGGTGAAGCAAGAAAAGATGGAGTTGATGGAAAGCTTGGACAGTCTAGTCAGTAAACACGATAGCTTGGTACTTGAAAACAGTGCTCTAATCCAGAAACTTGAAGACACAGAGAAGGAGAAGAAAAGTGTTGAAGAAAAGCATGAACAGTTTGTGAAGGATAGTGAGGCTAGGATTTCATCACTTGCGGAGCAGAGCTGTCTGAGAGAAGAAGAGTTATCTAACTTGCAGTTGAAGCATGCCAGCATTAGTGAGAGCTTGAGTGTAATCACCAACAAGTATGAAGCTCTTGTCCAAGACAATGCTAAGCTGGCCACTACAATCTCCCAGCTTGAATCTCATGTGGAGACCTTAACCCATAACAACAATGAGCTGAAGAGGGACATTCAAAACCAGCAACATCTTTTAGTCTCAGCTACTGCTGACTTTGAGAGGCAGCTACAAGAAAAGGAATCTGTTATATCTAATGCTTGTTTAAATATACAAATGTTGTTGTCTAGCAATAACCTTGAGTCTTTCACTTTAGATAGTTTAGTAGAATTGTTGCAGCACAGAAGTGTATCTTTGAATGAGAGTATGAGGACAATCCAGATAGAGTTAGAACATGGTAAAGAAGAAATAGATAAGCTCAGAGAATTCCTGAGTGCCAAAGAAAAAGATATTGTTACACTTAAGGAGGAGCTGCAGCTGGAGAAGGCAGCTCATTCAGAAGAGGTAGCTGGTCTGCAGTTTGAGGTGGAGAAACTGCAGTCTGCGCTGGATAAGAAAGATGTTGAAGTGGATAATTTAAAAACTAAGTTAGATTTAACCAGTGTATCTAGTGATGAACAAATTACACAGTTAAGTGCACTTGTTTCTAAACATGAGAAACATATCAGCGAGCTTGTCGAGGGCACTAGTCAGATCAAGTCCTGGGCAGCTTCTTTAGAGCAGGACCTTAAGCATGAACAGTCAGTTAAAGAAGAACTAGTCAGTAAGATTTCTGTGTTAGTTGATGAGTCTAATGAAATGAATATATTGTTGAAAAAAACAGAAAGTGATAATGAGAATCTCAGGAGAGAGATTGAGGTTTGTCTAGAACAGAAGAAAATAGCTGATGATCATTTGAATACACTTGAAGAATCTTTCAAGAAGGACAAAGACTCTTTTGATGAAAATATCACTCACTTAAAATCAGAGCTAGAGACTGCTGTGGGTACTATAGCAAAGTTGAACGACACTATCAAAAGCCAAGAAGAACACATAACAGATTTAAAGAGCAGCCTTAATGCTTCACAATCAGAAAATGTTGGATTTGAAGAAGCCCTGGAAGCTGCCAACAAAAACATCTTCAGCCTCCAGTCTGAGAACAGCCAACTTCACCAGTCTTTAGCTGATGCCAACAAGAACATCTACTCCCTGGAGTCCTACAATGGCCAGCTGCAGAAATCCTTGGACCATTTACAGAGCATGCTAGATAACTTTCAGAAAGAGATGAAGGACACAGTTGGCTCTCTACAAGCCTCAGTGTCAGCTAAAAAAGAACAGATAGTGGGGCTGGAAGGTGAGTTGACTGCAAGCCAGTCACTGGTGATGACACTACAGCAAGATCTGAATTCTAAATGTAGTCTCATGTCTCAGCTGGAGAATCAAGTGGATGATCTGCAGAGCAAGCTAAAAGAACAAGGCAGTCTCCTGGAGGAAGGAAAGAAAGAGATGGCAGAGAAAGAGGAGAGGATTACAAGCTTGCTGTTTACAGTACAAGACTTGCATGCCAGCTGTGATGGTCTAAGACAAGAGTGTGATGGGAAGCAGAGAAGCTTGAGCAGAAATTTGTCCAGCCTTAGTGATGCCCAGCAGAGAATTGTCCAGCTAGAAGAAAGTCTGGAATCTTTTGCACAGAGGAATTCCAGCATTGAGGATGAAATGTGTGTTGTTAAGCAGAAGCTGCAAGAGTATGAGCAGGCTGTGGCTGGTTCAAGTAGGACCAATGAGAACCTACTAAACAACATCTCCACACTCAATGTCTCTCTGCATGATAAAGAAGAGCTTTGTGAGAGTTTGAAGATGGAAATATCTCAGACCAAGACAGAGTTGTCAGATAAAATTTTCGACCTAGAAGAGCTCCATTCAAAATTTAAAAATACAACCAGAGAACTAGAAGAAACAAAGTTGGAACTTGATAATGAAAAAGTCAAATCTCTTGGTCTGAATGAGGCAGTGAATAGCTTGAGCTTGAAGACAGATACTCTAACAAGTGAGGTAGCTGCTCAACAACTAGAACAAGAGAGACTGAAGCAAATGGTGCAGGATACTAGTGAAAAACTGCAAGCAGTTGGTGCACAGTTTGAAAGGGAACATGAATTATTGCAGAATACTTTAAGAGAGCATGAGGAAGCAGTACACGACTATGAAGAAAAACTCAGAATCAATGCACTAACATTGGAGGAATTTCAGAGGAAGCTTGAAAGTTCAGAACATAATTTACAGTCAAAGATGGGTGAGCTGCAGCTGATGCAGTCAACATTAGAGACAACAGAGAGAGAAAAGCTGCAGCTTGGTGAGCAGGTTGTGCTCCTGTCACATGACCAGGGCCAGTACGCTGCCCAGTGTGCGGAGCTGGAGCAGCAGGTCAGCCAGGCCACAGAGAACCTGAGCCAGAAAACAGCACAGCTCAACAGCCTGGGTCAGGAGATGGTGCAGCTCCGGTCAGAGTTAAGTCAGCTACAGCTGCAGGTTACTGACCTTAATCAGGTTAAAACAAGCCAGGAAACTCTTCTAGAATCTCACTTGACAACTATACACAACCTAGAGAAAGAATTGAGAGAAGCTTTGGAAGTGACTACAACTGTTTCAACACAATTAGAGGTCAAGCAAACTGAATGTGAGGACTGGATCACCAAGTTAACAGCTGTACAGCTAGAGTTTACTTCATATAAGGATGAGATGGCAGAGAAAATAGAGGCTTTTGAAAATAAATTTTCTAAATTGCAACAGCAACAAGAAGATAAATCTAGAGAATTCAATGAAATGGCTGAAAATCTAGATATTAATAAAACACAAATAGTGGAATTAAAAAATTATATATCAACAAGAGACCTACAGTGTGAAATCATTGAAGAGGAATTGAGAAATATAAAACTATCTCAAGAGTCTCATTTAGCTTGCTTGTTATCAATGTTAACTGAGAAAAAACAGAGGGATATATTGTTGCTCCACTTCCAACAACAGGTAGCAGATCTAGAAGAAAGAAATAAAATCCTGCAGGCCGAGTTATCTCTTAAAGGTGAAGAACTTGCTGGAGAAAAGACCTCACTCTCAGAAGCCCTGAGTAGTTTGCAGAGTGCTGAAGCCCAGCTGAAGGAACTGACAGCTGAACATAGTCAGCTGGTGGTAAACCATGCAGACATCAATCAACAGAGAGAGGAGGCTGAGAGTCAGGTACAGCTGTTTAGTGCCTCACTCAAACAGAAGCAGACTGAGCTTGAAGACATAGAAATTCAGTTGGCTGATTTGAAAGTGAAATTAGAGAAAAAGATGGAAGAATTTGAAGAAAATCTCAAAGTTTTAAATTCAGATCTTGATGTAAGAACACAAGAGTTGACAGCACAGCAAAGTTTATACAACACAATGGTAGAGAAGAACAGTTCTTTGATATATGAATTAGAGGCTATACAACAAATACTGGGCACTGGTAATGATGTCAACCACGAGTCCCCTCAAGGAGGATCTTCTGTACTGAAACTTCTGCTTCAAGAGAAAGAAGCATCTAACAAAGAGTTGCAAGCAGCCAAAGCCAGCAATGAGGATTTTGGAGTAGCCTTGTCCAGTGCCAAAGAAGAGATTGAGAGGCTGAAGGTAGCCAACACAGAACTTGAAGCACAAGTGAGTGGCCTTGATCTTCTGCTTAAGGGTAAAGGGGAAGAACTTGAGCTCAAATGTCATTCTTTAACTGTGGTGGAGGAATCTCTTGCACAGGTGTCAGCAGAACTAGAAGCGGCTAAAGAGAAAGTTTTACAGCTTGAAACAGAGTGTAAAAAGTCAATGTCTTCAATAGAGCAACTAACTGAGCTCAGGCATGAGTTGCAGGAGGAGATGGAGAAGTTGAGAACAGAGTACACCAAGTTACAATCTGTACTAGAGGAGGCTAGAGGACAGCTAACCTGTAGTGAGAAGCAAAGAGTAGATTTAGAATCAACAGTTAGTCAGCTGTCTGAAGAAATCAACACACTTCATTCAACCATCACAACACTTACTGGTGAGAAAGATAATCTCAGTCTGCAGTTAGAAGAAAAATTGAAAGAACATAATCATTTGATGCATGAAACAGGAAGTTTGAAGGATGAACTGAAGCTGATCACTTCTCAGCTGAATCTGAAGGAACACGAGGTCCAGCATATTGCTGATGAGAAGAAACAGGTAGAGTCTTCCTTAACTCAAACCATAACATCCTTGCAGTCACAGATCAGTATTCTTTCGGAAGAAAAGTTGAAGGCAGAGGAAGATTCAAGAGTCATCACATCATCAATGCAGAATGCTACGGAAGTTTTGAGATATGAGATAGACAATTTGACAGAAGAGAAAGCTAAACTTGAAGAGGAAAAAATCTCTGTAGTAAAAGAGTTACAAGATAACATTTCGTCTTTGAATGAAAAGGTGGCTTCACTGACCAGTGAGGTCTCTAGACTGAACAGGGAGAATCTCCAGATTGACCAGTGTATGCAGGATATGGCCAACAGCTTAAAGGATTTGAGAAATGACAAGCTTCGATTGGAGGATCAAAATGCTGAGCTAGAAAGTACGTTAAAGGCTGCAGAGATGAACCTAGACACATTGTCAAGTCAGAATGCTGAGTTAAATGAAAATTTGATGCTGTCTTCAAGCAAGCTCAAACAGGTCAACAAGCACCTCCAAGATACTGTGGACTATCTGCAGTCATTCATCAGTGAACAAAGTGCCATCATCACAGTGCTGCAAGAAGACTCCATGAAACAACAGGACACAGAGCACTCTCTGCTGGCCATTGCTGCCTCCTCACAGAAACTGATCAGAGATGGCAGGAGGAACCTTGAACTCTTACAACAAGAGCTGGACAAGTCTTTGAGTGAAAAGTCTGAGCTGGGCAGAGTTAATTTAGAACTTGAACAGAAATTGGAGGAAGTCACTGAGATGTTTCATGAGATGTCTGAGGAAACGCTGAAAGTTGAGAAAAATCTGGGTGAGTCTGTGTCTGAGCTCTATGAAGCAGTTGACAAACTAGAAAAAGAAAACAATGATAAAGAAGAAGCCATGCATGTTTTACAAGCAGAGTTAGATTCAACACTGGTGTTACTAAAGGAAAGAGAGGAGAGTTTGAAGAAGGTAGATGAGAGACTACAGCAAGTTGAGTCTGATTATGGCCATGATTCTCATACCATGGGAGAACAGTTGCAGAGAGCGCTGGATAAAAACCTGGCTTATGAGAGTGATATAGCAACACTGAAACAGGAAATTGAGAATCTGGATGTGAATTTAAAAGGCAAAGAAGAACAGATAAGTCACTTGGAGCAGCAGTATCAGGGCATGTTTCTTGAGCTGAAGACAGAAATTTTACAACTTGAACATAAGCTCAGTGATGCAGCTAACAGTTTACAGGAATCCATGAGGGAAGCGGAAGTCTTAAAATCAGAAATTGTTAGTTTACATGAGGAAATGGAGGCAAAAACCAAAGAAGTATTTAGGTATCAAGCTGATCTGACAACACTCCAGCAAGGCTTGAAGGAGAGAGACGAGGCAGTATCTGGCTTGGAGCAGGAGAAGCTGAAACTGGCAGGGGAAGTTGAGAACTTGAAGGAACTCTTAGAGCAACAACAAAGTCTAGCTGGAGCATCAGCTCAGGAGTACCTCGGGGAAATTTCAAACCTGAGGGAAACACTGTCAAGAAAATCTGAAGAGGCTTTAAACATCCAGTCACAAAATGACATGTTAACTGCAGCAGTTGAGGAACTGACCGAACAACTCTTTTCACAGGAAACTCGCTATTTGTTTATGGAACGTAGCGCTGCCACTCAAAAGTCATCCGAACATCAGAAGGTCATTGAACTTGAGGAGAAACTTAAACAAGCCAATGATGAGAATGCCAGCAAACTATTAGAGCTATCATTACAAGCTGAAACAGAATCCAAAAGACTTTATCACCAAATCTTTGAAATGGAAGGCCAGCTGGAAGAGAAAGATGTGCAGCTGAGCACACTGAATCTAAAATACAATAATGTCAATGAATCTTTCATGGAACTAACATCGGAGCTGAAAGACCTCAAAGAAATGATGCATGAGCACAGGAAGTCTCATGTCGACTCTGAAAATGTTATTGCTGCATTGGAAAATAAACACCAAGAGAAAGACTGCCTAGTGCGAGAACTCAGCACCCAGCTCAGATCTTCTCATCAGCATGTTGAAGCTGTTCAAAGTGAGCTTGGAGAATCCATCTCAGAAATCACACGCAAAGGCATCATCATCCGTGATCTGGAGACAGAGATTGAAACACTAGTCAAGTGCAAAGAGAATGCAGACAATGAAATGTCAAACATGCGTGAGACTTGCAGAGAGATGCAAATGATGGTGGAGATACTGAAAGAAGAGAAACAGAAAAATGACCATACACTGAGCCGGAATCTGGAAAAAGTGAACACAGCCCTCTTTGAGGAGAGAACCAAAAATGGGAAGCTCCAGAAAGGGATGAGAGAGCTGAAAAACAATATGTACAAGATAGTGAAAGAGAGGCAGCAGGCAGAGGATAACCTTTCAAAGAAAGCAGAGATGCTCCAGACGGCTGTATCAAAGAGAAAATCTGAGTTGGATGCTCTGAGCAGTAACATTGGCAGGTGCAAGAGTAACCAGGAGAGTGTCAGGTCTGGCCTGGTGGAATACAGAGCAGAAGTCAGCCAGGCCAGGGAGAGCCTGCAGGCCACCAAGAACAGCCTCAATGACAAACTTGCTGACTTTGATGAGACCAAGTCCAACATCTCTAAGCTGATACAAGACACAGTTGCCAGCAAGTCTGTTCTGGACGAGGCCAAGGAAGATTTACTCAACATTAGGGAGTCATCCAAGCTCTGTCATGACACTCTGATAGATCTGGAGCAACAGTTGAAATATGAGGTGGAAGAAAAGAAAAACCTGAAGAAAGCCTTTGATGACCTGACTCAGTCCCTGAACGTGGTCCAGAGCTTGTTGAATGCCTCCAAGGAAGATTTGAAGTGTGAGACAGAGAAGCACCAGCTGCTAGTGACTGAGTTCAAGGAGAACTTGGATGCTCAGCTTAGACTCCAGCAAGAGATGGTCAACATCAGGTCCCAGCTGTCTGAAACACTGGTCATTGTTGCCAAAGCTGATTCTAAAATCCAAGACCAGGCATCACTCATGGAACATTTGAGCAATGAAATGGAGTCTTTGTCTTCTCAGCATGCAGCTAGCCTGGTTCAGTTTACTCTAGAGAAAGAGGCATTGGAGGCTGTGTGTGCCAAGCAGGAGGAGGAGCTTGAGAAAGAGAAACAACACAATGTGAACCTGAACGCTGAGCTCACCAAAGCTGTTGAGGAGTACACGTTTCTCAAGCAGATCTCTGATTTTACCAGCAAGGAACTCAAGGAGCTGCACACCAAGAATTCAGATGCTGAAAACAGCCTTCAAGAGACTAAAGCCAAACTGCATGAGGCCTATTTGGAACAGGAGAAGCTGAAAACAGAAATGTTATTGGTGCATGAAAGTTTATCTCAGGGCATGGAAGAAAGTTTGACACAGGCACAAGAGAAGGCACAGAAAGTATCAGATTTGCAGGCTCAGATTTCATCCACAGAAGAGGAAATCCTCCACCTGAAGAGTTGTATAGAAGAGAAGAACACCCAAATCAACCTACTTTACAGCTCTTGCTGGGATGCAGAAGAAAGAGCTGAAGCAGCAGGGGCTTCCCTGGACATCATGTCTAAAGCCAAGAAGCACTTGCTCAGTGAAGTAGATCATCTCCAGTGTCTGGTGGAATCAATGTCAGCTGAAAAATCTTTGACTGTTTGTGCCTTTCAGCAGCAAAACCAAGATTTGGAGTTAAAATTGGCAGAACAAAGTGCTTTGTCCTTAACTTTAAAAGAAGAAATATGTCTTCTAGAGAAATGTCAGAATGAGCTCTCCATTCAGATAGAACAAGAGATGGCTGAAAAAGTTGAAATGCAAAAAGAAAGAGAAGATTTGTTAGCCAAAATCTCCAGCCTGGAGCTAGCATTGTCTCAGCTGACTGATGCTAAACTTAGTCTGGATAGCCACATTGTAGAACTGGAAACTGTATCTGCTGCCAGCTCAGAAGAAAAGAGGAACATCCAGCAGTGTTATGAGAGCACAGCTGGAGATCTGCTCCAGGTCAAAGCCTTGCTGGAGAAGGAAACTGAGAGAACTAAAACACAGGAGGAACAGCTACAGGCTACAGAGTCCACCCTGAGAGATGCCCAGTCACACAATGAGAAGAGATTTGATGAGCTGCAGGCCCAGATCAGTGTGTTGGACAAGGACAAGTGTGGGTTGGGGGAGGAATTGGAGAGCTTGAGAAAAGAATACAAAAATTGCTTGGACAAAGTAACTGAAGCAGAACAAGCTCTTGCAGCCAGCATCAAAGATATTGATGATCTCAGTGCTTCCTTAGCAAAGGAGAAGCAATCTTGTGAGATGTTACAAAGAGAAAAAGAGCGCCTGCTTGAGCGTGAGAGTGAACAGGTCCAACAAATGCAACTAACTAATAATGAATTGACTCACTATAAATGTTTGGTAGAGGAAATGGACAGTGCCAGTAACACTGATGTTGTTTTCCTCCAGAGTGAGATGCTCTCTCTAAGAGACAGCTGTGAAGCTCAGACTGCTGCATTGAGTAAAGTCCTGCATGACAAACTGCTCCTGGAAACCAAACTGGCAGGTCTATCCCAGTCTTCCAACTTACAAATCACACAGCTGCATTCTTTAAGACAGACCTTGACCTCTTCCTCTCAGCTTATAGACACTTGTCTAACAATGGTGTCTGAAGAGAATAGATATAAATCAGCTGAGAGCAGCAACTGTTCCCTGGAGAACACAGAGCTAGCAAACCTGGAACTTGCAGAAGGACTGAGCCCCAGTAAATCATCCCCACCTGAAAGACAGTCTGACGAAGAAGACAGGCAAGACACACCAGATGGGCAAGAGACACTAGATGACCTGAGTTCTCTAGACTGGTGTCCAGCTTTAATCTCCAGCTTTGAACACAAGTTGGACAGGTTCAACAAGTCCTGCAGTCTTTTACTTACAGACAAAATAGCACTGGAAAGAGAGCATAAAAATTTGTTAAGTCTACTGGATGATGCTGTGGTAGAGAGGGAGGCACTAGAGGCCCAGCTACAGGAGACCAGGTCCCTGTGTCAGCCCCTGCAAGAAGAGGTCATTGAAATGAACAGAGAACTAGAAACATTAAAGGATGTCATGGCTGATAAGGAAGTCAGCACCCAGTTAATCAATGAGGTGAAGGATACCTTTGGAAGACATGTTCAGGAGCTGAAGGAATCTCTCAGGACTTTATCAGAGGAGAGAGAAGCAGAGAGGCAGGAGAAGGACTTTATTGTGGAGGTGCTACAGGAGTCTGAGCTCAGGTACCAGAGCCTGGAGTCTGAGTTCAGCAGCATCAAGTTGAAATATGCTAGTGAGATCTCTGAGGCTAAGGCCACTCTTGTTACACTTGAAAACCTGTGTGCCCAGCTAAAACAGGAGAGAGAAGAGTTAAACAGCACCATAGGTGTCTTAAGGTCTAGTGTTGAGAGTACAAGCCATGACATGGACCAGATGGTGCTCAAGTTTGAAGAGGACAGGAGGCAATCAGAAAGTCAGATGGAGTTGGCACAACAAGACAAGGACAATGACATCAAGCAACTGAGATCATTGCTGGAGCAATCACAACTTGATCAGGAAAGTTTAAAGAACAAGTTGGATGAAATGAAGAACAGTTGCTCATCACTTGAGGCTGAGAGGCTTGAACTGTGTGGACAACTTGAGAGTTACAGAACAGCCCAGAGTGTGGAGCTGGTACAGCTAGGTGTTGAGAACCAACAGCTGGAAGCCCAGGTCTCAGAGTTGACAGAGGAGCTGTGTGACTGCAAGAAGACAGTGGAGGCACTGCAGGAGCAAGTTAGTCTGGCTGAACAGGATTCTGGACACCTCAGGCATGAACTTGATCTAGCTCAAAAAGAAAAACATGATCATGAAAGTAGCATTAGTGACTTAAAGATGAAGGTGGCAAATTTAGAAGAAACAGTCGCAGACAAAGAGCAGGAAATTAATTTACAATTAGGCAGAATTAGTGAGCTTGAAATGATTGTGTTAAGTCAAGAAACCTCTGTAAAGCACCTGAAAGCCCAGGTAGATTCTGTCCATTCTTTGATCCCTGTAGCCAACCCACCAGACAGCACCTCCCCTTTGGTTTCCACCACCCCCAACACTGTGTCTGTCCCCCCAGTAGAGTGTGGTAATGGGTCTATGGTAGATGTCCCATCTTTACAGCCATCATTTTCTCAGGTCACAGGTTCAGCCATCAGCTCAGTGGAGGGTAAGGTCAATGAATCAGATCTTCAAGTCCAGCACATGGAGACAAAACATATGGAAGAGATGAGGTCACTTGAGGTCACAGTAAGTCAGTTGAGAGTAGATCTGGAGCATGAGAAACACTCAAGGCAAGAGCTGGAACAACAGCTCAAGAAGAAAGACAAAGTCATTCAGGGTTTGCATTTGAAGGCCAAAAGGGCAGCCAAGTTGGCCAAACAACAAGTAACGGATGCTTTAGAAGATGCTGCTGCAAAAGTGGAAGAGGATAGCTTTTTAGCCATGTCTTGGTCCCAGAGTTCTGATGACTTAGCTGAGCAGTCAGAGGACCAGAGGCAGTTTCACCAGCTCTTGTCACAGTATCAGAAGGTGGCCATAGAAAAGGATGCCCTGAGAGAGATGATCAGTGAGAAAGATGCTGAGATTGTCAGACTTCAGACACAGTATTATGAGGCAGAGTTACAATGGAAGGAGGTCATCCAGTTCCATGAGAACAAATCTGAACAGAAAGCTGAGGCCAAACTTCCAACTGTGAATGTGGCACTTCAAACAGATGAGGTCAGCAAAAGTGTGACCCCAACTTCACATCAGGAAACTATGCAATCTTTCACTGAACCAGAATTGACCGTAGAGACACACGATCAATTTAAAGAAGCTTTAGCCCAGATCAGCAGCTACCAAGAGAAAATTAGTGAGTTAACCCAGTTGTCAGCAGACAAGTCCATCCTTGTTGTGGCATTAGAGGAGGAGCTGTTGGCTAAAAATGAAATGATTGAAACTCTGAAGAAAGATAATGCTAACATTCAGTTTTCTAGTCACATGGAGGTAGAGAGGTTAAACTTTGAAATTAGAAATCTGGAATCCCAAATTCATAATCTGAAAGAGAATGTCAAAGTGTTTGAGATGGAGAGTCAGGGTAGAAGTAGCCATGTTGAGATATACTCAGCTAGGTATGAACAGGTGGAGACTTTACTGCAGGCAGAGAAAGAGGTGGTTGAGAAATTGAAATCAGAGCTTGAGGAGCAAAACAATAAAATTAATGTTCTGGAGTCTGTTTTAAAGGAAATGTACGGAAACCTGGATGAGAGCAGCACCAAAATAGGACACTTGAATGCTCAGCTGGAGAGCACAACTAGTGAACTCAGTGAATTAAAAACACAGAAAGAAGAAATGTCTAAAACTATAAAAAAGAAAGATGCAAAAATTGTAGCTTTAACAAAGAGGATTAACTCATCAACTCCAAAGAAGGAGAGAATGCCATCACTTCCAGAGTCTCCATTAATAAAAGATAATCAAAAAGAAGGATCAGAAGCTGTTGAGCAGAGTCCTATTCTGGGACCTGATGATCATCCTCTAGCTTCTGAGCTTGAGCGGCATCAAGATATAGAGACCTTTAAGGCTGAAGTCCTGGGGTTAAGGAAACTCATCAAAAAGAAAGATGCACAGCTTCTCTCTGTAAATAAAAAGTTAAAGTCCCTACAAACTGAGCATGGGAAGCTGTCCACTGCCACAAGTGTGGAGTCTGTTGCAGACACCACAGGGAGGCTGTCGGTGATGTCTTTCAGTGGCAGCAGATCCACTGTTTATAATGATGATGTTGTAGAGTTAAATGAAAGACTTAGGCAGTGTGAGCACCAGAAGGAGGCCTTAGAATGCCAGATTCGGGATCTGGAAATTGATCTGGACAATGCTAAAGAGGAGCTGCTGAACATGCGGCATGAGCTGGAGGACTTGCAGGAAGAGCTTCACTTTGTCTCCAGAGACAAGAGAGCTCTGGAGAGTTGTGTCTTTGACATCAGGGACATGGCCAACTCCCAGGCTGTGGAGCAGTTTGCTGGAGAAGATCTCTTGTACTCCACAGCTGAGGCTGTCAGGCTGCTGGTTGAGGAGAAATATTCCGCAGAGAAAAATCTTTCAGACTTGCAGAGCTGGGCTCACAATCTGGAACGCGAGAATAAAGACTTGACCTGCATGGTTGAGTCAAGGGACATAATTCAGAAACTAGAATTCGACATTGAGGATATAAGTAAAAAGTATAGCGAGACTTGTAGTCAGTTAGAAGATTCCATCGCAAAGATTGATGTCTTAAACCAACAGCTAGCAACTGTGAAATCTGATCTTGAAGATAATTTAAAGAGAAGAGAAGAATTAGAATGGCAGTCGAAAGAATCTACGCAAAGTTTGCAGCAAATGCAGCATGAGATATCCATCTTGAGAAACGATAAAAGTGTGCTGGAGCAGCATTTGAATGGTTTAAAAGATTCCCATCTACAGCAAGCTGGTGATGCCAACCAGATGTACCAGTCCCAGCTCAATGACCTGAGTCAAAGATTGAGACACACTCAAGAAGAGAAAGAAGAGCTGTCCAGACAACTAACGTTGTGTAAGGAGGAGATCAGCAAGTGTCAGAGTTCACAGCATGATGCATATGAACTGGTTACAGACTTACAGACTAGACTGAGAGAGATGGAAGATTCCCATCACAGTCAAACCCAGGAGCTGGTGGCTCAGCTGACTGCATCAGAGCAACTCAAACAAAGCTTGTACCAAGATATCCAAGCATTACAAGAAAACCTGCAGACCCAGGTGAATGCTAACCATGATATGCAGTTAAGGATCAACTCCATAGACAAACAGTTTGAGGAGACAGAGTCCAATAAAAATTTGATGCATGCTAAATTAGCAGAGTCTGAGACCAAAATTGGCGAACTTAGAAATATGTTGAAAAATAAAGAATCCAAAATGCAAAAAATATCAAGCGATTATGATGAACTTGCTGTTCAGTATGAAAAGCTTCAAAATCAAATTCTTAAGGCAGATCATGATCACGAAGCTGTGAAAGAGCAGCTGATCCACCAACAGAGTTTGTTGGAGCGCCAGATCCTGGAGATGAAAGAGGCTGGTGAGAAAGTGATTGAACTAACTCAGGAAAATATTGCAGTCACAGAGCAGTTGAGGCTAGAGCAGTCCAAATGTTCTGATCTGGTCTTACAGAACTCTTCACTTTTGGAGCAGCTGGACCATCACAAAACTCTACTTCAGCAAACTATGGATGAAAGACAGTCAGTGATTGGACAGTTTGAAACTTTTCAAAAGTTGGAGGCGGAGCTCTATGAGATGAGAGCAGCACAGCAGGCTGTGGCAGAAGAAAATGTCAACTTCCAGAAATTGTTGTCTGAAAAAGATGACAGCTTGAAGTCTTACACTGAGCATCTGACTTCCCTATGTCAGTTAGTTCACATCCATGAACTCTCTTTTACAGATTTGTACCAAGCCATTCAGACACTCTCCTCTAGAGCTAGTCTAGCAGAGTTTCATGAAAATAAGTGTTTTTCTCTACAAAATGATCTGGCAGCTAAAACTGAGGACTTTCTATCTCTACAACATCATATGACTGAAATGGAGATGTCATCTTCAACCAGCATTCAAAATCTAGAGCAGGAGATAGCTGGGCTAAGGTTTGAACTTTCTATAAAAGATTCATCAGCCAAATCAGTGGAGAGCCTAGAGCAAGAGCTGAATAATTTGAGAGAAGAATTGATTTCATGCCAGCATCACAGTGCAACCGAGCTAGAAACAGTGAAAGGAGTGAATGCACAACTCCAGGAAGAAAGAGATGTTTTAAAAAGTGTGAATGAAAGGCAGCTCCAGAGTCTACACAGTCTGGAATTGCTTGTTGAGGAACAGAGAAACAAACTTGAGAAATATGAAGCAGAGATCCAGCAGTATGAAATCAAGCTGGTGGCATGTGAATCACAGATACAGCAGTTACATCTGCAGCTTGCACAAGAAGGGGACAGCACTCAGCTGATTACAACTCTAAGCTCTTCTCTTGCTGAAGAACAACAAAAGTCTCATGAACTCCTCATCCAAGTTGAGCAGTTACAAGTATCTGTGCAAGAAAATGAAAGCCTAAAGGAACATTGTAGAGTTTTAGCCGATGATTTGAGGGAGTCTGAGAACAAGCTGTTAGCACTGAGCCATCAACACAGCTCACTGCTCAGACAGCATGAGACAGCTGTGGACAAGATGACATCTTTTGAAGAGGAGGATGCAACCCTGAAGCACAAGCTGGAGGAGCTGTCTGCCAGGAGTGAGGTGATGTCTGATGAAGCAATGCAGAGTTTACGTGATCAGATCTCAGATCTCTCTGGTCATCTCCAGAAGTCTGAAAGTTTTGTTCAAACTCTGCTGCTAGATAGGGACAACCTGTGCAAACAACTTGAAACTACACAATTCTCTCTGTTAGAAAAGGAAACTAAAAGCCAACAACTACAAGAGAATGATTCAGAACATGTAGTCAACACAGTTACTGAAAAATCTGTAATAGAAGCTTCTGCGCCGCCTGCTATTCCAGATCAACCACATAAAAAAGTTGAAGAACTCACCTTGAAAGTAAAAGATCTTCAAAAATTGCTGAAGAAAAAAGATGCCAAAATAGCCTCTCTTTCTAAAAAGCTGGATCAATCATTGGCTGCCACCAAACAGCAAAAGCTAGTAGACCAACAAGTAGACTCTCAAGTGAATACTTTTTCTTCAGAACCAGGAACTGCCATCCCTGTCACAAAGCAGCAGACTGTCTCTAACCCACCTGAACCAGAGCCGTCAGCAAACACTCTAGTTGACCTCCAGCAGGGCACAAGTCCACCCTCTGACCAGACATCTGCATCCATGTCCTCATCCAATTCTGAGACATCTCCTAGTGATGAGAAGACAGCTTTGGAAGCCGAAGTCTTCAGACTTCAGTCCTGGGTCGACTACCTACAGCAGCAAGTTAACAATGGGGAATATTCACTCCAGCAGGCCAATGCAGAGATTTATAACCTGCGGGATACAATTCAGCACCTGCCGCACCAGATCATCATCCAAGATGAATCTGTTCCTGAATCCACTGTATCGGTTGAAGAGCTGGAAGAAAAGTTGAAGCTTTTGGAGGGGAACTTAAGCTCTAGTTCGCAGCATGTAAGGACAAAGCTCGACTTACTATGCACCTATACTATGGTTGCCTTGCTAAACATGACTAATATTCGAGTTGCTTTTGCTTTAGTTTGATTATACTGTTTATAATTACAGTGAAGAATTGGTTTGAATTCATCAGGCACAAATTTTGAAATCTTCTAAAGCAATAGATAACATTTCTGTTTTAAATTCAATAATTTTAATCAACTTTTAATGAATTCAAAATTACTTAAACCAATTTTTCATAAAACTTAAAATTTCTTTGATTTCGACTGATTTTGACTTGTTGTATTTTTCAACTTATACTAATGTTTATATATTAAACTTGAATCCCTTAAAATCTTCTGGTTAAAATAAACAACTTATACCCAGAAGAGCTGTCATATATTTTCAAATGACACAACTTATATAAGTTTCTCATGTTCCACTGATGCACTTTTTTGTCTTGTTAATCAGTGTGTTCTAAGTTTTGCTCTATTAATTACATCCTGTAGAATGTATTTAGCTGTTACATAGCTAGATGTGTGATGGGGCGTACAACATTTATTTGCCAACTAATACTAACCTATTCAATAGAGATATCAATTTTTATAAATCAATCTGATATGTTTAAGTGTTACCTATTTAATTCAGCATTAGCATACAGTAGTTAATTCTTTCATGTCTTAATTTAAATGATTTAGATCTAGTTTTTATATGCTGTTAATTTTAGTACATTATACAATGTTGAAATATGAAGATAGAAATTAAATTAAGTAGTTTCGCTTTAAGTACCTAGTCATTTATACATGAATTCTTCACTAGTTTTTATAGATGTATTCATCTCTTTTGCTAGATGTATTCATCTCTTTGGCTAATATAACAATGCTTGCCTTAAAATAATCATCAGATTTCCTCAACTTGTATTTATTTACCCTTCATATATTTTGGTATTGGTTTAGTCAGTAGCTTGCCATGTATTGCAGATAACAAGTATAGAAACACCCTTTTACTTAACAATATTCAATGAACTCACCAATTTAATTAAATCCACAATACTATGATCAGTAAAATATTCATTACTTCTGAAGTGAAATAACACAAACCTCATTAATTTTCAGGCAATTACTTTAACTCAGAGTCTTGAAGAGGCCACCAAGCAGATAGATGAAGCACATGCACAGATCAAAGAACTAGAAGAGGCCAGAACAGTTCTAGAGGCCCAACTGTCAGAAGCCACTGCAACCCTCACAGAGACAGTAAATCAACTCTCTGATTCCCAGACCCAGTTGTCTAGCTTGGAGGCTGAAGCTGAGAGGTTAAAGATACTGTTGGCAGCTGAACAGGCAGAGAGGGAAAATCTGGAGGGGACCACTGCTGATTTACAAACACAGCTGTCTAGCTTGGAGGCTGAAGCTGAGAGGTTAAAGATACTGTTGGCAGCTGAACAGGCAGAGAGAGAAAATCTGGAGGGGACCACTGCTGATTTACAAACACAGCTGAAGAAGGAAGAAGAATCTAAGATTACACTCCAAACAATGCTAGCTGAGAGTGAAGATCACAAGAAATCCATTGAGCACATGGTGACCAACCTAGAGAGGGATAACAGGGAATATCTAGAGAGGATAGCAGAGCTGACTGAGGATTATGAAACTCAGCTGACTACACTGAAAGAAAAAATGTCACTTTCTCACACAGAGAACCAAAGTCTCAGGCATGATTACGAGGTGTTGAAGTCTCAAGCTGAAATGTCCAGCACTCTTGTAGAGCAGTACCAGCAGTCTTCTACTGAGAAGGAGCAGGAACTGGTTACACAACTTATGTCCAAAGCAGAAGAAGTGGCTGTAAATCAGCAGGTGATTGCTCAGAAAACTTTAGAGCTGCAAGAACTCTGCTCTCTCTTTTCAGAGGCTGAGAAAACAATTAGTTCACTGCAAGATAGTCTTAATTCAACTAAAAATGATCTTGAGCACCACATAGCTTTGAAAGAAAAACTAGAAACTGAGATTTCATCTACCAGTTCTGAGCTCCAGCAAAAGTTGGGTAGCCTTGAAGAGGAGAGACTTTCTCTGAATGAGTCTTTAGCTCAAAAAACTTGTGAGTGCAGCTCTCTAACTGAGAAGCTGGGAGCACTCAATGAACAGTTTGTTTTGCTACAAGAAGAGAAACATAAACTGGAAGAGAATAAGTCTGGACTACGGTCCCAGGTGGAGCAACAGGAAATTCTACAGCAACAGATTGCCAGTCTGCAAGCTCAGAATGAGAATTTATCAGAGCTGTCTGGGGAGAATCAGGAGAAGTACCTGTCTCTTCAGGCCAGATGTACAGAGCTGGAGTCTCAGACAACCAGTCTCACTTCACAGTTACAGGCAGCACAAGAAAGGGAGAGTTTGCTGGTTGCAGATTTGGATAGAGTGGTCAAAGATAAAGAGGCCCTCAATGAGGAGTTTAAAGAACTTTCTAGTAAATACACAGCTTTGATCAGCGATGAGGCTATAGCACTGGAAGAAAAAGAGGCCAAAATCTTAACTTTGCTTGAAGAAGCTGAAGCTCTAAAACTTTTGCTGTCAGAAAAGGAAGGTCTTCTCACTGAGAGGGAATCCATGTTGTCTGATGTCAACCTCAGACTTGACGCTCTACAGTCTGAGAAAGAGAGACTTGTTGAAGAGGTAATTATACGCATTCTTGTTAAATACTAGTTTTTGTCAACAAAAAAAATAATTTTTTGTGTCATTTAAATCCATAGTATTTGTGTCTTTAAAAAATGATGTGTTTTTAATTTACCACAGGATGTTATTAAAATTTAATGGTTAAGTTAAAACTAAAATCACATCTGTTGTGATAAAATTCTGTTGAAATATTGCATTTTGTTTTCATGAATAAGAAATATTTTCTGATGTCTTTTCAAACAAAATAGAATCTAATTTTAACTGGAAAAAGTGAAAAAAAGATAAACTAGCTTTTAAAATATAATAATGTAGTCTAATCTTAATAGATCTAGAGAGACCTTTTTTTTGTTACAATGAACAATGTTATCAAGTTCAGTTACAAGAATATATTTATTTGTTAGTTTATATATGGTTGCTTTATACAAATGGATAGAAAGAAATCAAAGCAAATATTGTGGTTAAAATGCAGATATTGAATAAGATTGTTTTTTTCCTCTAAATATTCTTGTATAAAAATGAAGTTTCTGAAATCAATTTTTAACTAGTTCTTATAAAAATGCAATCAATTTTTACTCAAATCTAAATTCAAGCAACTGTCTTTAATTTTCAGCATGATACTGCATTAAAGTCAGTAGCTGTAAAAGATCAAAAGATTCAGTACCTGCTAGAGAACATGCAAGAAATGGAAGACCGTCTAGTCCAGTTAGAAGATCAGCGCTCAAGCCAGACAACAGAGTCTCAAGTTCCTTCACAGACTGAGGAAATGGAACAGTTAAAGGCAGCACTTGCAGAGAAGGAGAAAGCTTATGCAGATAAAGAATTAATGGCTAAAAAGGCACTTGCTACTGCTAAAAAACTCAAATTTCAGCTGACGCAAGCAACAAAAACCCTTGAAGAAAATAAAGTCCAGATCACTCAGTTGACCCAAGAGAATCAAAACCTCCAGGTGCAGGTTTCAAGCCTGGTTCCCTCATCTGTGGCCCCAGCAACTTCTGATATGACAGACTCTCATGTAGCACCAGTGACTGATCCTCCCTTAGACACTAGCATTGCTATGAGTGAGGCTGATGTCTCCCTCAACACAACTCTCCAGCTGAAGGAGGAGAATGTCTCTCTGGAACTGGAAAGTCTTCACTCCCAGATCTCCACCTACAGGGAATGCTGTGAGCAGCTGCAGCAGCAGGTCCAGTCCCTGACAGAGACGGTGTATGAGAGCGAGGCCAAGCTGAAGAAGAAGCAAACTGAGGTAGACCAGCTGGAAGGTGTCAAAGAAGGGCTGAAGCTGACTGTCACTGAAGTGGAGTCTGCTTATCAGCGTCTGCAGGAAGAATTTGAGAAGGCTCAAGTTGAATTTCTCACCACGAAGGAAGATTTGGAAAAGAATGCCTTGCTGTTAACAGAGCAGTCGCAGCAATGGAAGTCATTTGTTGATAATCTACAGAAAGAGTTATCTGCCAAAGATGAGAGCATGAATCATTTGAAGGAAGAACTTGCTCAAAGTCATGTAGAGCAGGCTAATGCAGACCAGTTACATGGTAGTTTGGTAGAGAAGGATGAGAAAATACTAGAACTAGCATCAGATATCTCAGCCCTGCAAGAGATGTGCACTAGAGAAAAAAATACAACAGAAGATTTGAGGCAGCAGCTTCTGGCTCTTGAAGAAAGCAGTGCTGTGTATAGGGATGAACAAGTCAGGATTGTATCACAGCTGCAGAGTCTAATCACTGGTAAAGATTCTGAGCTGAGAGAATTGGAAGAGACTTTGGTGAAACAAAAGTCAGATTTTGAATTGAAAGAGCAAAGTCTGCTGTCTCAGATAAGTGGCCTTGATCGTCAAATAGAGGATCACAAGAACCAGTTTGTCAACATGACGAGTGTCCTGGACAGTGCACAACATGAGAGGGATGAAGCTCTAGCAGATGCTGAACACCTCAAACAACAACTTGATGCACAGAGTGCTCAGATTTTGGAGTTACAGGAACTAGTTGAAGCTCTTAAGGTACAAGTATCCCAGGGAAGTGAGAGAAATGAAGAATTTGAAACTCTCCAGTCTGCTTTGTTAGAATTCCAGCACCAAGTTGAGGATCAGAGGCTTGTCATCGCCAGCATGGAGGAGAAGATGAAAGTCACAGGAAGTGAAGAATCTTCCAAACAGATGGAGTTGTCTGAAGATTTGAATCTTGTGGGCTACCAGGCCATGGCGGAAGAGCTGAACCAGGAGCTCATGGCACTGAAGCGAGACAAGGAACTCATGGTACAAGAGTCCACAGAGAGTGACATGAGGGAGTGGCAGTCTAAACTTGAGGAAGCTCTGACCACAAAATCTGCTCTAGAACAAGAGAGGGACCAGCTGCAGCAGGAACTTGCTGGTCAGCTTGACATTTCTAAGAGGATGCAAGAAGTTGTCACTGAGAAACTGTCCCAGGTGCAGAACTTACAAAATTCTTATGAGAAACTAGAGGCTGCCTTGTCAGGTTTGGCTAGTGAAAAGGAACAGCTGCTGGAAGCTGTGGATAATTATAAAGGGGAAATTGAAGGCTTAGAGCAAGTCATTGCTGAATATCAGTTTGCTGAGTCTAAGGCCAAAAAGGAATTGGCTCAGGTTAAATCTGAGAAAGATCAGTTGGCCATGGAGGTGGAGAAAGTCAGGCAAGAGCTGGTCCAGAGACAACAGACAGATAGTACCACCCAAGCAGACACATCTTTGAATGTCTCTGGTTTGGAAGACAGTTCTCAGTGGAGTCAGAGAGTCTCAGAGGATCACATGCAGATGGAAGCTGTTGCATTACAGAGGGCAGCCCCAGCATCTCCCAGCAAAGATGCTTCATCAGAGAAGCTTCACACAGCTGAGCAAAGGCTTGTGCAGGTTCAAGGTCAATATGAGAAAGCCAAAAGCCGTCTGCAAGTTACAGAGGTTAAATGTGAGAAAATGTTGGTCAAGCTGAAGGCATTCAAAGACAAGAATGACAAACTACAAATTCAAGTGAGTTTTGCATTATTTATTTTTTAATGAGTTATTAATTTTTGTATATGAATGTAAAGGATCCATGTCTCATTTATGAATTTTTCTTTAACTATAGTGTCATGAAATAATGAAATATTTTCCAAAAATACAGTTTTTTTTTTTTGTTAGAATAAAGTATTTTGTTTTACACTATTTTAATTGAACATAAAATATTTTTAGGTTGATGAACTTCAACAGAAACTTGGGCTACAGGGTGACTCACCTCAAAGAGACATTAACTTAAGAGAGGAGAGGAGACGTCTAGAAGAGCAGGTCATTTCTTTAAACAACAAACTCAGGCAAACAGAAACCTACAATGGGCAGCTCATTTATGAAAACTCACAATTAAAATCCCAGTTGAAGGAAGTCAGCACATCCCAGAAAGAAGCAAGTCCATCCCAGGACAGCACTAGACTTGAAGATGTCACATCCAAACTTCTAGAGACCCAGTCCCTGCTCCAGTCAAAGACCCAAGAACTTGAGGCCAGCAGGGATCAGGCCATACAACTGGAAGCAACAATTGCTGAGCTGAACTCAGAACTTGAGATCAAGTCACATGCCCCACAAGAAGACAGCACCAGAGAGGAAGTTGGTAGCCTGAAGACCAGTTTGGCAGAGTTACATGAGCAGCTGGAGAAGAAATCCTACCAAGTGGCTCAGCTGGAGACAGACTTGAGAGCAGTCACAGAGGAAAAGATGGCCTTAAAGAATGAAGTAATGAGCCTACAAGACCAGCTGGTCCAGAGCTTGAAGGATGCTGAAGCCACCCTGGTCACAGAGCTGAGCAAACTGCGTGGGGAAATGAACTTTGAACTGTCAGATCTCCAGGAGAAACTTCAGGCCCAAAAATCTGAGTCTCAAACAATCACAGAGGAAAGGGATTTAGAATTAAAAAACAACAGTCTCCTGCGATCAGAGATGCTGCAGCTTGAAGAAGAAATCAGTCGGCTCAACATCCAGCTAGAGAGTGAGAGAGTAACAGCAAGCCAGGCTCACAAGGAAGTGGCAGACATGAGGAACAGGCTGAGTGAGGAGAGGATGCAGTGGGAGGCTGCAGCCAAGGGCAGGGACATGGAGCAGGAAACCAAGCTGGTGTCACTGAATGAACAGCTCCTGACTCTACAGTCACAGTATGATCTCTTATCCAGTGACAATGCTGATTACCAGAGCCTAAACACCAAACTCACCACAAACAACACATCTTTGAAGCGGGAAGTGGAGGAGCTCAGGTTTAAGATGAAGAAACTATCAGAGACACCAGAAGCCAGTGCAGATAAGGACTTGGGAATGTTGAAGAGGCAGCTGGAGGAAGCTGAGACTGAAAGAGATGAGCTGCGGGAAGAGTTTGATGCTGTCAGAGATGAACTTGTGACCCTGAGGAAAGAGAAGACCACTCTAACGCAGCAGGTGAATGACCTCAACTGCTCAGTGCAGCTGCTGACCAACAAGGTCTCCAGCCTTGAAGCAGTCTCTGAGGTGAAAACTGCTGAGCATGTCAAGGTGGAGAGAGTTGTAGCATTAGGTAAATCCCACACGAGCCAAGGTGACATGGCCGCACTGGAGACAGAGCTGATGGAGCTGAAGGAGGAGCTGGTCACAGCACAGGACTCCAATCACCAGCTCAAGTCAGAGATCAGTGGACTTCAATGGAAGCTGGAAGAGGCATCTAACCTGGAGCAGGAGGTTGAAGACTTGCAAGCAGAGCTGTCTTCATCAGCTATGGAGAAGAAAATCCTCTCTCATGATTTGGAAGAGGTCAGGGTTGAGATGTCAGCGCTGCAGACAGACAAGCATCTCCTGATGAAGGAAGTGGAGAGGCTGAGTGAGATGCTGGAGGGCCAGGTCTACTTTGGTAAAGGCTCAGGTGATGGCAAGCCCATCAGTGTCCAAAGGTCCACTAGTGAAGAGGTGCTGCAGATCTTAGCCACTAAAGACTCAGAGATCAGCGACATCCAGAGAATCTTGGATGAGAAAAATCAGGAAATTATCCTCCGTCTGAAAGATGTTGACTCTAGAGATAGCAAATTACTAGAGAAGGAACAAGAGATCAACAAATTGAAGGAAGAAATAGCTGTTATTCTACGTGAAAAGGATCAAGAAATAGAGATATTAAGAAAGGAAATAGAGGTACTAGAAAACAAAATAGAGAATTTGAATGAAGTTGAAAAGAGAGCAGCAGATATCAAGGAAGAGCTTGAACATTCCCTTACAGAAAACAAGTCGCTACTGAAGAGATTGGAGCATTTTAACCTCAAGATTGACACCGTCAAATCATTGGAGGCTGACTTTGACTCACTGAATGCTGACTTTAACAAAGTACTGGAGGAGAAGAGAGAAATGGCTGTGGAGATAGAAGAGCTTCATGTGAAGATACAGGAGCTGATGTCTCGGGAGCAAGAGATCACCTTCAACACTGAGCAGCAGCAACATGTCTTGAGGGAAAAAGAAACTTTACAGAGAAGAGTTGCAGAGCTTGAGGGTACAGAAGGAAACACCATGGAAGAAAATGCCAGAATTAAACAAGAACTAGACAGGGTAGGTTTAGTCAGTAGCTTCATCATATATTGATATTAATTACACCAAAATTGTTGTCTTTAGTTTGCTCATTCAATCAAATAAAGCAAAAGTTGACATTTTCTTCAACCAGATTTTAGCAGCCCTGCAGCAAGCAGAGTTTGACAGAGAGACTTTGATGTCACAGATTCAGTTTACAAAACCTGATGGAACCCCTGGGCCAGAGTTTCAAGAAGAATATTTGAGAATGCAGTCACAGTTCTCTGAGGTCCTAGAACAAAAGAATGCAGTGGTAACACAGTTAAATGAGGCTCTCCACTCCCTAAAACAAAGGGAGGCAAGATGCCAGCAACTTGCTTTGCAGGTAAAAACAGAATGACATTTTTTTCCATTGTTGTCCTTTTCCTTACAGCAGCACTTATTGTTTAGCATACAAAACTTAATTTAATAACTAGTCATTTGATTCTTTGTAATGTATATGTTTTCATGAGTTCATATTCTAAGAAGTGAAAAATGTGTATTATAAGGTGAGTCAGCTGGCAGAAGACAGGGGCTATTTGAACACACAGCTAGCCAACATGTCCAAGGCTTTGAGAGAGAAAGAACAAGAGTGGCTGGCAATAAGACAACAATATGGTGAACTCTATCAGGTTTATATTGCCACTCAGTCTAAGGTGGGTTACTTCCATTTTTAAAAAAACCACTGTTTTGCTTGAAACATGTTACTTTGAGTCAGGTATAATAATTTAAAATTTGATATATCATAGACTGCTGAACTAGAGAGGAGAATAGCTTTAGACTCTGTGCAGAAAGAGTTGGATGAAGAGGAGACAGCAGCTGAAGCCGACCAAGTCCTAGGTCAAAATGATCAAACATTGCAGAGGTGAGGCTTTTCTTTTTAAAAATGTTTTTCTTTTGTTCAAAATTATATCAATTAATAAAAAATGTAATTTAGAAAAGACAAATTATAAAATAGTTAAAGAATAAATTGTACTTTCATCTTACAGATTAAATGAGCTTCAATCTGAGTATCAGAATTTACTAGACTCAAACAATACCTTGAGCACAATTTTGACAAGGGAAAGGACTCTGAGAGAACAAATGGAGAGAGAACTAAGTGAAGCTCAAGAACAGATCAAACTTTTAGCTTCTGGTGTAAATAGAGAGGTATTGAATTTCTATAGTTTGCCACAGTGCATTATATTATAGGTCTTTTATAACCTATTCCATACATTTTTTAAAAACAGTTTAGCAATAAAGTTTCTAAATCACATGTATTACCTATGGTGCAAACATTTTCAGGTGTACCTACAACTAGAAGAGGATAATGACTCAAGAATTCGGGAAACTTCCACTATGCTGAGTAAGCTTTAATGTTTTATGATTCGGTTACGATTCTCAATGGATTTATATCTGATTAATAGGCCTATATATTTTGAAATAATATTCACATATAAATTGTTATATTACAGCTCGACATGGTTTTGGCTATTGTAGCAGAATTCACAGTTGGCTCAGAGTTAAAAAGTATGAAATAAATTTTATTTTCATTTTCTTTTTGCATGCTTTGAAATTTTAAAATCTTATTAAGGCAATACTAAATTATATTTTTTAAGTTCTTCCTTTAGAATATTAACATTAAATTTTTTTCTAAATATATCTTTTAAACACTAATACATAGCCTACATATCAGGTGAATTGTGTTTTTTTTTTCCAACTATTTTTTTAATTTAAAACAAATATTTTAAGATATGTCAAATTAAACTTATAACATGATATTAAAGCAAATTTTTACCACACTTAAACAAATTTTAGTGCTTATTTACAAAATTATTTTTGGCATAATGTTTTTATCATTATTTGCTACATTACAGGAGTGATAGGTAATTAAAAGATTTGCTTTTTCTAACTTGGTGAAATTTTTCATTTACCCTTTTATTTTATTCAACAGAAAAATCCTAAAATAAATTTGTACAGTTCAAATAAAATTTTACTGAAAAGTATAGTGAAATACATAAAGTTAAAAAAAGCAATGACGTAATCATTTCTGCTTCTTCCTTTTAAAAAGTTCCTGCTTTTCTCTTTGGGGTGCATGGTGTAGTGTATACTTACTATATCTTCATGACAGGGCCTACTTCTCCTTTTCCAGCAGACAGCTGAGCCGTGTAATGAGGATGCGACCAGGGCTGAGAACAATCATTTGGATCTACTTTGCTTTTATCCACATCTTGCTGATTGCTTGCTTTGGTGGCTTCTTGTGACAGCCCTCAAACATTGCAGGTTGATTTGTTTTGTTTTCAAATGTCTGTATGACTGGGATTTAGAAAATGTTTGATTGTAATTTATAATCATTATTATTGACTGTTAATTGAACTCAGGTTGTGGTGAATGGTTTTTTTTTTTTAAATTCTGTAATCATACCTTTATTATCAAAGGTGAATGGAATAGGCTTTTAATATTTTTAAACATGAAAATTTGAACCAGAAAACTACTTTTTACTCCTTTTTTTAATTAACTTTCTTATGCTTATTATTTGTATGGATCCATTCCATTTAAGATTTAATGAGGGGTCCATTATAACTTTTAAAATTAATTATTAAAATTGTAAATACTACATGCATTATAAGGTAATGTTGTGCTGTGATCATCTTTCAGTGTGAAAACAAAGTTTTATTTATTTGTAGCTCTTACAACATGTTGGGATAAACTTGGTGCTGTTTCTCAATAATATGATGCTCTTTGAAGTTACTTGTAACATATTGCCATTATAGTGGCTGTTGTTGTATTTGTTTTATATCACTTTGTAGTACTGCCCTTTGTTAAACAATTAATTGCTCTTGAATGCTAGCATTGAAACAGCAGGTAATCTGATGTGTTTCAATGTAAAATATTAAATTCATAAGCTAGAAATGTCTAAAGAATTGTTTGGCTAATTGTGTTCGTTTATTATTGACAATGTAAATATATACAATTACAGTGTAACTGTTTCTTTCCCTTAAGCTCTTATACTGTCAATATTAGAAATATTATACTTTGACAATATTTTAATCAATTGTTTAACATTAAAACTCTATGAAAATTCAAGGTGTTTATCATAACTAGTGATAATTGAAATGTGATTTTTAAACAGATGTTCTAGCATATCAGGTGAGGACACAGTGTATTTACCCTTTCATTTCTATCTCACATTCCAGGGGAAAATAATCACTTATGTTCTTAATAAAAAGATCATCTTAATCTATTTAGTATTATTTTTGCCTATACCTTAGTTTGTACTATTTGCATACTCATTTATGTGTTACATTCCATTTTTTTTTTTTACCTTTTCTCATTTTGCTTGGGCTTAAATAGATGTAGGTTGTGATATTTCAGTACTGAAGTCTGTGTTTGCATTTAGTGGTACTGTTGTAAATAATCTGCTTTCAACTAGGTCATGTTAAAAGTGAATCTGGTTCTTTTTAGTGAATTACAGTTCACATCTTAAATTGTATATATCATTACTGTGTAATTACAAAAAATATTGTCATTGTTGAACATGAATTTAACTGAATAAATAAATTATTTTATTGACTTTTTTATTTTCTTGAGTGAAACATGGTTTGTTGTCTGTAGTTATTTGCTATAAGAAAGGCAGTCACTACAGTCCATCAGTACATGGAACTATTTCACTAGGTTTGGTATGTGCAACAACATGGCAGCAAGGGCTGGTGGAAAAAGGACTGCATTTTCAGCTTCCTTTACAGGAGTTACTGTAGAATCATTTACTATTAGCAATGTCGTTAATTAGTTCCATTTTTGCCTTTCTGACATGCCCACACTCTGAATGTTCTAAACTGATGCATAGCACTCATAAAATCTAAGGAAATATTTATCAATCTTTTAATATCCCTAAAAGGTTTCAGCCATCTGCTTTAGAGACCATGTCTAACTGGAACCACATTTGTTATAAAAAGAAAATAACCCATATTCTTCTTTTAGTGATGAAAGATTATATGCAGTTCTTTTTCATTTTCAAGGTCAACTATGAACCCTACCATTTATACATGACACAAACAAAAGCCTTTTTAAAAATTAAAACTCCTCCAATTTATTCAATAGTGAAGAGAATAAGAAAATATCAAACATTACACTAAAGGCGTACTTTACTATACACATCTATTTACACCAAAACAAAATTGTGTTGGATTCAACCAAAACAAAGTATGTTAGACTACAGAAATGGTTATCCTTCAGCCAATCTACAGAGTATGAATGTTATATATGTACACTGGTGTTTGCTATAAGCAACTCTAATACAACCATTTTTGCTCTGTTAAAAAATCAAACTGAACCTAAACTTGGTTATCTAGATACCTAAATGAAATACATAGCAGTTTGCCAAAAATGTAACGTGTTATTCAATCCATGAAAATAGCACCTTACTGAAAAGCAACTAGTATAATTTTTGAAGTATAAATATCACATGTTTAAAATGTTTTGTACATTGACTATTGTCATATTCATATGTGATAGCATATAAAAATGTTAATAATAATCAGATACTGGTAACTCAACAATGAAATATTGAAAAAATAAATATGTTACAATCTAATGACCAATACATTATAAGCACCTTCAATTCATTTGGTTCTGTTGACTAGTGTAAGATGCACTCAATGATACAAAAAGACTAGATTTTGCTGGACAGTAAGAGAAAGGCATCTCTTGCACTTTGAACAGCATCTCAGATTATAAATACTACTAGTTAATGTATTTCTAAATGAGTAATTTTTTACAATGACTCAGCTACTTAATTTTTTTTAAGCCTCTTAAAACAGTAAAACTTGTGTAGGTACCTGACTGTCACAAAATCTTACCTGATAATAAAAGCACATTTATAAATAAGCAATTTGCAGACTCTTAGAAATAAATCTAAAAATTTCGTTTTTTTTTTAGAAGTATATTAATTGGAAGGAAAATTGTATGTGAAAAAGAAATCAAAATTTCATTAACACTTAAATCAGACATATTTTCTATATGGAGGCAAATATTAGCCTTAATTATAAATGTCATGGTCAAGTTGAGTGAAACTAATAATTATAATTCATACAACCTAGGCAGCAAGCTCAGTCTTTGCACAACAAATAGGAAAAACCCATGGTAGGACTTGCAAATTTTACAATAAATAAGATATTAAATATATTTATATACATCTGTTTGATTAAGTAGAAATCATTGGGGGAAAAAGTAGAAATTTTCATTTTTCACAGCAATGCCATATAGAGATTCAATCAATATTTTACATTAGACGATCAAGTATGAGAATGCCAGTTTAATGCTAACAATTTCATCAAACAAAAAACATTTTTAGATTCTGAAGAAATCTTGCTTCTATTTTTTAAAAAATGCAGTTTCTTTTCTATTTACATTTTATATGGAGCTGATAACTCCTTTTAATACGTAACCTGAAAAATTATTTTTGAAACCTAATTAATACAAAAGAAACAACTACAGTGTTTTAACTTTGATTGCTTTGCAAACCTTACAAAAATCAAATACAAAAAGTATTTTAAAAATTTCTTTTGATTGATTTAAATGCATCCATAAGAAATGGGTGGAAGCACTATTCAAAAAACAGCTATCAAATCATCCAATTTCAAAATAACTTTCACATAACAGGCTCAAGTCATCAAGTATAGTTGGGAAATAATTATATTAATAACTCCTATCATGTATTTACAAAAATGTTCAATCACAAGCTGTAAAGATCATATTACCCCAAGTCACTTTGAGTGTTGTTTAAATAAATACCAATAATATTTACGTGTCTGACACATCTTTTAGTGTGTCATAAATGCAAAGGTGTGAATATTACAAATCTGACACTTTGTTCTCTAGTCTTGCCATGCCCATTTCTTGGTCTGTAAAGGAAAGAAAAATAACACAAAGTGTGAAATATATTTAAAAAATATATATATAGAACTATACTATTAAAAATGTATGAATTTGTTCTTGACAATATAAAAAAAAATCAAATAAGTTCAAAAATATGTGTTCAACTTTTAATAGGTAACAGTTGATGTTGGGAACATAATTTTTTCAGTACTTTGATTTTTTTCTGGGATAACTGACCTAGGTTCTCACCAGTGTTGGGTGAGTTGGTCATGGAAGAAGGGCATTGAACTAGACAAACTATTCTTTGAATATATGTCTTGAACTTAAAAATAAGGGCACCTGAGTCATGCTTCATATGAAGCTTTGTGGTTCTAGATGCATGTACTTTGCCCTGCTTAGTTACACATCAAAGATGAGTGGACCTAGGGATATTACAGTTTCAAACCAGACACCTAACTTGAGACTTTCAGGTCAGAAAGTTAATGGTCTATTCTATTGAACAAGCTCATAGGCAGAAAGTTCATGTTCATCTGCCACATAGAACCTGGACTGTAAATATGTTTTTAAACAGTTGTCCAATATAACCAGAACTGTAAACATGTTTAAAGAAATATCAAGAGAAATGAATAAAATTTGAAATGGAGAAAGTAAATGATGAATACCTGATGTTATATGAAGGTTTATTTTGTCAGAGAGTTTATCATGTTGACCATCACAGCTGTCCTCCTCCACAAGTGTCATGTGATTGCTGTCACTGTCTGAAGAGTCCAGCCCCATACTGCTGTCAGCATCAGGTTTGTTAGCGACCAGGTGTAAGGTATTGGACAGGCCCGATACAATGGTCAGCTGTCCAGATGAAACCATCTCAGAGATAGTTGCAGAGTCGACAGCGCTCAGCAGTTGAGAGCTGGACATGGTCAAGTGATGGGAGTCACCGTTCACCATACTGGCCAGATTGCTGGAATCCATGAGAGCTGATATGTTTTGACTAGTGTTGAGGTGGATGACAGAGTCAGAGTCCATCATGTCAGAAATGTTGTGAGAGCTATCCATGTCCACCATGCCGGAGAGGTGAGCAGGATCCATGACACTAATACCATGAACAGAAGAGTCTAGACCTGACACAGGGTTCTCTGATGATAAATCTTGTGTTGATTCTGATGCACCTGATGGACTTGATAAGCATTCAGACTTGGGAGAGTGATCTTGGGATGTATCCAGCTACAGACAAAAATTGTTCCATTATAAACAGCTCATACATATAATAAAAGTGATTAAATGCAATTCTTGGTGCTTAACTGTTCATGAAGAATGGTGAAAATGTTAGTTCTGATGAAACTGATGTTACACTAAACACACCCGCAATAGGCTGCCAACTGGAAAGAGACCAGGGTGAAGTCTAGACAAGAGCTGGGCAGTTTCGGGTGTTAAGGATGTACTGACTTGGGTTGTCCCATCACTGAGGTGGGTCTCAATGCGAGAAATGATGTGATGACCATCTGATCAGAAAGAATTGGTTGTTATATTGTAAGCGGAAAAATTATGATGATTAAATTAATCTGCAATAATTTTTTAATCAATAAAGTTCACAGCATGCCTTATTTAAATTCCGTTAAGTAAAAAAAAAAATATATATATTCAGAACATAGATCTAGTTAGCCTAATTGTACTACCTTCATCTGGGTTTTGAGTAAGAGTTACAGTGACAGTCTCTGGCAAGGGGCCATTGGCAGACAAGTTAGTACCAGACCACATAGAGCACAGCTGCTCAGTTTTTATGTCATTAGAGAGATCTTGTTCTTCAGAATTGGAATCTGAGCCTGGTAAGACTTCAAGATTCACCTACAAAATACAAATTTGAATCAGGTAAGTTATTTAATGGCAAATATAAGCAAGGTGAATTAGAATTCATACTCCTACAACGCGAAAATATATATTTTCAATTTAACAAATTTTTTGTTCTTTTGTAATCTTAGAAGTCATACTCTCTTTGCATTAAATTTTCTAAATAATTAAATAATTTTTAAATTAAAATTACAACCAAGTTTAAACATACCACAGGAGCAGACAGAGCTAAAACTCCAGATTCAATGTCCTTTAGTGCTTGGTGGATGTGATTTTTCAAGTCATTGACAGTAGGGAACATGGTGAGATCATGTCTCTCAGGTACCACACCAGAGCCGAGAAACAATTCCCTGACAACAAATTTCCTGCATAGAGAAAAAGTTTTTTACATTAATGTTACATACACCAAGAAATAACGCATTTTCTTAGGGGAGGAAATAATGTTAAAAAAGAACTGTTAAGCAATCAAGAAAAATGCTGTCACTGATTATTATTACTACATCTCTGAAATCACTGGTAAATGGTCATAAAATAAAATCATTATCCATTTATTGTTCTAATCTAAAGTAAGATTTTATATTCTCACCTCAGCTGCTTACGTATTGAATAAAGCCTGGTCTCTCCAGTGGCAACCATCTGCCGGATTTTTTCTAAAACAGCGGGGTGGATACGGGCTTCACTAGCACGATCTGATGGTGAGTGTTGCTCCTCTTTGATTGTTTCTTCCAAGGAAGCTGCTGCAGAATCATGTTTGGATGAGGAGCTCTCATCATGGTAATCATGTGCTTTGTCGGTTGGCAACTGGACGTAATACCTATACATTGTATAGGTAATATACATTGTATTAAAAAATCTATTTTCTCAGTGAAGGTTGAAGTTATTATTTTACTATTTCCAACACAGCTTTTACTTTTAAAATATATAGTTGTTAGTTGTTCATATTAAAATAGACATGGATTCAATAAACTCTTTCGGTAAAATAAATTTAACTATTCTGTTACAAGTTGTAAGGCTGGTGTGTCCACTCACCTCTCTTCTCCCCAATTTTCTAAGCCTTGCTCACGAAGTTCATGAAAGGCTTTATCCATAGCAAGACGGATAGTTTTCTTATCCAAATTTAGGTTAACAGCATGGGATGGAAATTTGCGCACCTTTTTAATATAAATTCTGAAAATTGTGATTTTAAATTTTTTTTATGAATACTTAACTTAAAAAAAAAAAATTGTAAGATAAATTTAGGTGTGATATTTTAGAAATAGTGTATTACCGTGCTGGGCATGTTTGTTTAAATTCATTAGAAACATTTGATGCAGTACCACGTTTGCCTAATGTCCCTTTTCTTCTTGGACCATACTGACACTCCATGACAACTGCTCGACTACCTTAAAAAGCCATTTCAATTTACACAGTGCAGTCTATAAGATGTAACTATACATTTCTTTATTTAATATTTATCATAAAAAGTTATATGATTTTTTTACTGTAAAAAGTTTTAATCAACAAAATTTACAACAAATATGGTCAGCCTTACCTGCATTAACAAAAGGAATGCCATCAAAAGGAACATATTGAGACTTCCACATCAATCTTGTTGAAGCCTTGGCAGGACTAGGGGACTGACGTGTACCCCAGAAGCTGTTGGTCTGTTGTTTATGTAATGTTAGTACCACATCAAGATCTGTTTCATTCTCCACATATCCTCTGTAGGAGTCTCCAATTTTCTAGAAGTGAAATTACAAACATTGCAATTTATATCTCAATGCACATTTTTTTAAACTTTAGTGTTCAGGGTGGAAATGCATTGGTAAATTGCGAAGATAATAACTTACTTCACATTTTTTAAGTCTCAGTGCCCAGGAGGGACAATTGATCAATAAATCTGAAGGTGCTTGTGGTGGAGGCATTAGAATGGCTGCCATACTTTCTGATGCTGCTGCATTAATTTCTGCAGCTTCAGCTGCCTGTACCATCTCAAATCCAGAGTAACCTGCCAACATTAAAAAAAACTTTTAACTACATTTGTTGAAAAATAGAAAGAATATATTAAAAAAATATTAACTACAACTACAAAATGAGATACAATGCAAGTTTATTACATGGACAGATCTATATTTATACACAGGTTATTGTAAACATAATATGGCATTTAAAGTACATCATCATTTCACTCAAAATCACAAAACTGGTACACAATCTACTGGGGATATAACTAAATAATAATTGCTAATCTTACAGAGAAAATTTGCTTTGCCCAGTTTATTAAACTTACAATACCTATAAATGTTTATTTATTGAAAATCTCTATTTCTCTATCTCTTTCTATAATAAGCCACTGAAATAACTGATATTTTGAACCATTTGAACAAAAAACATTTTGGTATTTAAACAATAAATGAACCCAACATACCCATATCTTTCCCATTAGGTAACAGATTAGGATTGGATATAGCAATGAGTCCAATGTATTTAGTGCCAAGACTGTTGAGATCTGTGCTGGTCGGCACCATATGAACTAGTCTGTCCAGGTCATTGGTCAGTCCCATATTAAGAAAGTCCGAAGCTGTTGGTATTGTGATGACCTGGATTCCATCTTGATGGGTAAACATTTGAGCCGTGGATATTGGTGTGGAAAGAAGCGATTGCAGAGTAGCATGGTTGGTTCTGATAAGATCTAGTTTGAAAAAGACATGTAATTCCTTAAAATAACAACACTATTGCTAAATTAAAGAAAAAAAATTGTATTCAATTTTAAATAATCAAATTACACAACACCATATTGCATACTTTGGCTAAAGTGTCATAAACCCTAGAACATGCATAAAATGTGATTTGTTAAATTGTATGGTATAAGAAGCATCAACAACACTTACTTCCTCCAGCATTTACTACAGACAACATATGGTTAACATCAACATCATCTTCTTCCTTCACCATCTCATCAAGATCATCTTCCAAAGATTTCATTCCCGATACACCAGATTCCCCTGTGTCCATAGGTGGCATGAGAGGAAGACTCATCAATATGGTTCCATCTGCTAGGCTAGAGTCATCATGCTCAAGCACCTCATCTTTGGTCATGGTTAACATGAATATTCTTTTAGTGTAGAAAGCTACATATAAAAAATCTGTTCTTTTCTTTGAAAGATGAGCTAGTCTGCAAACAATAATAAAAATTAAATAATTACAAATTATCAGTTGTAAACTTGCATAAAATGTACTTTACAAACAAAAAACTGGAATTTGTTTTTAACAAATTTAAAAAATAAAAATCTTACTATTATTTAATTTTAATACAATTTGATACTGTTCAAATTTATAAACAAAAATGTTAAACAGTTTTTTGATTTTTTTTTTTTAAAATTACACCCTTGTAGACATTCACTTCTAGTACTAATAAACTCAACTTAATGCCAACCTACACATTTAAGTCTAAATACAATACTACAATGCCACTAAATCACGTAATAATTAACTAGACCTCGTTTTTCATCACAAAGGACTGTTGGTAAAGTTGTTGCATTCACTAATCATCTGATAAATAGCTTTAACTTGTGTCATACCTAGCCTAGAGATTTAAATGGTGTATAGTAAGCAATAGGCACGGACTCTATTTAAGACTAGTTATTGTTTTTCAGAACATGTAAGAATGCCATATAAGGCATAGCTGATTTCAAGCAATCAGAAAAAAACTTGATACAACATTCCAGTCTTACTGCCTTTATCTGAATAGGCCTACATAATGTCATATTAATTGAAGCCTTCTGAAAAGGGGTGTTAGTGTTAGGTTATATATTAAACTAAATACATACATATATGTATATATATATATATATATATATATTAGCGTACCCGTCCCCGCGTGTTGCCGCGGGAATAGAAGAAAGTCCAATGAAATATATAAGAAGGGTTTCATCCATGCATTACCAATCCTATATTCTTAGAGCGTGACCTTGTTTTCTAAAAGTGAGTTATTTAAATGTAAACAATACCTGTGCTTGGAACATAAATATCGGGACACTGGTTTACCTCCACTACTGCATGAAAACCTTGAGTGTACATTAATTACTCACCGAAATAATGAGGTAGAACACACTTGGGTGACCGCCCATGTGTCAGGGACATAGAGAGGCCCCCCCCCCCACCCGATTACACTACAGCATAGGCTCCGCGTACTGCCCCTGGCTCCTTAAAACTAACAAGCACCATCGTGCTCATAGGATAACCCAGAGTGCCAAATATCATCCTGTTAACAATGATGCAGATTGCGTCATTTGCTAAAGTGACACAAATGAACTGGACTTTTTCTTTACCACGTAAAAAAAATTATTTGACGTGTTTTAGACTACGCATGAGAAGGGGTATTTGAGTCAACCACTAAACATAATCTGGCGTGTCCCCCAGCAGAGTGCGATTTGGTGGCCTCGGGTTTTCTGTGAACACTATGGCGTCTATGATCATTTTAAACGGTGCGATAGACTATGGATAAGATTGGGGTATTATAGTCGTTCACCAAATTGAATCATACGTGTCCATAGGCGCCCCGAAAGCGGGCGATATGGTTCCTTGGGTTATAGCGCCTACGTTAGTTTTAAGGAGCACCTACAACATTGACACTGTGGCACACAACATTTTTCATTTCAACCAAGCCAGGGACAGTAAGCAGCGCCCCAGTAGTAGTGTAATCAGGGCTGCTGAGAGCACCCCTCTACGTCCCTGACACCTGGGTGGTGACCTTCCTAATATATTTCGTCAGACTTTCTTCTAACCCCACAGTAACGCATGGGGACGGGCACACTAAAGTTAAATAATTACTAACACTAACCCTCCTTCAGCCCTAATTTCTAATCCTAAATCTAAACCTGATGATTATGTGTTATACCAGTGTCAGATGTCAAAATAATAGAAACTTCTTTGAAAAAGAGTTTAGATTACTAGTGGTAAACTAAATGCAATTATAACTCTGCTCATGTCAAATAATCCCAAACCCTCTAACCCAAAATCCTACCATTGCCCCAGAGGTGTAGAGACGGGGGGGCAGGAGGGTACATATGTCCCCGGGCGCCGACCTTAGGGCCTTAGGGGGCACCAAAATGGGTTGGAAAGACAAATTAAAATCTCATTTTAGTTGCAGTTTTACATTATAAATATAAAAAATATATGGGGGGGGGGGGGGGGATTTGAGGGGGGTGCAAATTGAAAATTTGTTCCCGAAAGGGGCGCCAAATGGAAAGTTTGTCCCCGGGTCGCTACATATCTGCATTGCCCTATTCCTAATTTGAAACTAATTTCTTACATAGCATAGATCTTAATCATAAAATTAAATCTGAGATACCATACAATGCCATATATAGATCTATTAGCCTACTCCAAGACAGGTAAACACTAAAGTCAAAAACACCAATACTCAACTCCCGTTAACTCAAATCCTACCATCATGATGAGGAGACAAAAACCTTAATGGGCCTTAACCAAGAGTTGTCTTTTGGACTCTTTTATGACCTAGAAATCTAGACATTTTTATTTAGAGAAGGCCCCTACATTCTACAACACTAGTCCTAGTGACTAAAACGTAAAACTAAGATTAGGCATCAGACCAGATGATTGGTTTGGTTTAGCCTACTTTTATTTTGTGTTTAAGTAATCAAGCACTAGATCTAGATCTAGATTCTAGATCTAGTAGTAGACTAAATTAGCTGTTCTAGTCTAGATCTAAAATTAACTCTAGTCTAGAGCTAGCAATCTAGATCTAGATCTATCCTAGATCTAGACGTTTTCTAGAATAGTCAGACTAGCTAGAATCTAGATCTAGAAATCTAGTAAAAAAAACGTACAAATGGACATTTGGATTTGGTGATTTAGGTAGTGAGTTTTTAGTGGTATTTGAAAATTGCTCAACTGATTGGTGTGGATTTTGGGAAATATCTGGACGAGGTATTTACATATTGGCCCAGGAATTGATGCATGCAGGGAATGCAAATACATATGAGTTAATTTCAGTTTTGACTGTGGCATATTGCTTTTAAGATAATTTTTAGCTATTCAAATCGAAAGTAGCTTCCTCTGACTAAAGGGAAAGGGGGTCAAAGTGAGACTTGAAAATTGAAAACGAGTCACAAACCTCGAAGTCGTTGTAAACAAAATGGCGACATCATATGAAACACGCATGCGCAATCTATATCAAAAGCTAAATAAAAATTAAGCCTAGCCTGGGCCTAAAAGAGATATTTTTTAAATAGTCTAGAAATCTAGATATACAATCTAGATCTAGTATTAATGAATATTAAAACTTACAGAATTATTTTTAAATTCACATAAAAGAAATGAAATAACATTTTCACTGCGCCCACTTTCAATAAAAGAGATGAAGAAACAGTATAAAAAAAAAAAGCTTTTAAACCGATTTTAATAGCCTAGAGGCCATCCATTTATGACGTCCACACACTTTTTTTTATTTTAGACCCCCTCATCTCCCTGTACAATTCCCTTATCTCCCTTGTGGACGGCCACTAAAATTAAGAAGATCTCTCCAAACTCACTAAAAATTTACTTTTACAATACTATACATTGCGTGCTAACAGTATTATTCCGCGCGGCGTCAAAACGGCCCCGACAAAACAGCCTCGTCACATTGACAGCGCCAAAAGGGCCAGCGACAAATTGACTTACGACTCCCGACAAATAGGCTCCCGTCAAGTTTCCCGCAGTGTTTCTTCCAGACTTTTTTTCTCCGGGGGGGGGGGGGGGTAAAGTAAGTAAGTTCCCTTTTCAAACCTGACGGTCTATAGGGCAAGTGACCTTGGCACATGAAGAGATAGTGCGGTCAGCACTATGCTCAGCCGCCTTTACTTTCTCTAACGTCAGTTAGGTACCCATCAGAGTTGAGTGGACTTAGGGACGGTCTACTGATCGGGGGGGGGGGGGGGTCACTTGATATTTTGGGGGGTGGGCGGACACTGATAAAAGTATGTTTTCTATATAAATTCCATCTTGTTCGGGGGGGGGGGGGGGGCTCTGCCTCCCCCCTTAAGAGGTGACTGGAAGAAAGTCTGGTTTCCTGTAAAGAAAGTAGGTCTACTGGCGAAAACGTCTCATTAAATGGGTACCCGTGCCAGTAGGACCCCTTTATTTTCATCTCAGCCAACACCCTTAAATAATAAAATGTGTGTAGCTCCTGGTCAGCATACCCTTTTTAAAATTATTTTATGGAGCAGGCCCTATTAAAAAATGTATGTTTTAAAAATATACGGATCGTCTAGTTTTATGACGTCAATCAAATGAGTCGGTTGAGGGTTGTTCCAATTCAATGTAACTTAGGAGAGGGGTCCATGCGGCACATTTATCTTCGGTATGCTTGTAGGCTATCAAAACAAAACGTCGTTTATCTTGTAAACATCATGAATATGATACAAAATTTCCGTGCTCGCTTTTAAGCAACAGGTCCTCGCGGGGAATAATAAAACATAAAAATCTTTAATTTAGTGGCACTTTGTTGTTAAGAGCCTGAATAGTTTACGAATTGCTGTTGGTTCGTGAAGAAGTTTTTCATTCTGGTGGGGTTGTGGTGGTGTTATTGATGAGGCGTATAAAATGGTTACGTCAATGCCATAAGGGACAATTGCAATTTATTTGTCTGGAGACGGTATGTCGGGAGTCGTTTTGTCGGGAGCCAATATGTCGGGAGCCGATACGTCGTATGGCCATTTTAACTTTAACAAACCTGGCTAGGCATATAAAGGCTTAGGCCTATATTAGATCGTGAGGCGTCAAAACGGCCAGTGACCACATGGAGACAACAGATTCCTACGAGTTTTTTTTTTTTACTTTGCTATAAAAAAAATAATCAACAGAATTAATCATAATAAATATTTTTGAAAGAAAGGGGAGTCTGGCTATTTGTGATTGTGCGTTGCGATGAGGGGTGCGGTGGTGATGGTAAAAATCGTTTTTTTTTTTAAATCGCAACGTTAATTGGATGACTTATTTTTTAAACATCTAGATATGCAACTATATTGGAAATACTGTTGTCTGCTATTTGGGGCAATCTCGAAACTCGTAGCTTACACGCCACGGGTTGGATTCAGAAAATGTTGAAGTTCGTGACCATGCATGTTGGTCTTTGTGACTCTTTCATCATTATCGTCTCCCCGTTCGTGCCCAAGATGGGGCAGGTGAAGTAGAGTACATCTGTTTAAATGGTCAGCCACTTAGTTTCCCTAACGCGTGTTCAGTAGGCCTATAGATAGATACCTGGGTGGACTCAAGGACGTCTGAAAAGACTTGAGCCCGGGACCTGAACTCGATCACTGTCATTAGCAGTTGTACGCTCTACTATTCAACCACTCCCTCCATGACTATTTAGGTGTGTTTTTTTTTTCTCCTTTAAGTCGGAAGCAGTGAAACGATGATTGTTTTATTTATTTATTTATTAGAATCTATGAATTACTCGAAAATTGCTTTAGGAAATATACCTAATTTTTTTAAATGTATTTTTTTTTTGCTTATATAAAGTAATAAGGCAAAGTTCATTATGGAAAGACAAATAACATTGTGCAACATTACCAGAGGCGTAGCGAGGGGGGTGGGGGGAGGGGGGGACATATGTCCCCGGGCGCCGACCTTAGGGGGCGCCAAAATGGGTTGGAAAAATAAATTGAAAGGTTGAGGGGGGTGCAAATCAAAATCTTGAGGGGTGGGGTTGTACATCGAAAGTTTGAGAGTGGGGTGCAAATCGAAAGTTTGAGAAGGGGGTGCAAATCGAAATCTTGAGGGTGGAGTGCAAATCAAAAGTTTGAGGGGGGGGGGGGTGCAAATCGAAATCTTGAGGGGGGGGGGGGGTGCAAATCGAAAGTTTGTCACCGGGAAGGGTCGCTACAACTCTGAACATTACTGATCTTGTATTATTTCATTACAATGCCGAAGGTAGACATAGTCTAGGTACATTAGGCATTATAATAAGCTGGGGGGGGGGTTAATCCATACATGACGTCACGCTTTTTTGGACGATTTTTTACCCCCCCCCCACCCCTCCATCACAAAAAGCTTAACTCCCCTCCTTAAATGACGTCACACCTTAGCCTACACCCCCACCCCATCAAAACTGCAGTTGAAATTTTCTTAAAATAAGATATTTTTCCAAAATCTTGTCTGAACTCTGTCAATATAGAGTACTTTAATCAATTCCAATTTATTAAAACAGTTTTCTAAAACGCGAAATAACTGGTAAAATTCGTTTTCTAACATTGTTTTTTTTTATAATGCAAAAGTGTGACGTCACACCATCTGAACCACCCCACCCCCGTCATCACACACTGTCACAAAATTACGGACCCCCCCCCCCTACAAGTGTGACGTCATTTATAGATGACCCCCCTAATAACTCTGTTAACATTGCTATTTCATTAACAATCCAACCCATCTTCACAATGGAAAGACAATATTTCTAATCAATCTAGAGATTCACTGTAGTCAAGATATTTAGATCTAGATCTAGATAGATATAGATCTAGATCTAGGCCCATATTACTATTATTCAGACACGTTGTTAGATTGATATGAATTCACTTAGGCTAATGCTACAGTTAAAATGGCTATACATTAGATTAGCTATATAGTCGTAAGAAAATATATAATAAGGGTGATTATTAAACAGATATTGATAAGCTTAAACTAGCCCATAGTCTGCGCGAAAAATATTTTTGATTTTGAGCAATGTTTTAATTCTAAATCTAGGCCTACTAATTTTTTTTATTTATAAGATCTCGTAGTTCAACGTAAGAATCGAGATTGTCGCCATTTTATTAGGGACTTCCTATTTCACTCGACCTAGTTGTTTATTTACATTCCCTGCAAAATGAAACTTTCCTACGATACATTCGGTAAGTAGCTTCTTGGATACAACTTAATGAAAATCATTTTTAGTATTTCAGCCTATAGATAGTTAATGTTTATACTCTAAGTAAAAATATTTAGCACCCGTGCTCGTAATCTAATCTAACAGTAACACTGCAACAGAAGTCGTGAAGTGGTAAAAAAATGAGTGAGAAAATTAAATAGACTGAGTACTGAGTATGTGTTAGACGAGACGGCAATACTGCAACTCAACGGCAGAAACTCCCGTAAACTCTGTTAAAATTACTTGTAATCTAGATCTAGATCATCTAGACTAGACGTTTTCTAGCTTTAAAATACTTTAAAATTAGGCCTAAGCCTACCAATTTAAACATTATTTTATTATTAGTGTAGTGGTTGAATTAATCACTAATTTTTAATGAAAGAATAGATCTAGGATCTAGATTTTAGCAGGCCACTAATAAGTATTGTACTAATGATTAGGCATAATCTCCAGCCATAAAATAGTATTAGTCTACAAGTCCGCATGGGATATTGGGGGTATGTGTTTGATAACACCACAATGAAATAAATCTATTTAAAAATAATAAAACAGGTTTTTACATTTGTAGTCCCACTAGTAGTCAACAAAATACAAATATGCCTTGCTAGTAATAGTATCAACCAGATTGAAATCTCAGGTTTAGTTTTAAGGTCAGAAATTATGGTAGGACTTAGGATAGGGCTAGCATTGACATTAGCAATTCATAATTGTACTTAGTTGACTACCAGTAATCTAGCAACCTTTTTTTAGAAGATTCTATTACAATTTACTGTGGATAATATTATCGGACACATACTCCTAACAATAGTACAACTCACGCATCACATTATTTAACAACAAATATGATATGGTAGAGCCTGTTTGTTTGCATCTATATTATGCTTTATCTTACTACATAACTTCATAACTCTTTTTGAAATAGCTAAGTACCTAAGTGAATTATGAACTGCTCTTTTTTACGTTAGGGTAATACTTGCTCTTCTGCTTAGACAAAAAAAAACCACAATCATATGTTTAGCATACATAAATTGTTTTAATATTGAGTTTAAGATGGCAGATAATTTATTGAAATTGTAGCAGTTGGTCTTATCCTAATCTATTAGTTATTGTGAGGCTTAATCATAATGATTTAGTTTATAATTTTGATTTTCTATATCATGTATAAATAAAGTATTAGTATAGGTAAAAAATCAGACATCTACTTTTGTTCAACGTAAGATAATATGTTGGGATCTGTCATTTTTAAAGCTTTTTATAACCACTGATATTGATATATTCTACAAAGTATAGGCCAAGTTTATGTAGTTACATATTCAAGTTTGCATGTCCTCAACCCTCTAATTTATTGCTGCAAAGGAATTTAACAGTATTTCTTTATAATAATATAAATACAGGTGATTTTATTAATCTGGAAAAAATTTAGAGCCAGTTTCTTAATCAATGAACTCCTGATTTTGCTGAATCATTTATTATGATAATAAATTTAAAGTACTTCAATTTAATGATTAAAGTAGGGGTTTCTAATAAATTAGTACACAGGTTATAAATACAGCTATGAAGAGTTAAACCATAAAATCTTTTTTTTAAATGCATATATTTTAAGTATTCAAGGTAATAAATACAATTCGGATATCTATTTGCTAATGCTATAGATCGACATAGATACTTTGTTATGATAACTATTATTGCTGAAACATTGCAGACTAATTTTTTGTTCATTGTTTATGTTGAAAGCCCTGTCCTTCCATAACTTAAATTGTTTGTTTAAACATTTTCATAATGGTTATAATGTGAAGAAGTATCTTCCTTCTATATCATTTTAATATACATAGTTACAGCAATTAAAATTGACACTCAAGCCTGACTGCATGTTGTTAGCATTTGAAGTGTTCAAAACACTTTGTCCCCTGAGAGCAAGGGAGTATTAAGTCATTATTTGACTAGAGAGTTTAAGCTTATATAATGTAGGCCTATACATTATTTTCTTCCTGTCTTTCAAGGCATAGTCCACTAACTCACTATCAAATATTTTGTTCTAAATGTATTTTCTGGTCAAACACAAACTCTTTTTTTCTCTCTCTCTCTGCATATTGATCAGGTAAATAATTACCTGAATTTCAAGCTACACCTTTCTTCTACTCTCAGCATAATGTTGTTAAATAGGATTTTGTTGTTTTCCGTATATTTCTTTAGCCACCAAGGACCATTAAACCTATGTTTATGTGGTTTCTATTTTCCTGCCGATAGCTATAAGCAGTTTTACAGTAAGGGACGGTGAAGGCGATCTTATCTCTATGGCCTGTCACCACTGCTGGTGGTTGCCTCTGTTCACTACTTAAAGCCTAGAACAAAAGGCAAGCATCGTGTGTTGCTAGTATCATATGGCCGTCTCTAGTACCATCACATACCGTCACAACAAGTGTAATCCTAGTGCTCTCACATTCTGTGGCCACGTCAATTAATCATGTTCATTAATTAGTCTGATATTATATTTTGAGCACGCAATAAATAAAAAAAAGCAACTTTGACAGTGTGGTGAGCTATAATTGGTTCCCTTAATTGCCTGGATCGTGTTGAAGTACCACTGCAGCTTCCTGGTTAGTGCTGAGTCAGGGCCAGCTATTTCTGTATGTGACGTACAGTTGACTGGCGGTGATTTTATGAAACAGGCGTTTCTACATGCGATAGAAACTAATTATGTTTTTTTTTGCATTAAAATCTAACGATCTTTACTTCACACAGTTCAGACATGTTAAATTGAGAGAGTTTAAACAAGAATTAACTAAGACAGTTACATTGTATCTAACTATTCTTCATAAACCTCTGGATTCTAGGGGAATGTTTAATAAGTCTCTTGTTGTTTGTTTCAATAATTGAAAATTTTATAATTGAAATCAACATAGTTTTAATGGGTTGACCGACAAGCTTCCCTGACGATCTAGTTATTTTAGCTTCCCCAGAAGCGAGGGTGTAACCATAAATTCTAGTAAGAAGCCCTATAGGCATTGAATGTGTCGAGTATAACGGACACGCGTGTTTAAACTTCCTGGTTGCTCTAGCCACTGTTAGCTCTGTTGAATACACATTCACATGGGCTGTTTGATACCATAATTTAAATATAAAATGAAGGGGGGGGGTCATCTAATCAAAGTTAATTACGTTTAAAATATGTGATTTCTTGAAACATGCGTCAACTAAAACGAAGCAATAGTTTTGATTACGATATTCTTATTGCATTAAAAAATTAATGTAATTATATCCTGGTTGCTGTTACGTTATGATAATGTAAGGGGGGGGATGTTTTTGTCATTTTTAAAATTGCATTTGAAAGACATTAACATATTATTTCGCCCCCACCCCATAATAACACGCAACATAGATAAGAAAGTAGTTAAACTTTCTTCCCTAATTAAATGCTTTGATTTCTCGGGAGGTATCTGACACTTTTAGCAGCCCACGTTTTTACTAAAGAAAGCTTGTTTAATTTTCTATTTTAGTGCATTTGTAAGTCTGTTATTGTAAAAAGGTTTTACATTTGTTGTATTACTAGTTCTATTAATGTCAAGTAAAGCAAGCGATATAACAACGCATCCACAACCGGGCATGTTTGTTTTTTAATTGTCACATTCCACACGCTGGGCATCTATTCATCAACATTCAAATTGTAAACAACCTAATTGAGAAAAGTTATGGCATGTGATGAATATTTCGGTGGATAGATTTCAAAGATTGCATTTCATAAAATGTAGCTGATAGGGGGGAAAAAAACGTCAATACACATTTGCTGGGGCATTTAAAACATCTTGTGTTTGTTAAGCTTTTCTCGAGGAGGGGTTAAGAATATTATGTGCTCACGGATGATTAGACAGGCGTGGTTTTAGTCGCCGTTTGGCTCAAGAGCTCGTGGTTTCATGGTCGAGTCTAAAATTATGATCACGTTAAGGGCATATGCCCTCAAGTGAAGCCAATTTAAAGACTACGGTTAACCTGTTGTATAAAGCTTACAGTGAATAAGGAAGTTACTAGCAAAGTTTAATGATTACGTTACGTTTCAAGTCATCCACAGGATTTCATGCTTTCGTCGTTACAATGTGTCCACTACATTCCGTGTATCTACTATAGTTTTTGTCAGGTAACCTATATCTTCAGCGTACCGTGTCACACAGCATGTATTCTATATCTTGTGTCACCCAACCTTTAGCTACTACAATCCAAATCCGCTAGTCTGTATCACACACCATGCTGCGCCACACATTGTTTTTCTACAATCCGTGTCACGCAACCTGTGTACTAAGTTCTGTGTCACGCAACCTGTGTACTAAGTTCTGTGCCACGCAACCTGTGTACTAAGTTCTGTGTCACGCAACCTGTGTACTAAGTTCTGTGTCACGCAACCCGTGTACTAAGTTCTGTGTCACAACCTGTGTACAAAGTTCTGTATCACGCAACCTGTGTACTAAGTTCTGTGTCACGCAACCTGTGTACTAAGTTCTGTGTCACGCAACCTGTGTACTAAGTTCTGTGTCACGCAACCTGTGTACTAAGTTCTGTATCACATAACTTGTGTACTAAGTTCTGTGTCACGCAACCTGTGTACTAAGTTCTGTATCACATAACCTGTGTACTAAGTTCTGTGTCACGCAACCTGTGTACTAAGTTCTGTGTCACGCAACCTGTGTACTAAGTTCTGTATCACGCAACCTGTGTACTAAGTTCTGTGTCACGCAACCTGTGTACTAAGTTCTGTATCACATAACTTGTGTACTAAGTTCTGTGTCACGCAACCTGTGTACTAAGTTCTGTGTCACGCAACCTGTGTACTAAGTTCTGTGTCACGCAACCTGTGTACCAAGTTCTGTGTCACGCAACCTGTGTACTAAGTTCTGTGTCACGCAACCTGTCTTCTACATTCAGTGTCACACAACACATTAGCGTATTTCGGACAAATCATTGTCAAATCATTTGGGCTATTCGTTGTTCTCA